GGCTTCAAATTTTAATTTCTTTTTTAATCTTTTTTGAGACAAGAGTCTCACATAGCTCGGGCTGGTGTCAAACCCAGTATTTACCTGAGGCTGGCTTTGAACACCTGAGTGCCCTGCCTCCATTTTCCAAGTACTGAGTTCACAGGTGTGTACCATCGTACTTGGCTTTTAAAACTTTTTTTTCTTTAAAAGATACTGTCTACAGGACCACTGTGTTCACGAACTCCCAGCGCTGTGGCTACCTACTAACAATCAAGCGTGGCGTGAAGGGGTTCATGAGCCCCGATCCCTCACTCAGGAACTTTGGGCTTAGGTAGGGGTTGAAGAGAGTCAAGTTTCCTTAAGCCTGTGGCTCCTAGCAGGTCAACCGACGTTCCTGGGCTTAGAACAATGTGGACAGCAGATGGGTCATTGACTAAAATGGAAGACAGGAGGTTGGAAGGCATGGGGAGGTGGGGGTGTACCTGGCAGAGTTGGGGTGAGTCTGATTCAAATATACTGAATGAAATTCTCTAAGTGTTAACAATATTTCTAAAGATATCGTTTAGACAATAGAAGATCAAATACACAATAGATAACCACTGATTAGAACTGAGGCAAGGGAAGGAGCTGCTTAAAGGGAAGGTTTTATTGGCTCCCAGCAAGTGGGCAAGAACGCAAAATGAATGCAAGAGTTTAAGACAACGGGGAAGGCAGCGGCAGAGGAGCCAGTATCCGGATGGATAGAGTGCCGGGAAGATAGGAAGTAAGCTACTTGAATAAAACCCTTTTCTCACTGCCTGCGAAAGTGAAGAGCCTCAGCCACTAAACAAGAAATAAAGGGGAAACGTATCTTACATTATGAACAATCATAGACAAAGGGAAATTTCTAAATGTTTCTAGAGGCGAGAAACACAGAGTGTCAGTAGCGCCTGTGACTTTGTCTTTAATAAAAGCACAGATTTTTACAATTTCATGTTTATGGGGTGGGTGGCACATGTCTCCTCATGCACTCGGTGGTCAGAGGACAACTTCTGGGAGTCAGTTCTCTGCCACAACGTGGTTCTGGGGATCAAGTTCAAGTTGCCAGGCTTAGCCTTAAATTCCTTAGCCATCTCTCTGGCCAGGAAACTACAGATTTTTTTTTTTATTATTATTGCTGTTGTTGTAAATGTCTCAAAATCAGGTTTACACCCATCAGAGCTTCAAAATTACGATCGCTATTAGGTTCTGTTGGCGCTTGTTACATAATGAATGAATAAGTACATGTATGACTATATTACCACTTCCTTTTGGGGGGGGGTAGAGCAGGGGTTTGAGACAGAAGCTCATATAACCGAGGCTAGCCTTACTATGTAGTCTAGGCTCAACTGACTATGTAGCCCAGACTGATCTTGTACTGTGACCCTTGCCTTAGCTTCCCAAGTACGAGAATTACAGGCATGCCTCCCCACTTTAGCCATTTCCTAAGAGCTATATTATAATACCCTCAGTGACCATGCATTTCATATACACAACACCTTTCTGAGTGCACAGGAGCATGCACTCAGCAGATCTAAGGGATGGAGGCCACAGGCTGCCTTTACCTCTTGTTTACCATGTTCTCCTACCGATACAAACATGACTTCCTCTTTTCTGTGAACTCTAACATGGCACAGTAGCATCATAGTTCCTTGAGGCCTCAGTACCTAGAACAGGCTGGGCACCCATAGGACCATCGCCTAGAGAAGATATACTGTGTCTATAAAGCTTGCGTGCCACTGGGTGGGACAGATGAATGGAGAGAGTCAAACAAAAGCAGCACATTCGTTCATTGGCTAGTTTGGCCATTTACTCATTGGTATCTTGAGAGAACGGCTGCCCATTGCTGCAATCAGCTCTGGAGACCACAGGGAGAAGAGAGAAGGAGAACCCACTCCTCACTCCCAACAAGACACCTTCTTGTCCGTGGACAGAAGAGAATAATTTCTGATGGATGACAAATGAATGAGGCCACTTGTTCTGGAAAGGCAGGTGATGGAGAAACCTAATTCTCACATTTTTACCTATCAGCTCATTCTATAGAGGGAGTCAAGAGAAGTAATCACAGGACTATAAAATGGAGAGAAGAATGCTCTTTTCTTTGATTGCTGAGACAGAACCTCGTTATGTAGCTCAGGCTGATCTCAAATTCACAGGGATCTACCTGCTTCTGCCTCCACAATGCCAAGGCTCTTTTTATTTTTTGTTGTGAGATGGGGTTATATGAATTCAAGCTGATTTTTAATTCATTTATGGCCAAGGATGACCTTGAATTTCTCTTCCTCAGGACTGGGATTTGAAGATAAGTCTCACTACTCTGCGCTTATGCAGTGCCAGGGATCAAACCCATGACTTTGTATGTGCTAGGCAAGTTCTCCACCAGCGACCTACACCCCCAGCTTATTTTCTGAAGAAGAAAGTCTATGAGGTTCTCTTAAAGGCAGTTTACCTTGATGTAATGCCGTTCTGGCCTAGTAAACCTTGAGAAGAGGGGGACCCTCCATTGTCCCAGGTATTTCAGGGTTGGACTCCTGCAGTCATGGAATGGATGTCTGCCCTCTCTGGAGTTCCTGTTCTGGTTCAAACTCTATGATGTCATCAATTGGTTACAGAGGCCAAAGGTACCTAGATACCTTGGGGCACCTTTTCCTTTCAAGAGATCAGAACTAGGCAAGAAGGCTGGATGGCCTCGAACCTGCATAGGTGTGCTGAGAGACCAAGGGAAGGCATAGTGGTAGAGCAGGCTGTAGCTGTGGGCCAGAGTATCTGTCTAAAGAGGATGCTGTAGACTCAGAGGGAAGTGGAATGGAGAGCTGAGGGTATGGTGCCCAGGAAGGTGGTGGCGAAAGACACCAAAGACAGGTTCTCAGATGATTAAGACAAAACCTAATGAGAATCTTCAGGGCCCAGTAAGGTTGGAAGGCAAGCCATCAGGAGGCAGAAACAGGAGAGTCAACACAAGTTTGAGGCCTACCTTGACCGTCTCAAAAAGACCAAAGGAAGGGCTGTTGAGGTGGCTCAGCCAGTAGGAGTGCCTGCCACCAAGCTAAACCTGAGTTCAGTCCCAGAGCCCACATGGTAGGAGAAAACTGATTCCAGAAAGTAGCCCTCCAACCTACATCTACACACACACTCACACTCATACAAAATAAATAAAATGTGAAAACTTAAAAACCAAAGGATGATCAGGACAGGGCTGGGATACAGAGTTAATAAAATGTAACTGATAAGAAAAAAATAAAATTCAAAAAAATAAAAATAAAAAATAATAATAAAAAAAAAAAACAAAAACAAAGGATGAGCCAGGCATAGTTGGCACACACTTGTAATCTCAGCATTCAGGAAGGCAGAGGCAGGCGGATCTCTGTGAGTTTGAGGCCAGCCTGGTCTACAAAGAGACTCTAGGACAGCCAAGGCTACACAGAGAAACCCTGCCTCAAAAAAGCAAACACACACACACACACACACACACACACACACAAAAGGGCTGGAGAGATGGCTCAGTGGCTAAGAGTACTGGCTGCTCTTGCATGGACACAGGTTTTCTTCCCAGCACATGGCAGCTCACAACCATCTGTAATTCCAGTTTTCAGGGGATTCTGTGCTCTCTTCTGGCCTTGTGGGCACCAGGCACACACATGCAGAAATACATGCATACAAAACATTCATATGTGTAAAATAAAAATAAACATTTTTAAGGAGAAATAGAAGGAAGAAGATCAGATTTCCACAAAGAGACAATTATATCCAAATACAAAAATAAATCTAGCACATCCTATAACACTTCTTCTGAGAGACATAGCTTTAAAACACAGAAAAGGCTAACTTCTGGTACCATCTAGGACCTGCTCACCTGGCATCATACATGTTTACTGAGTGTTTCAGAAGGCACTGCAGAGGCCCCCTCAGCTCCCTCATCTGATCCTAGCCCTGGGTGGCATCTCTCTCCCTGGGACTAGTCTCTGGCTCCGTCAGCACATGACAACCTCAGAAGAGGGGGCCATCCTCTCAGCAAGAGGCAGCCAGCGACTCCACAAGGTTGGAACAGTGTGTCAAACACATCACATCAACTGGACTGTGCAATATTATTCTTTGTTACCCAGGATAATGACCTGCCATTTTCCCACAGGAAAAGTTCTTAGAAAGCTTTATGTTAAAAATCATATTCCTCCTCAAGTACTGAATCAGAATGGAACAGTCATGAGTTCACTCTGACTGGCAACAATCTTACAGTCTACTAGACCAGATAAGCAGTCCACAGACATGTGAGAAGAATGAAAGCACAGGCCTTTCAGAGAAGGGCTGGGAGTGAGGGGAAGGCCTGGCTCCTGGAGAAAGGGTCAGGGGCACAGGCTCCTGATAGTTCTGAAAGGTAGGGTTAGAGAAGACAGGATGGACGGGAGGACGCTGCTTCAGAGAGAGAGAGAGAGAGAGAGCAGCAGAAGACAAAGAAGTCTCGGGGCTGGGAGGATAGGAAAGTGCTCACCTCTGTACATCAGGACCTGAATCCATCCACAGGTGAGGGTACCTGCCTGGGGTGGTGGTCGCCTATAACTCTAACGTTGGAAGGTGGAGACAGGAGGATGCCTGGGACTTCTTGGACAGCAGACCTCACCTAAACAGTGAGCCCCAGATCCTGTTGAGGACCCTGTCTAAAGGAGATGGATGGCATTTCTGAGGGTGACACTGAGGTTGTCCTCTGGCCTTCATACACATATGCACACGCACACACACAAACACACACACACACACACACACACACACACACACACACACACGACTTCCAGCTGACTCCAGTTCAAGAGCAAGCACTGGGTCACACGGTCAGTGCTCAGTCTCCGGAAGCACTTCAATCAGGTGAAATGTGGCTAATCTGTTCCATATGCTTCCTTCTGTCAACAGGAAGTCTGGACTAAACTCTACAGGTCTCTTAATTCTCCTGATGGGACATGGAGATACCAATGAGCTCCTCAGGAGAGAGCTCAATGCCTCACACCAAGTTTCCAGGAAACCCACGTTTCTTTTATTCACGGACTGTATTTCATATACCTAGCAGTCCTTGAAATAACTATGGACAGCAGTGACACCTGCTGCGTCATGTGAAATGAAAAACAGTTCCTTGAGTGGTGTCTCACCCCGCAAGACACACATGGGGGTGACACCCCAGGGTGTTCACAGAGTGCCCTGGAGCAGGTAAGGTGCCTCCTGGCCCCAGGGCAGCAGGCTCCTCTGCATTCGGAGCTCCATCTGCCAAAGCCAACACGACAAGTGGGGCCGTGTGAAGGTGGGTCCTTTAGTTCACTAAGACTCTTTCTCCCTCTCACGGGTTCATTCATTGGTTGAGAGGTAGCTCACTGCCAGAGAGGGACCAAGACACCAGCCACCTGATCTGGAGTCTGGCAGCCACAGACCTGAAGCTATCAACCGCTCAAGTGAAAAATTTGCCAAAAAGGGATCTCTTGGGCCAAATCATTTGTTTTTGAAAGGCAGCCTATCTTTAGCCAAAATATACCAAATGGAGGTTTCACGAGTATCACTGCAAAGCTGGCACCAGGGTGCTAAGAGTGCTGACGAGGTCAGCCAGGTGGCCCCTGCTCGGCATGGGGTATCACGGCCCTGCAGGGCCGCCTAGTTTTCCTTCTGCGACTGCTGTAACCTCTTGGCTACAGCTGTGATCAGAGCTGCTCCCTTCCCACTGCCGTCTTCTGACAACATGAATGTCACGTCACACTGTGGGGCCAGTTCTTTCACAGTCTCCTGCAGTATCCGGGAGAAGCTGGACAAAGAGGAAAACACATCAGCTCTTGCAGGAGGTTGGCAGGCGAGACCATTATGACCATGCTTTTCTCCCTGGCCGCAGGCGAAAACCCCATGCTCGCGAGTCAAGTGTGGTGTCAGCTGTAGGGTTCTCACAGGAGCAAGATCTTCAGGAGACTATCCATAGACAGGGTTCTCTGTATAGACCTGGCTATCCTGGAACTCACCCTGTAGACCAGGCCGGGCTCAAACTCACAGAGGTCCGCCTGTCTCTGCCTCTCGCGTGCTAGGATTAAAGACGCATGCCACCACTGCCCAGTAGTGTCAGCACCTTTTTCAGGGATTTGATGGTTTATTTCTAGCCTTTGTTCAAATCTTAGTTGAAGAAAGAGATTTGGAGCTGGCAAGATGGCTCAGAGGTTCTTGCCACCAGGCCTGATGACCTGAGTTTGATTCCTGGCTGGGCCCCAGGTGGTGGTTAGAGAAAAGTGATGCCTATGCATCCATGTATGTACACGCATCTACATGTACATACAAAATAAATGTAAAAATATTTAAAGGGATATATTTGTAGAAACCAAGCCCTAAAATGCATGTCATCCAAGGGATGAATATAGAAGCTGTGCGCGAGCGATCACTACCACAGGAATGATATCATCTTGTTCATACATACCCTTCTCATCAAAATAGAATGGGAAACACTGAACAAGAACGATGCCTTCTGATGGGCAGTCATGCCTCACACCTTTGATCCCAGCACTTTGGAGGCAGAGACAGATGGATCTCTGTGAGTTCAAGGCCAGCCTGGTCTACGGAGTGAGTCCCAGGACAGGCAGGAGACACCCTGTCACACCCCCGACCCAAAAGAAAGTAACAGCTTTCTTTCGTGAAGCTGTCAAACTTACACCTCATAACAACATATGTGGTGGGTATGGTTTCCTTTGTCTCCATTCTACAGAAAAAGAGCTGAAGCTCAAGGCAGACAAAACTGGCCCTGTGCCATCTGGCTTCTGAGTAGCAGAGCCTAGAGTCAACCCTAACTTATGCGACAAGGGTTTTTTATTTTTTAATTTTAAATTTTGTTTTGTTTTATGTTTGAGACAAGGTTTCTCTGTGTCGCCTTGGCTGTCCTAGACACACTTTGTAGACAAGGCTGGCCTCGAACTCACAGTGATCCACCTTCTCTGCCTCCCTGAGTGCTGGGATTACAGGCGTGGCCCACCACTGCCAGTGAGCTTTTTCTTTTCCTGTCCACTAACTGAACTGGGAAGTTAGAGCTAGCTCATACCTGGCTGACTCTCTGCCATGTTCTCTACCTGGCCCTATAAAGCCAATCAAAGCTATGATCACAACATGTGGCCCTTTGGTGTTGGATGGTGCCCATTTAGTCACCATGAGTCATACCCTAACAGGCAGAGGTCACTGCTGTTGACCTGGCAGATGAGGACCCCGATGGAGTTTAAAGGCTGACTCTTAGCCTCCATAGACAACCAGGAGGCAGGAGCACCAGCCCTGCCTTCAGATTCAATAGCAGTGGGCTCTACCAGGCCCAGTTACCACCCCCATGGGGCCACATCTTCACGGTGTGAACATGAAGAGTGTGTGTGGGTCCAGCCCAGGCCCCCAGCTTGCCTGCCCTCTGTTCTGGTCCCCACGCCTGCCTGGGGCACTTACTGGGGGTGCAGTTTATACAGTGTGCCGTCCACACCCACGGTGACCTTGAAGTGCTGGAGCCCCTGGTCTTCTCTCCTCTTCTCCACGATGGCGGCCATGCCTGCGCCGCAGAGCCGGGCAGCCCTCCGAGACACCGCCCCACACACCTCCTTCACCACGATGCTGTCTTCACACGTGCTGTCCAGGCCCAGCTGCTGCAGAATCCTCCTGACCTGCAGGAGGGCCAGCCGGTCGCTGTGGACAAGCAGGCCAGAAGGTTAGTGGCTGCTTCCCACACCTCAACCTGCTTCACATGATTCAGGTCCTGTTTCAGTCTGCTCACCTGGCTGTGCATAGCCAGATGAATGCTGCCAAAGCGGCTGAGGGCACAGAATGTCAGTCCCCCACCCTAGGAAGTCCCATTGCCTTTAAATAGCAAGGTGTGAGTGCACTGGGCACACTCTTGCCCAGTCACTAGCAGCTAATGTTAGGGTCGGCAACCACCATAGCAAATGCCTGTTTTTCATGAGCCTGAGGTTCAGAGTACAAGGGCCGTCCTTGCTGATGGCAGCCACAGCCCCCCACTGTGGTACTCTCTCTCCATGCCAAAGGCCAATTTCCTCCTACTCCCATTTCTATTGTTTTGGGTTTTGTTTCCTGCTATATAGCCTAGGGCTGGCCTGGTGTTCACTAGGTAGTTCTCAGCCTGGCCGCAAATTCATGGTAATCTTCCCCCCTCTACTTCCTGGGATTAAAGGTATGTGCTGTCCACCCAGCTGACTTTATGCTCTTTGAAGGTGAAACCATGTTTTCAGCAGCAACCTGCAGAGGACTGGGGATAGCCACTGACCAGATGACTGAATGAAATGTGGAACATAATGATACCTTAAAGAACAGGAACCCTTAACTCAGGGACCCAAGAAAATAAACTACTGAGTGATCAGCCCCAGTTGGGAGATCTAGATCATATCCCACCCTCCCAAGGTTTAGATGTCATCTCAGAAGAGGAGGCAGGAACTTTAAGAACCAGAAGCAGTGGGTGACTACTATGTCAGAACTAGACAGGACAAGATAATTGCACACATAGCTCAGTGCAGTTGGGACTCCTTGCCCAAGACCTGAGGAAGATATGGTCCACTGAATGGATGGCAGAGGAGGTCAACAAAGCTCCCTCAGCTGAGGAGCTATGAGCAATTGACAGCTGCTGGCAAGGGAAGGGTCAGTGTGAGGGAGTTTTCTTCGGGCACAGGGCCCTGAGAAGCTGCCCATGCTCCAGAACATGACTGTACACTCATGCACATACAGGCAGCTTGAGGCAGACCCAGTGGGGCTTCTTAAACAGAATATGTAAAATTGGGGAGGCAATAGTGTTGGGGAGGGGGTGAGGTAGGATCTGGCAGGGAGGGATGGGGCTGGATTTGTACAGAGAAATGGCACCACAGAAACAAGCTGGCCTCAAGTCTAGACCCCAAGTAAGTCACAGTGAACCAGTGATAAGCGATGGTACTTGCACTGAGCCTCAAGCTAAGGCCTATAAGGTTGCATGCTTGGCTCGGGGAAGACGAGCCCTCAAAAGAATGACAGACAAGTGGCCTTGGTGGCCAGGCAGGGATCATGCAGTGGGCCAGCCAAGCTATAGAATGATGACAGATCTGCAGCTCCCGAGGATGACTTTATTAGGCCATTTCATGTCTGGAGAGGCCAGGGGTGATAAAGCACTGTCTGCTCTTAGTCTTGGGACTTAGTCTGTATTTGTTTAGATTTTATTTCTTGTCTCTGAGCATCTGAAAGGCTAAAGGACAGATCCTGAAACACTGGTTAGTAACAGAAGCTTCTTGATTTCTTCCTTCACTGATTTTTAATTTTCATGTTGTGATGGTAGGAATTAAGCAAAGCTTCCTGAATGCCAACAGAGGAAGTTCACTCTCTTCCCCTCTCCCTTCCCCCTCCTTCTCCCCAGGAGCTTCCTTTGAAACCCAGGCTGGCCTCAGACTCAGAATCCCCCTCCTCAGCTGAGTGCTGAGATAGAGGCGACCACCATAATGGCTTCTAGAAACAACTTGTTTGAGTTGAGGGGAAACAGAACCCAGAGCACAGGCCAGTCATGCTGAGGGGAAGCTGTTCTCAGAGGATCCAGCTGGTTACACCTGCTCCTTACCTTTCCAGAGCACTGCCAGTTCCTCCTCCCAGCCCCTCCTTCCCTCCAATTCTTCTTTTTAAAGATTTTTATCTTATTTTATGTGGATGAGTGTTTTGCCTGTGCTGTGTAACTTTTGTGTGCAGAGACCAGAAGAGAGCACCAGATGCCCTGGACTTGGAGTTCCAGGCGGTTGTGAGCTGCCATGCTGGTGCTGGGAACCAAACCCAGGTCCTCTGCAAGAGCGGCCGCGGCTCTTACCCCTGAGCTGTCTCTTCTATCCCGTGACCCTACAGTGACTCTACCTTCCACGGTCAGCTCTCCAGACCGCAAGAACCCTGCAGACACACTCTGACTTCGCTTGTAAAGTGAGTACACAGCGGTTTTGTTTTTCTTTCTGCTGTTGTTTGTTTAATGTGGTTTGGAAAAAAGTTTGTTATGGAGCCCTGGCTGGCCTGGCACTCCCCATGTGTACCACCATGCCTGATTTGGTCTCTCTCTTTTCCCATCACTGCCCCCACGGATGCTTTTGCACTCAAAAACATCTAACCAGAAGGACTAATAAAATTCAATTATTGGGCACAGATTGAGAGGAACCAGCATTTCTGTACATAACTCGTGGTGGTGAGACTGGGAAGTCCATATATATATATATATATATATATATTTTTTTAGACAGGGTTTCATATAGCTCAGGCTGACCTAGAACTCATTATATAACCAAAGACGACCTTATCCTTCTCTTTCTTTGCCTCCCAAGTACTGATATTACATGCCTGTGCCATAGACCTGGCTTCTGCTATGCTGGGGATTGAACCATGGTCTGTGTGCATGCCAGGAAAGCATTCTACCCACTGAGCCACACCCCCAACGTCAGAAGCCACTTTCCAAAATGCAATGCACCCTCAGGGAAGTGCTCCTTTTGTCAAATGTTTCTACTCCTAAATAAATAATTCATAAGATGCAAATGACTATGTGAAAAAAAAAAGAGTAATTATGGTGTTTCTCAGAACAACAAAAACTCATAAATTATAACCCTGGCATCGCACACCAAATGGAAATTTAGTAAATTATAGTAACAGGGAAGTTTCCTACAGCCATTCAAAGCAATCATTACACTAAGGAGCTGATAAGGGGAAGTTTGCTTTCAAGAAATATTCTAACTAATTAATTCTAACTAATATTCTAATTAATGCTGACAGCATAAGACTGTCACCGTAAGCATCAATGAGTGGTGACAATATAGGAAAAGGACAGATAGACCAAAAGAGACAAAGAGACAAAGGAGGGTACTGAGTGCTATAATAATCATCCATGCCTGGAATACAGGGAAGTCATAGGATGAGCTACAGTTTCCTCAACAACTATGCAGTTAGGGAAAACAAGGAAAGGAGGGGATGCCTACAGAGTAAAATAGATTTTAGACAAGCCAAGCAAATAGAAAGGCCCTGTTTGCCTACGAATGTGAATGAATACCAAACAACTATACTGCTGGGGTTTTTTGTTTGTGTTTTTGTTTGGTATTTCAGGAAACAAGATTTTTGACGTTAAGGTTTAATATTAGCTGTTTTGGGTGCAATAACGGTACTTGGTTGTGACTTTTTAAGAGCTTCTATTTAGAAATACATTTTGAAATATTTATAAATGAGCTGACATAAGGTGCAGGCTCTGTTTCAAATTAACCTAGCCGGAGGCTGAGCCAGTAGGAGTATGCCTGTGTGACAAACCTTTGTTGACCTTTGTTGGGGGGCAGTGATGGGAACACTGGGTCCATTTCACTATTGTTCTACTTTTGTAGATGTTTAAAATTTTCCATAGTAAGAAAAGTAAAACAAGAAACAGAAGCCAGGCATGGTAGCACACACACTTGGAACCCCAGCACTTGGGAGGTAGACACAGATTTCAGCTACATTGCAACTTTGAGGCCACCTGGGAATGTCTAAAGACCAGACAAACAAGCAAGCAAACAGCACAGTAAGTGAAAATTCCCATAACTAAACACTGAATAAATAATATGTAAATTATATGTAATATGATGGCCTGTATCAAATAAGCTTGCATATATTAAAAAACTCAAGAGGGGACAAAATACACAAAAGTCAAAATAGCTGTATTTGGTGATAAGTAGATGAGCGATTTTCTTTTCCAGATTTTCTTTGTTATAGTGTTGGGGGCTGGTCGGATGCTTGCATTTTGATGTAATTAGTGGCCTTCAAGATCTAGTTACTGCCCAGATACACCTATTCTTGTTGTATAAACCTAAAAATGCCTAAGACATTTTTCCTGACTAGTTTATTAGAAGGCCTAAAACATGGGCAGGGCAAAATGGGGTAGGTGTGGCTAAAGTTCCCAGGCTTAGGGGATAGGAGAATCACAGGAAAGGACAGGGAAGACATAAGGAAAAAGGATACCATGATGGGATACCATGATGGAGAAGAAACCATATGGGCTGGGAGAAAAAGACTTTACAGATGGCATGGATGGAGAAAACACCAAGATGAAAAATATAAGCACGCATTGATAAGATTATGGATGGAAAGTAGCCCGGATAAGAAAGGTTAAGGCAGATGGCATTGGGTGGGGGCTGGGAGATGGATGGTGAGGTTATTGAGATAGCCTGTCCAGCCTAAGGTAAATAAGGCAATTATAAAACCTAACAGGTGTCAGTATCTTATTAATCGTAATAGTGGGTTAAATTATACTACCATAATAATCACAGGGCTAATAATAAAAATATTTAGCCCAACACCATTAATCTTCAACATTATAGGTACACCGTCTTTTCACAATAGAGGAGGGTTCACTTTTAGCTTAATCTAATTCCTGTGCAGTCCTTCTGGAACCTCAGTAGAGAACCCAGTTCTTTCAGTCATCCATTACCTTTCAATCTGAGACAGGAATTTGGTTTCAAAGATACCCCTGGTCCGGAGTCGCTCTGAAATTTGCCCTCGGAAGAGGAGCCCTTGCCTGGTGAGGTCGATCAGGATCCGCCTGACAATCTCCCCCAGGTACATCCCACTGGTCATTTTCTCATATCTGTTTGGGGAAGAGGGAATAAGACTGATGAGGGCAGAAAGGTAGTTTCGGCAGGGCGCGGTCTGGGTGCAGAAGGCACGCCACTGGCGCCTGAAGCAGCCTGGGGAGGCTGCCCCTGCAGCTGTCAGGTAAATGTAACAGGGAACAGGCGAAATGAGAAAGGCAGGCTTCAGAGCTACCGGGAGTCAAGCCCTCAACTGGTGTTCAGAGACAAGGTTTTCAGGCCTTTTAATGCAGGGATGAGCTGAGCCCAGGCTTTGTGCATGCTATACCAGCACTCTAGACTGAGTTGCACCCTCAGCCTGGTGGCCCTTTGTTCTAAAACAACCGGCTCACCCGGGTTACAGCAGCTCACCCACCACCCAGCAACAAAGCAGGATAAGGGAACACCGATACCTTATGTTCTCAGCTTACCAGTCCCCAAAGTGTCCTTGAGCCTGGTCTTAGCACATTTCCCACCTGTAAAGCCTCTACTTGCTTATCCGCCCTCATAATAAATATCTACTCCCCTCAGGTTACATATTATAAAACCAAGCTCAACCGGGACAGAGTCTATATGTCTCACACAATCTAGAACACTCTCTGACCATTTACAGAAAAGTTTCCCAACCCTGTTCCTGGCTCACTCCTGGGGCCTAATACTTTAGCTCCACCTCAGTCTAGCCCTTTCTTCTATATTCACCAATGCAGGATAATGCAGGTAGAAATCTACTGTAAGGTGTCTAGACGCTACTTGTTATTTTCTCTTTTCAGTCGTTAGTAACTGAAATGTACTTCACAAAGGCTTGTGAGCCATGATAAGATGTGATACCACGTCGAGAGTCGTCTTCCCATGCATCATGGGGACCACTTTCCCACCCCTTGGAGCTCACTGGCCTTAAAGGGCCAAGGACCTTGACCTCTAAATGGGACCGAGTAAAGCCCATCTGAGGGTCTACATAGTCACCACACCCCTGCTCTGTGACACCTAGGCACCCTGCCAGCAGATACTCTGACAGCCTCTGGCTGGCTTTCAGAGCTCCATAAGCTTCATGGTACCTTCTGGTAATTAGAGATGGCTTCCTTTTATTCCAGGATGATCCTGGAATAAAAGGTACAGAGGTATAATAAGCATAGACAAAGCTATCAGGCTGATGCTGGTCCCTGGGTTTGGTGAAACTGTTTCCTTCACACATGATGTACACACAACCACCTGCCCACCTCACCTCTGTTTGCCAGCATTCAAGGAGCCCTCATCCACCTCCTTGTCGTACTGAGTGCGGATGTCTTCTATGCAGCCATTATCTCCAAATCCTCCCCACTCTGTGTTGATGCACATCCGGCCTTCATCCCCTTCCACCAGCTCAATGTTCCTCATCTCCTCCATATAGCACACGTTGCTGCCTGTCCCTGGAAGGAATCATGAAGGGGCTTTAGTCCTCAAAGATAACACTAGGTCTATGAGAGGCAGATGAGTGCCATAAATAAGTTGGAGTCTGAGACAGAGCTGGACAGGATTCCAGCTTTATACTCAGTTGGCCAGTCTTAAGCAAGTGCTCGATGAAGTTGTTAAAGAGAAAAGAATAAGACATCATTTGTGTATTCTCTCCACATGTTAAGTAGCCAATGAGTGATACTTACCATCTTCAGTAACAGCAGCCGGAAGAGCAGCATATCATCATCATCTTCTTCTTCCTTATCACCCCCATCATCATCAGTATCATCACCATCACCACCATCACCAATTAGCATCATCATTAGCATCTCTAGCTACACCATCATCCCTATTGTTCCTACCATCATCATCCCCAGCAGCAGTAGCATTGCCATCACCATTATCACCATGCCCATCTTGCCTGTCATTGTCAGTATCATCATCACTATCAATGTCATCATCATCATGTCTATCATCTTCATCCCAGCAGCAGTAGCATTGCGATCACCATTATCACCATGCCCATCTTGCCTATCATCATCAGTATCATCATCATCATCATCATCATCATTAGCAGCAGCAGCAGCAGCAGTAGCAGCAAAGCCAGAACCCGCTCCGCAGCCCCAGGCCACCTTGTCCAACTGTGGGTTCCTTCCTTCTAAGACAACCAGCCCCAGAACGATAACTTGAAATAAGAGAGTCTAAGGAAGGGAAAACACAGTACTAGGGGTGATGGAATTACAACACATTATATTCATGTACAAAAATGTCCAATGAAGGAAGAAAGGGAAGAGAAGAAAACTCCTTCTTTGTGTATCTTCTCCCTCAATGAAAAGAATGACCTTGGCTTAGAGCCTTGGTGAGAAAGGTATTAAGAACCTTTGGAATTAATCAAGCTAGATTCCCAAACTGAATCACACCCACCTCTGGAGCAGCCTCTGGCAACATAGCAGTGACCCTGCCAGCCCTGAAGAGAGTCAGATGGGAGCTGGCTATTGTCTGGGGCGGGGCATGCCTGACCACGCACCTGCAATCAAGCCAATCTCACAATTGGGATCTTCATAGCCACATGTCATCATGGTCCCCACTGTGTCATTCACGATTGCAACTATGTCCAGGTCAAACTCCTGCAAAGGAAGCAACCAGCTGTCCTGAAAACAGAATGTGCAAGGGGTACCTCGGCCCAAGGCAGACTGAGGTCTCTGTCCCATGACCTGAGCATATCATGGCAGAGGGGAAGGAGACAAGGTCCAACATGAGCCTTCCCACCATAGCCTACATTTCTCCTCTTGATGGCTTCTCTGAGCATGTCCACCACGTCCTCCCCTTCACAGTCGGTGGCCTTGAAGCCTTTGGTCCACCCTACTAGAGTCCCCTGAAACAAAGAAAAGGGGTGTCACTTGGATGGCAGTTCTCAAGGTCACAGAGCAGCTCAGATATGGGTTGCTGACTCTGGTCACTGACGGAACATGCATATCCTTGGCCTGCTTCTACCTCCACTATCAACATGGCTCAAACAAGGGCTCTTGCCAAATGGGCTCTCTGCAGGTCTGTGTAGTCTTCAAGAGTCAGATGTGTCTCTGTCACTGTTACCCAGAATCAAAGTCTGGAACCACTTCTAATGTTATCCATAACAGACTGAGGTGTCCTCAGAGGTCAAGTTATGAAACGTCACTCAGCCTAGAAAAGGCCTGGAACCACATGTGCCCAGGTGGTGACTGGCTATCTTTGGATCCAAGACTGAATGCATTTTTATCTTTCTGTATTTTCTAAAATCAAGACACTTAATGTTCATAGTAGTGTTTTAATGTTTAGAAGCTGTTAGCCTAATTGGGGGTTTATCTAGCCCAACGCCACAGGCTACAAAGCAGGGAGTGAGAGCAGCTGGCAGAACTAGGGTATTGGGCCAGGAAAGGTGGCCCACAGAACCTTTGGCTAGACACTGCCTTTCCCTAAGGCTTTTAGCTGTCAAGCCTCCGTAGTCCTCAGAACACACTCCCAACATATATGTGTGTGTGTATATATGTATATATTGTAATTACATATATATAATTGCAATTATACAAAAATAATATTTCCTCTTTCTTTTCCCCATGACCTTTGGTAGCTTGGCTCCCAGCTTCCTGCCTTCTTCACCAGCCTCCTCCTGGAATCAGGACAGTGCTGAGTTGTCACTGGCCTAGATCAGAGGTTCTGCTGTGTTTGGGGCCATCCATCATCAGAACCACTGACAGCCATGCAAGGCTACTTTCCACACAGTCTATTCATTCTTTTTGTTTGTTTGTTTAACCCTGGCTGTCCTAGAACTCTTTATGTAAACCAGGCTGTCCTCAAACTCATAGAGATCTGCCAGCCTCTGCCTCCTGAGTGCTGGGATTAAAGGCCTGAGCCACCACCACCTGGCTTACTCTATTTATTCTTTTTATTATTGTTAGAACAATTTTATTCAGAGGCTCGGGAAAAGTTGGAGAAGTCCAGACTGTCTGCTGTCCCCTGCAGGGAAGATCTTAGAGGTCTCCCCCATTGCTAAGCAGTTTATTTATTCTTAATGGCAGCAAAAGTACGAGTGCATTGGTTTTGTTTTTAACAAACAAACTGAAATGCTACTGATAAGAAACCCCCCTCTAACATTCCAGTCCCCCAAGGAGTAATTGCTACTGTAAGTTCAATGAAAATCCCTCCAAACCCTTTCTTTCTGCCTACTTGTACTTTGAAATAAGCAAATTAATATTTTGTGTATTAGCTTTCCTTGCTTAGTGATATACTGTGGAGAGTTTCCTAGATCACCTAATGTGGTTTCTCTCTGTCCTTTCATTAAGCAAAATAGTCACAGAAATTTGAAAACCCACAGATACACCTACAAAGTAAGCAGAATTTCTACCCTTGTTTTAGAAAGATTTGTTTATTTTTGTCTGGGTGTGTCTGTGTGCACATGCATGTGAGCATCTGCGTGCACAGGACAAGTTTATGTGTGCCACGTGTGTGCAAGGTCAAGGTCAGAAGAGGGCATCAGATGCCCTGGGACTGGAATTCCAGATGATCCTGAGCCACCGTGTGGGTGCTGTGAACTGAACCTGGGTCCTTTGCAAGAACAGTAAATGCTCTTACGTGCTGACTCATCTCTGCACCCCCTAACCTCATTTATAAACCAAGGAAACCAAACCACAGAACTTAGCCAAGGTCACACAGCCAGTAGATGAGAAGCCTGACAAACCACCTCAGCATCTGTGGTTGTCCTGTTTGTCCCCCACCCCAAGTCGGGTAAGAACATGAAGAGCACAGAGCAGTGTCTAGCACAGAACCAGCACTGCGGATGCTTTTTATGTACATACTACATCTCATTTAATCCAACCTCCTCCTCCTCTCTCCTCCTCCTCCTCATCATTACTGGTGAAGGTCAGGATATCATGTAACCCAGGCTGACACTGAACTCCCTACATAGCCAAAGGTGGCCTTCAAGTCTTGATTGCCCTGCCTCCATCTCCCAAGTGCTGCCATTCATGCATGTGCCACCATGAAAGCTTGGGAAACGAATTTAAGTTACACGGGCTTCTGTCATCAGGCAATAAAAACCTTACAACCTCAGTGCCTTCTTATTCACATGTGCTATTCAGAGCACATAAAAAAAAATATTTCCCACTTGTTCTAATTAGCCGGCACTGGTCATTACCTTTTCAAACCTCTCCATAAAGCAATTGGCCCATCTTTTCTAATAGTGTCACATGTGTCCCTTTATTGCATACTAGGCTACACCTGAGAGGCCCACTCCCTAGAGCCAACCAACTGTGGATGAAAAATATTCAGAAAGAGACTGGAGAGTAGCTTGGCAGTTAGGAAGAATGGCTGCTCTTGCAGAGGACCGGGGCTCGGTTCCCAGCACCCACATGGTGGCTCCCAACCACCTTGCAACTCCGTTCCAGGGGACCTGATGTCGTCCTCTGGCTCCCTCAGGCACTGCACATGTTACACAGACGTACTTACAGGCAGAGACGCAAGTGAACAAACAAAAGAATTAAAAAGTATTCAGAAACAGAAACTGCAGCTGCCCTGCTGTGCCCAAACCCTGCTTATCATTCTTCCCTAAACACCGACTCAGCATTTACACAGTGGGACACGATCTAGAGATGGCATCCTGCCAGGGTCTGTGTAGACTCCACACCAGTCTGAACAATGAACTTGAGCCACAGTGGGTTTTGGCACCTGTGGGGAGTCCTGGATCCAGTCCCCTGCAGATACCAAGGAATTTACTCTTTTGCAAATTTCAAAATAAGGAGAACCGGGCTGGAGAGATGGCTCAGAGGTTAAGAGCACTGACTGTTCTTTTAGAGTGCTGGGTTCAATTCCCAGCACCCACATGGCAGCTCATAACTGTCTGTAACTCCTGTCCCAGGGAATCCAACAGCCTTACACAGACATACATGCAGACAAAACACCAATGTATATAAAATACAAATAAATAAATTATTTAAAAAAAATAAGGAGAAACAAAATGCAGTAGAGAAAGCTTTACATGATTAAAACCCTCTGTGCCAGGTGTCCCGGCTGTGGCAACGGTGGCCTGGTGTGTGGCTCAGTCAGTAGAGTGCCCACCGCCTGTACACACAGCCCTGGCCTTGATCCTTAGTGCTGCATGCCCAGGGCGTGCTGGTGCATGCCTGCTATCCCGGGGCTCAAAAAAGGAGGATCAAAAATTCGTAGTAATCCTTGGCTACGTAAGGAATTTGAGACTTGCCTGGGATACTTCAGATCCTGTCTCAAAAACCAAACAGACACAGGGGAACCTTGAAATGGCCCCCAGTTGGTGGGGGTGGGCAGCTTCTAGGCCAGCTGTGTGCCTGGCAGGGCCATCTTACCTTGTCAATGCACGTTTGTCTGCAGGGAAAGGAGAATGTGAAGCCCAGAGGCAGCTGGGCACCCTTGAGGCCCATATAGTCCAGGAAGTCAGCGATGCACTGCACAATGTGGTCAAAGAGCTGCAGGGAGAAAGCAGTGCTCATGCAAGGTGCACACGGAGGAGGGCGGCAGCCAGCACCCAGGCCCTAACACTCACCTCCTCCCCAGTGCCCTGCATGATCTCCAGGGGAATGGCAAAGATCTTGTTGTACATTCGCACCGACCTCCGTCCACTTCTGATCTTCACCAGGAGGACTCGGAAGTTAGTTCCCCCCAAATCCAGGGCAAGAAACTTTCCTTTCTCTGTGATGAGAAAGTGGAGGCTGCATCCCACCTACACATGCTGAGCCCGTGGAGGAAGAGCAGAGGACCAAGCCCAGCAGAAGGAGGGCCTCTGCTCCTGGCCTCCTAGACTGAAGAAGCTTCAGGCCATGGCAGGCGCTTTCAAGCTGCTTTAGGCCTGAGCACTGTTCTAAGCCCTCATTTCCCCAAGACCCAGGCACCGCACACTGCTTCTGAGAAACAGCTTTCCTCCTGGGCCTCTTTCCATGTCTACAGAGGGAGGAACTTGGGCCTTCAAGGGTTCTTCCAGCTCTAAACCCCACTAACTAATGGGTCCCAAACGCTATACTGAGTTGGGGCTTCCGGGAGAAGACATGATGTGTTGAACCTGGCACTCAGGGGCCCTCAAACGGGAATCCTGGCCACTTAACCTAAGTGCATGGGACTCTGGGAAGCATTCCTATCCTGTTTAAACAGGCCAGGGGAATATTTCACCATACGCACAAGCCCGTGTGTGCATGATATGGGTAGGAGGGCACACGTGCCACCGCAGATATTTGGAGGGCAGAGAACAACTTTGTGGAGTTGGTTCTCTCCTTCCACCTCCCCATGTCATCCTGGGACAGAACTCAGGCTGTCAGGCTTACATAAGTAAGCAGCTTTACGTTGTGAGCCCTCTGGCCAATAATAAACCAATTCTTGTTCCTTCTTCCCCAGTCCCCATGTCCTCTGGCTAGGAAGCCCCCGCCAGACCCGAATCATGGAACTGTACAGGTCCCCACCCACAGGACCGCCCCCTCGGCCAATCAGCATCAGAGCCTCTCCTGCAACCTCTCCTGCTGCCCTCCACTCACCCACTCACTCCTAACCATACTGGTCTTTCTGTTTCTCAAAATTGCCAAAGACATCATTCCAGCCATTTCTGTCTTTCCTCCCAGCACCTGTCATTCCCCAGTGTCACGTGACCTTTACCTTTTGCCATCTGCCTGCCTGCCTAAGGCCCTTTCATAAGGACAGGAACGCTAATCTACTACCTGGCCTAAAACAGAGCCTAACATGCAGTTGCTACTTCATGGAGATTTGAGGGACAGGGACAGAAGCAAAGTGATTGAAAGCAGAAAGAAATGGCTCGATTAGTTTACTGTTCTCAGTCTTCCCCTAATCTCAAAGGACTTGGGCTCTAGATAAATCACTGTTCCTAAGAGATTCAAAGTGTGCGTCCCTCAGGAGCTTGTGAGCCTGTGGCATCCATGAAAGCGGACTAGTCCCTCTTCCAGTAACAGGCAAAGTGGTTTGAAGATGAAATAACAGAATCCAAAGCAAATTGTAAGGCATGAGCATGGGCCAACAAGATGGCTCAGCAGGTAAAGGCACTTGCCACCAGGCCTAACAACCTGAGTCTGAGCCTCAGGTGAAAGGAGAAAACCAACTCCCACAGTTGTCCTCTGACTTCCACGTGTGTGCTGTGCCACAAAGGCAGTTAGCAAAGGCCATTGTTCCCAAGAGGCCGCTGAGAGTCACAGAGGCAAGGCAGCTCAGAGAACTGACTCCACGCTCAGTGGTTTCCCTGAGCTGAGCAGAGAGAATCAAGAGGTGGAAGAGTCAGGGCAGAAAACAGGCAGGAGCAAGGCAATAACCCAAAAGCCAGAAAAGCGTCAGCCAGAGGAAGCCCTGAAGGCTCACACAAGCCCCAGTGCCCAGAGGGAGGCCCAGGGCAGCACAGGAACAGCTGCTGGCTCACAGAAAGAGGCCCATTTCTGTCCTCACCTGCACCTAGAACACACACACATACGTGCATGCACGCACACATATACATACACACATACACACATAAACATACATACACAATACACGCATACACACAGACAGACACAGATACACTCACACACATGCACACACAAACATATACACACCCTCACATAGACACACACATATATGCACACATACACACACACACACACACACACACACACACACACCTTCAGAACTACCCTCTACTGACTGCCCCCTCTCCTCATCCAACATTAACACTCACTGCATTTGCAGAGTGTAGCTGGGAGCCTTGCTTAGCCCTATAGAGCAGGTGCCTGTGCCAACCTACCCGTGCCATCGGGCATCCCATAGACATAGGTGGGAAGCATCTTCACAGTAGCCAGAGCATGAGTCTTTTTCTTCAGCCCGTACTCCAGTTCAGCCCGCATCTTGTCCCGCACTCCCATGAGCTGCTCCCGGGTCAACTGGAACAAAGCCAGCACCTTGTCAATCTGCTTACGCTGGGCCTGCACCCGAGAGGCCACTGCGGTCACCATAGCGGCCCCCTTGGTGCTGCCACTCTCCGACAGGAGGAAGCGGACGTCACAGTTTGGGACCAGTCTCCTCACCACCTTGTGCAGGCGTTTGGGGTACCTGAAGGTAGAGGTGACAGTCAAACACTAAGCAATCCTAGATCTGGGTCTGGTAATGGGAAGAGACACAGGGCTGGTGGGCAAACTAGAGGCCCTGCTTGCTGGACTGTGGGGATGAGCAATGACAACCAGGGCAGTAGGAAGGGCATTCCAGACGCCCAGGGAAGTGCTGATGCTCCAACCCAAAGGGCATATGCGTGATGGAACAGTGCGATGGCTGATGTCACCTCTGTCCATAGGGGAAGGGTTTGCCTGCGCATCTCTTTCTAGGTGTACATTCCTAGCTTCCAATGTAGCCTCCACCAGCTAAAGGGTCTTTCACCGTGAATCCTCCTGAGGAAGCTTCACTTCCCCATGTCTTCCTAGAAGGGTCTGGCAACCTCTACCATCACTAATACCCTCCATCATGACCAGGTATTTCTGACTCTCCACTCTCACCATGCTACACGGATATCTAGATGATGGAGAGAAAGATGGCTAGAAAGGTAGGGAGACAGGTAGATGGGCATGTGGGTACATGGACACACGAGACATGAAAGAATGGACACTGATGGATGCATATGTAGATAGATAGAAAGTAGACAGACAGACAAACAGGTGGCCTTTCTAATTAGGCAATTTTAGGCAACTGCTTTAACAGGCTTTTTTTTTTTTTTTTTTAACTAAGTCTTGCTGCAGAGCCCCGGCCAGCCTTGAGCTTGCTCTCTTCCTGCCTCCTTACAGTGGAGGTCTCCATTGCTCTATCCTGTGTACACTCTAGAGAACCTGCTGCTGGTCAGCCCTTCTGAGTTCTGCCATTACTGGGACGCACCACCATATCTAGCTAAGGGCCCCTCTCTTCAAGAGTGATTCCCCCAAACTGCCAGCCAGCTGTGCAAATGTAGGCTCTGCTCAGTCTTCCCTGGAAATCTTAGTAACTGTTAAGAGGGAGCTGATCCCAGCTGCCCAGATATGCACCACAGACCTGAGGGAGCACGAGGGTTCAGCTCTAAGGGAGATTCAGGCTGGTGGGTGGCACTTACTGAGGGTGTGTTTTGTAGAGCGTCCCATCCATGCCCACTGTGGTTCGGAGCCGGGCCAGCTTCTTGTTCTCTCGGAGGCGTGTCAGGATGGCGGCCAGAGCAGCCGCACAGAGATTGGCCGAGCGGAAAGAGACCACGGTGCAGACATGCTGGACAGCAATGCAGTCTGACTCAGAGGGGTCCAGGCCCAAATCCACCAGGATCTCTCTTGTATTGGCCAGGCCTTCTTTATTCCTAGCCAGGGGACAGGAGTGAGAGGCCTACACTTCTCCATGCTGTGGGCACCCTCTTGGGACATGTGCTTTCAGGACTGTGTACACTGTCTCATCATAACACAATGTAGTCAATAACGTCAGTGCTGAAAAGAGCAGCTACCAATTACTAAGTAAGCCGCAAGTCAAGCCATCCAGTCCTCACAGGAATCCTGAGGGAAGTACTGTTAGTAGGAGACAGGGAGAGGTGAGGCAACTGAGACAGAGGGTCAGTGACCTACCCCCACTCCCAAAGCTCCAAGTGCTAGAACCTCAGCTTGAACTCCGGCAGTTAGATCTCAGAGCCCATGCTTTTAAGCACCGCACTTTCTACTGTCACTCGGGTTCCATCCCTGCCACACCCTAGACTGACTGCAAGGGTGGTGCTAAGGATTCCACAGAGTAGGTTTCTGACCCGACTGAGCTAAGCTCCTTCATCAGTCAGCTCACCATTGCAGCGCTTTGAGTATAAAGGCTTAAATCACCAGATCTAAAGGCAGCCACACCAGGAGCCCATGGAAAAGACTCAGGCTACAGCAGGGCTCTAAGACTCCACGCTATATAGAGTGTAAGTGTGTCATAACATGAGTAAAACTGTATGCAAATGGGCAATTTGGGATAAGTATTCAGGACTTGACCTGATACCTCTTCCCCCCTCCCCAAAATATTACAAGTCACTATTCAAGAAGAAAAGAAGGCATAAAAACATGGAAAGAAGGTGGCTTTCTGACAGCACAGTCCCTAGCTAATGAAACCCACAAGAGTGAGACACTGAGCCACAGTGGCGATTTCTAGCGTGTCTTGAAGCCAAGCCCAAGGCTGAAATTCCTTCTGAAGGAGGAAGGTCTGATTCCTATTGCCGCTCCATCACCCAGTAATACACAGTTCTGTGGCCACTAACCCCAGCCCTCCACAGAGGCAAGGCAGGAGGGACACCCAGCAGCTTACTTCTCAATGGCAGCGACATGCTGTGTTTCAATCTTGCCCTTTGTGTGGAGAGCAGAGGATTTTGCACCCCCAAACAGGAGGCCAACTTTAGCCATCTTCAGTAAGATGATCCTGACCAGCTCCCCCATGTACAGGCCACTGATCATCTTCTCAAACCTGCAATGGACAAATGGGTCAGTGGAAACGACACCTCAGACTAAGTGTCAGCATGAGTTCCCAAATGCTCTGGCCATGGGGGAGCCATTCCTGCTTCAGCCATGAGGAAACACAATGTTGCAGCATTCTACTCTTCTCCTAAGCTCACTCGACCACCGCCTGACAACCAGAACAGAGACTCAGGTGCTTCTAACCCCCACATTGAGCTTCTGACTCAGAGAACCTGATGCTGAGATTTCAGTCTGGAGTGCCCCCTGAAGGGCGATTTGTCAAGGCTCCGCAGACCATATGGCACTGTGGGGGAGCAGTGGGACCTGTATGAGGTGGCCCCGAAAATGTTCACCCACCGTATGGCCATGTCCTTGAAGAGGAGAGTGGGACCCCACCCTCTTCTCCTCTCTGTGTCACACCCAGCCATGAGGTAAATGGCTTCCTCTACCACACACTTCTACCATAACATGCTGCTGGCCGCAGGTCCAGAAGCAATGGGCCTGCTGGTCACGGACTAGAGCCTCCAGAACTGTGAGCCAGGTGAGCCTTCTCAAGCTGCCTAGCTTGGGCATTTGTTACAGTAACAGGATACTGACTGACATGAGGCTTGGAGAACCCAAAGAAGGCCCACCATGACATGGATGGAAGAGCCCAGGAGGCGGCCCTCACCTCTACTCTGAGGCTCTCCACCAGACAACTGCTACTTGTTTCCCAGGCTACACAGTAATTGACTATTCAGTGTGCAAATGCAGTAAAATACAGAATCCAGAACTATCTGCTTCGTAAGCAGACTTACACATTGCAACAGGAAAACTCTAGATCACTGGGGCTGGAGAGATGGCTCAGCGGTTAAGGTCCCAAGGCCCTCAGTTCCCAGCCCAACATCAGACAGCTCCAACGCCATTCTGTGGCCTCCGTGGACACCTGCGTTCACACCTGCACACGTGTGTGCCCACATGTGTGTGCCCACATATCTACACACACAGACACACACACACACACACACAAACTAATAAAAAAGAATCATCTTAGAACATTGAAGAAACAGAAAGCAAGCAAAAGAAATTCAGGTTTGATCAAGAGAGTGGGATTTCTTCTGAGTGAAGCAGAGATAATGAAAATGACAGTCTGCTGAGTCTGCTGCCTTGGCTGGTACCAGCTCATAGTCACAAGGAAATCGGTATGTGCAGGGGTCGGCATAGCCAGGGCAAACGCAATGATTTGCAAAAGGTGCTTAAGGCACTGCACGTGGAAGGCCAGCAAAGCGGGTTGTGTCGAGAGCCTTGAGTAAGCTCAGCACACAGCAAAGAGCTGCACCAGGTGCCGGAGGAGCTGGTCTGCAGGCCATGGCTGGAGCTCCAAACAAGGTGCGGCTGAACAGCAGACAGCAGATGCACTGGCTGCTGGGAGATGAGGTCCCTGGGGATGCGGGGTGGCTGGGGAGGGAGCACACTCAGCAATCCTCAGGCCGGGTCCTGTGCTTCTTGTTCCTGGCATTCCTCTGTGCCCGTTCACCCACATACCCCAGGAGGGCGGAAGCATGGCCTTTGGTCCACAGCCTTACGGCAGAGCCTTGAATGCACACGCATAGTGCAGAACTGTGGACTGCGTGAGGACTGACGCTGACGGGACAGACTCACTGTGGGGGCTGACTAGTCACAACTAGAACCCCTCCCAGGTCCAGAGAGGGCTGAGTGAGCAGGGACTGCCCGTGCTGATGGCTGCTTGGTGACGAGGGCACTCACAGTTGCTTCCCGGGGTTGAGCGAGCCGAGGTCCAGCTCCCTGTCGAACTCTGTGCGGATGTCCTCCAAAGCACCATCGTCCCCGAAGCCTCCCCACTCTGTGTTGATGCACATCCGCCCCTCATCACCTTCCACCAGGTCAATGTTGTTCATGTCCTCCATGTAGCACGCATTGGTGCCCGTTCCTGGGAAGCAAACAGAGAGAACACTCAGAGGAAAGGGAGCCTGGCTGGGTAAGCCTGGGGTACTTACTGAGTACTAAGTACTCAGCTACCCCGAGGACTGAAACTGCACACAGGGCCTCACTCTGCCCTGCTGGCTCTGGCCAGCCTGAGCTCATGGGGAATGAGGCCCGCAGGTGAGGCCCACATGTGGAGCCCACACATGGATGGAATGGATGGAAGGTGGAGGGATGGAGAGGAGGGTGATAGAGGTGGGAGATGGAGGGATGGGGAGGAGGGTGATAGAGGTGGGAGGTGGAGGGATGGGGAGGAGGGTGATAGAGGTGGGAGGTGGAGGGATGGGGAGGAGGGTGATAGAGGTGGGAGGTTTCCCATCTCCCTGTGTTGCTTTGCAGCATGGGCAGAGACCCTCATGTTTATTTAGAATTTACTCAAACTCAGCCCCAAACTAGCCCCCTCCCCCACCTCCAAAAAGCCAAGCCCATTGAGTTACCAATGATTACACCGACTTCACAGTTGGGATCATCATAAGCACAAGTCATCATGGTCCCCACAGTGTCATTAACCAAGGCCAGGATGTCCACATCCAGGTCCTGATGAACACGAGGCCTCAAGGGGATCAGTGGTGGGAAGCTGCACTTGCCCCTCTCCCCCCCAAAAACACAGTGACCATCACTAGACACTGCCTGCACGAAACAGATTTTGTCAGGATTTGGGTCTAGGGGAGGAGGGGGAGCTTGGCTTCTGCACTGAGGGGAATGGCTTCTGTAAAAGGGGGACCATAGGGACAGCCCCTGGATCTACCTCTGGAGGACCCAGTGGAAAACATGTCTGTCCTGGAAAAACATGGTATTTCTAAGAAAAAATATGTCAGTCCTGTCCCCCAGGGCCCTGCCAGCCAGCAGGCATGGCCATCTTTCCTACATGGGTTTCCTCCTCTGTCTGGTCAACTCTAATCATAACACCAAGGTTCCCTCGGGTCTGGAGGATTGTTTCAAAGTGAGAAGAAAGACCTGGAAGGCGACACATCAAAACATTCCTTTGGGACTGAGGATCATAGTTCTGAGTAGCACACTTGCCACCGTTCTAGAGGCTCAGTCACCAGCTCAGCCAGTAACTGGAATAGTTTAGGTTTTAAGTGTTTTGTTTGGGATTCTCTCTCTCTCTCTTGCTTTTGACACTATACAAATAATTTTAAGATATCAGCAAAAAAGTAGGTAAAGAAAGTGGACTAGAGAGCTAGACCAGAAAGAGTGTTCTTTGGTATCTGTGTATGTGTTGGTTGGTTGGTTGGTTGGTTGGTTGGTTGGTTGGTTGGTTGGTTGATTGGTTGGTTGGTTGAGTGGGTGGGTGGTTGTTTGGTAGGTTGGGTGTGTGGGTGTGTGGGTATGTTGGTGGGTGGTTGAATGGATGGTTGGGTGGTTGGGTGGTTGGGGGGTTGAGGGATTATTTGGGTGATTGGGTGAGAGAACAAGAAATTGCCCAAAGGCTTGTGCATATGCTTTGCCATCACTATATTCTAGTCCAAGGTGGAGCTTAACCACAGCCACAGCTCAAGTCCTCCTGAGTGTGTGGTGACTGGGGAAGCAGGAAGTAAAAGGTGGTGTGTCTCTGTGTCTCCAGAAGACCTGCCTAAACTGTGCTCAACCCTGACACAAAGGGGCCTCCCACCCACCTCCACCCAGTTCTCCTTCTAGACAGGTGCAGCACAAAGAGGTTCCACACCAAGGTGAGCCTCTCACCTCGTGCTTCTTTATGGCTTTGGCTAGGCGGTCTACCACATCTGTGTCCTGGACTCCCCGGGCCTTGAACTTCTTGGTCCACGAAAGCAGGAAGCCCTGTGAGGATAGTTGTGGTCAGTGTAAGGAGGTGTTTAGACTGGACCACAGCAGACAGCCCATGCTCTGAGGTCCCATGGGCTCTCTTCTCTATCAGTCACTCTGATTCCTTTGGATTCATTTTCTTTCTGATTGGTGCAATTCCATGGCTTTAGGAGGTATAGAAGGGGCTTCATTTGGGGCAATCTATATAAGTACTACAAATAGTTATGAGTTTTTTTGTTTTGTTTTTTAAGTTTTGGGTTGGTTTTTGTTTTGTTTTGTTTTTCCCGAGACAAGGTTTCTCTCTGTAGCCTTGGCTGTCCTAGACTCACTCTGTAGACCAGGTTAGCCTCAAACTCAAGAGATCTGCCTGCCTCTACATCCCCAAGTGCTGGGATTAAAGGCGTGTGCCATACAATCCGGCTCAGTTGTGGGTTTTTGTTATTGTTGTGTTTTTTTGTGGTTGTTTTGCTTTGCTTTGTTTTGTTTGTGATCAGACTTGTCTAGATTTCAAAAACAAGTGAGACTCAGGAGACAGAGGCAAGCAGATATCTATGAGCCAGGCTGGTCTACAGAGTGAATTTCAGAACAGCCAGGGCTATACTCAGAGAAACCCTGTGTCAAAAAAAGCAAAACAACAACAGCAAGAAAGTGAGAAACATGTAATTTGTCCTTCTGTGCCTGGCTTATTTCACTGAGTTTAATATTCCTACACACTCCCACAAATGACAGACTGGATCCTTTTGATGGCTGAACAGTATTCCATTGCACATGGATGCCCTTTCTTAATGTACTAATCAGCCAAGAGACACTTGGGTTGATTCCATATCTTACAAGGAGATTTTTTTTTTAATGTTGCCTTGGGGGAATGGTTTAATAATTGTAACATCTCTTTACCCTTTATGTCTCAGGCACAGGAAGCACAATTTCTGAAGAGCCAGAACTCTGATTCACAAGACACCAGAACCTCAGGTTTTTCATTTGTATAACACACTGGCCCCTCTCTCACTCCCCCCCCCCCCACCTCTGGCTGCACAGGGAACTGATACAGAAGCGACTCCTCTCACGATACCCTGGGGTGGGGTATTGCAGTACGGATAAAACACACAGAACTAGCATGGTGTTACCTTGTAGGGACTTCCTGGAGAACTTAATTTCAACTTGGAAAAATGGTTCTCAAGTTGAGTGAGTGGTCAGTTATCTACAAAGGGCATTTCTCACCTGAAATCTTAAGAAATTACAGGGTCTTTCAGGTGAGAAGAGAACTTGGAGGTTCACAGAACTGCCCAAATCCACCCAATTAGGAGCAGCTAAGCCCAAGCTTGCAAACTCTCCAGACACCCCTCTTCTAGTCCCCTAAATTATAGGTGAAGAAATAGAGACAGGAAAATAAATACTCCAGGAGCTCCAATCAGACCACAGAGCTCAGACCCATGTTTCTGTGCCACGCTGCCACCTTGTGGCCACTGCAGGCCACTTCTGCCTGCACAGGCTCAGCAGACAGGAGAGAGAGGAAATGTCTTCCTTTTTTAGGTGCCAGGAGGCAAAGACAGGCAGATATCTCTGACTCTGAAGCCAGCACCACATCTCCTGGCAGCCTAGAGACGTGTACTTAGGGTTTGCTGACTCCAGCACCCAGCAAGCTCTCCTGACACCCACCTAAGGTGTTCCGCTCTGTAAGCACAGAATCAAGGCCCATGTCACCCAGTCCTCTGTCTCACGTTAGCAAAAAGCAGAAAGACCAACAGACCAGAATTTCATGCTGATCCAACCGTCCAGTCTTACCTCCTCCAACTTATTCTGTCTGCAGGGAAAAGAGAAGGTAAAGCCGAGGGGCAGCTTCTTATGCGTCAGATCCTTGGTCTTCATGAAATCTGCCAGGCAGTCAGCTATGTAGTCGAAGAGCTGTAGGAAAGAGCACAGGTGGGGCTTACGTACAGCCTCTCATGGCCAATACCCAGGCGTGTCCCTCCTGCCAGTACCTCTGTGCCATTCCCACAGCTGATTTCGTTGGGCATTGGGTAGAACTGACTCTCCATTTGGACATTTTGCTTCCCCTCCTCAGAGACTTGCACCTTCAAGACCCGAAACTTGGATCCTCCAAGATCCAGGGAAAGGAATTCCCCATTTTCTGTGAGAGACAAAAACAGTCACCATTCCGTGAAGATCTCACCTGTGGTACAAGCTGGACACATGGCAAATGCTGTCTGGCGTCACAACACCCATGGATGAGTGTCATCATCCCACTTGTTTGAGGGTCTGCACTACAGAGTAAGGGGCAGAGCTGGGGTGCCAACCTGAGCCGGCCTGCTCCTGCTCCATGTCCTCATGCTGGAGAGAGTGAGCAAGCTCACTGGGGACAAGCACATATGAACCCATTTTGTGAGGGGGGTCTGAGAAATGAGCCTTGAGAGCCGAGCCTATTCTCAAATGTATCTAGGAAGAAAGCTGTTATGCCAGCCACCAGGGAAACTCAGATAAAGGCATGAGGAAAAGAGGGATGCAGCAATGAGAAGCCCCAGTCCTCAGAGGGAAAAGCTCCAAGAGAGGAGGGCAGCAGGGATCAGGTGATAGATATCAGGGTGCCGAAGATACTTAATTTAAGGGGCACACAATCTCTCCAACAGGAGCAGATGGTCTTGGCCTGGCCCAAGAAGGATGCTGCAAAAGGAGACACAGAATGATGCCTGGGCTGGGGAAGACACCCCACCCTATAACACCTACACAGGACCCTTGCCAGTGTTGTTGGCGTCCGCTGTGCACGGGACATTTACCTGCTAACACGAGAAGTGTTTATCAAGAACTATGTGTGCCTGCGGAGTGGTGAATGCCAGGTGTACACACAGAAAAGAAACCCCATGCCTGCAAACCCAAAGAGCAGTGTCTGATGTCACACAATGGCAGCCACAACTACTGGACACCAAGGGTGCTGACAGTCTATCACACCTAATGAACCATGAGCTCTGACACAAAGAACATCTCTAGCAGACAGAGAAAGTGGAAGGCACAGGGAGAAAGTGCCTCACCAGCCCAGTTCCCCCAAAGCTGAGTTCATGGAGGTCCCTGCTTTGGGATTTCCATGAGATGAGATTCGGTGTCTCCTTCGCAGTCCCCATCCCTGCACATGCCAGGACTGTGGCCCAGAGGTTTCTCTATTCTGGAAATCCAAGAGTTAAAAGCTGAGGCTAAGCTTACCAGAACAGGGCTGTGCAAACTGTCACACACATGTCTGTCTGTGAACCTAGCTAGCAAAGAAGCTGAGTCAGTGGAAGGGCCTGGAACTCTGCATTTCTGAACACGCCTCCAGCTCACCAAGATGTCAATCATTTATAGACCCAGCCAGCTGGATTGTTGCTTCAGTGGAAGCATCTAGCGATTATCTCCCTAGATTAGCACTGAAAGGAGCCCAAGGGAGTGGTTTAAGGTTTATTACTGGGCCAAGGAATCCAGGCACAAAATCCTCATGCACTTATCACATCCATCCCCAGCAAGAGGCACTCCTGTAATACCAGCGGGAAAGTCATGCAGACATTCACAGAGCACCCACTCCATATCAGTGTTAGGTGCCAGGAGGCCAAAATGACAGGGTGTGAGCACCCTGGGGAGCTTATCAGAAGTACAGTGCTAGATAGGACATACGCTCTGTTTAGGAAACTGGGGTGGGGTGTATGCCTGGAATGTTGGTTGGGGTTTCGGGTTGCACATGAAAAGTGAGAGCCCTCCAGTTCCCCACAGAGGTAAGACAAAGTAGAGTGTGAAGGGGGAGTCAGGCAGGCAGTGGGAGCTGGGGGAAGTGTGGGGTAGGGGATGGGGTGGAGGGTGGGAGATTGGGGGGCCTGGGATTGAGTCACAGAAGGTGAGGATGAGCCACAGAGAGAAGAGTTTAAGGAAGGGAAGAGCAAATCTGATTGAGGGTTTTAAAAAAGGCCTCCAGCCAGAGGAAACTGCCCTGCAGCAGGGATGGGAGGTGGCAAGCTGAGAACCAGTTGGTGTCAGCCCCTCCCCCTGTCCCCACATCAAACCCTTATCACTGTGCAAACACCTCACTCCCTGGTGACTCAAGGTGTCATTTCATGGAAACCATGTGGTATGATCCCTTCCACGTGGTGTGACTCTAACCCCAGAGGAATGACTTCCTGGGGAGGGGGGTTGGGGGCAGGGGGATAAGAAGGGCCTTTCAGCAATTAATTAAGAAAGCAACCTTCCTCTTCTGGGCTTCAGGGAGGGCTCAGCTAGTAGTGATTGCTGCCAAGGGTAAGGACCTGAGTCTGGTCCCCAGCACCAGTGAAAAGCAGGCACAGTAGAGCATGTCCTTAATGCCACCACTGGGGAGGCAAAGACTGAGGATCCCTAGGCTTTGGTGGCCATCCAGCCCAGCCAATCAGTGATCACTTGGTTCATAAGAGACAAATCAGGTGGAGAAGCAATTGAGGAAGTCACTGATATCAACCTCTGAATTCCATACTCCCATGTGCGCGCACACACACACACACACACACACCACACCATGTGTGCACCTATACGAACACAAGTATGCACAAAAACAAAGCAAACAAACAAAAAAAGAACAGCCTTTCAAGAGGGGGAAGGTCCTCAGAAACTGGGTTCCCTTCTCTAAATTAAAAGAAAAAAAAAAAAAAAGGAAGGAAAGAAGGAAAGACAGAGAGAAAAAGGAAAGGACATGACTGCCCCTGGGTTTGGTGGAGGAGAAGGTTTAGCATAGACATGTGGGAGAGTCCAGAGTGGACATGACCCTGAACTGGGCCATGTAGAAGAGGGAGAGGAGAAGGGAGGGGGGAAGAGAGAACCAAGCGGCAGCAGCCAGGCTACCCCAAGGTACAAAGGGCATGAGTAACCAAAACGGTTGGATTATACAGGAAGGAGCAGCCCAGCCCCCGGGTAGGAGGCAGGCTACCTCCTGCCTCAGGGTAGGAGGCAGGGTCAGCCAACCAGGAGGGCCCTGTGACAGGGACTGGGGAATGCAGGGAGAACCTGCTGGCCAGCACCCACTTTTGTCCCAGATTTGAAACCTAACACTCCCTAAGCCACTGTTGGAGCCTGTACCTCAGCTCCTTTTCCATTTCTAAGTACAGTGCCTCCTAAGGGCACCCTGAGGTCAAATACATAGATTTTTGGAGACCCATATTCCCCAGAGGAAGGTATGGAACCGTGTCTAGAAATTGCCTAGGTGCATTCAAATCTCATAGTATGAAACCGCCCATAGCCCCTGTCAACCTGGTCTGAGAGAGCACATCAGGGCTTTGAGACTCATTCCGAACCCCACCAAATGGTGGAGGCAAAGGTCAAAGAGAGCATCTGCTTCATGGAAACAAAGAGTCATTCCATTACAGGGTGGGTGTTCCCCCTGCACTGCCTGGGTGGCTGGCACGGAGGCAGATGCTACAAAGCACTCACTCTGAGGGTTTTGGTCCTGGTGAACTTCCTGACTTGGAAACCACTGAGGCTCAGCAGTCACACCTCAGGCAGGTTCAGAGCAAGGAGAGCTACAGAGAGTAAGCAGACCCAGGAGGATTTTACCAAACAAGGATTAGGAGAGGTTAGTTTCTTTGGTTCTGTTGGTAATTACGAAACTGCTAGGCCAGCTCACAGAACTATGGAGAACTGGGGACAGTTAAAGGGTTTGTATGTGTGTGTGAGTGTCAGTGCACACGTGCGGAGGGGTCGGAGGGCCACCTGGGGTGTTGTCCCCTCTTTCTGCCTTGTCTGAGGCAGGCTTTCCCGTTGGCTTCTGTGCACACAGGCCAGCTGAATCAAGCACTTCCGGCAATTCCCTCATCTTTCTATACTCATCAGCTAAGAAAGACTAAACTCAAACCACAATGTCCGAGACTGAAAATCAAACACCAGCACCTAGACACCTCATCCCATACTTGCATCTGCCCTTCGTGCACATCATGCCTACCAAATCATTTACTACCCCTGACACTACCTAGAGCCCTCACTCCCCCCTCCCCTCTGAGGATGGTATTGAAGCCACAACCAGTCAGCCCTTTTTTTGAGCTCCATGTTGTCCTGTGTGTGTGGACACATTGACAAAACTGAAAGTTTTCTCCTGAGGCTCTGTCAGTTGTCATTCAATTCAGGAAGTGTAAGGGGGCAGTCTTCAGGGGGAAGCAGAAAGTCCCTGGCTCTTCCACTGACAACCTACAATTTGGCACGATGTTCTGACCACTTTGGTCCTACGGTTTGCCAAGGGTATCGGATTATCAGAGAGGCCAGACCCGGGCAGCCAGGTGCCACAAATGGCATGGCACTGTGTCACGTAATAAGCGATCATCAGAAGATGGTGATACCAGGTGTGTGTCCTGGGTTGAAGAGAAGGAAGCTGCAGAATTTGGGGGCCTCATCGCTAACCTTTGTGAAGCAGTCCCACAGCCACCAGACTACCCAAGGCCACTTTCCTTGCTTTGGAGCCACACCCAGCACATGGTAGGAGGACTTAGCCCTGGAACGCCTCACCACCCCACACACACCCTATGAGTCAGCTGTCAGGTGGCCCTGGGTGACCTCTCAAGGACCACGGTCCCCGAAGCACTCCTCTAGTGTCAGAGGCAGGGCGCAGATATCAAAGTAGGGTTGTACCTCTTCAAATTCTATGTGGCTCTAGGCCAGCCGTTCTCGACCTGTGGGTCGAGGACACAGGTATTTACATTATCATTCATAACAGTAGCAAAATCACACTTATGAAGTAGCCACAACATAACGGTATGGGAGGCAGCGAACGTGCTGTAGTAAAGGGCCAGAGCAGTAGGAGGCTGAGAAGCACTATCTGGATAGTGCACTGCCCACAAGCACCCACCTGCAGGAAAGGATGGGATGTCTCCCCCATCGCCATCTCAGGGCCTTTCATGCCGCTAGCCAAGCTACTTTGACCTATGCATTGGCCCCAAAATCCTGTTAACTCAATCCAAGGTCCCCTAAGTATGCCCCAAGCTTCTGAGCACTGATACCCTGAAACCAGGGAAGCCTCTTGCTTCCCAGAGAGACCCAGCAGCAGCAGTCACCCCATGATATTCTGGGAGAACCACATGACAGAAAAGCCTTAGCCTTCCAAAATGGCACTATGTGCTCAAAGAAAACCACCACTTTTTTTTTTTTAATCTTATGGCTTGCTAGAGCTGCAATTGGAGAGCTAGGGGGTGGGGGAAGGCCCATGGCTCCTTCCGGAGAGCACTAGGCTATGGTGGTGGGCCAAATAATGCCCCTCCTCAGCCCCAGAGGCCCACGTCCCAATCTCTGGGTCATACTCCTGTGTTAGGGCACATGGCAGGGGAGAGCCAAGGTTGCAGATTGCAGGCAGATTTAGAATTGCTCATCAGCTGACCTTTATGTTGAGAGATTGGCAGGGGTTTTCTCAGAAGGCCTGATGTAATCACAGGGACTTCAGATATGGAAAAGGGAGACAGAAGGCCAGAGTCAGAGAAAGATCTGAAGACAGTGATGGCTTTGAGGATGGAAAGGGGCACAAGGCAAGGAATGTAGGTGCTTCTAGAAGCTAGAAAAGGCAAGAAAATGGTCTTCCCTTAACTGCCCCCAAGGTCTCCAGAAGGAATACAGGCCTGCTGGCAACTTCACTTTAGCCCAGTGAGGCCCAGTTCAAACTTCTGGCTTTGTGAACTATGGCAGAATTGTACTGTGTTAATCCACAATATCTGTGGGGATGTCACTGGAGTCTCCAGGGGCCGTGTTTAGGAGCTGTCGCAGATGGGTTGATCTTACCCTCAGACAAACATGGAACCCAGGTCCCAGTGGAGACTGCTGAGGCCATCATTTGTGGCTGGCTGGACTACCTCAGAGTCCCTGAGCTCAACCCCAAGAGCAGAACAGCAACAGAAGCCCAATGCACAGGAGCTGAGAATGTGGCTCGGTGACAGGGACTTGTCCAGCATGGCCAAGGCCCTGGGTTTGATACCCAGTGAGTGTATGGACAGGTCAAGTTCTCTCATCTGACAGATGAAAAAATTGGCTAAGCGCTGCCTGAAGTCACGAAGGTGTGACAGAGCTGGGCCTGGAGCTGGGTTCCTTGGGTGGCCACTTCATTACTTCACCACAAGCTTCCTATCACCACTCACTATTTCTAGCCTGGAAGCTGAAGGCCCAGGAGAGAAGGCCTCGTTCCATTCACTCAACATGTGTCAGGGGCCAGTGTTTGGTAAGCACTCAGAACAGTGCGTTGCCTAAACCCTGGCATCTGGAGACTGTCCCCACCACTGTGACAAGGGTCCTAACAAGCCCCTAGTCCAGCACTGGGCACTTCCCAGAGAGAGGCAGTGTTGCTCTAGGGCTCCACCTGGAAGATTAAGGTGACACTTACAGGAGCAAAAGTGGGGGACTCTTCAGCAGGGAGGCAAATGGAATGAGTGAGGACACAGTCCATGGGCAGAGGAGAAATCAAAGGGTTCCTGCCTGTGGACCCCAAAAGTGCTCAGTTAGCAGGACTGAGGCAGAGGGATGTGGGGAAGAAGGAAAGGGACAGGGGCAAGCAACAGGCACTCACCAGCTAAGGTATGGGAAGGGAGGGAAGGGGTCCCAGCCAGCCTGAGCCCCACTTACCTGAGCCATCAGGAATGGCCCTGACAAACGTGGGCAGCATCTTCACTGAGGCGGTGGGGTTAGTGTCCTTCCCCAGGCCTTTCTCCATCTCAGCCTGGAACCGGGCCATGATGTCCAGGAGGGTCTCATCTGAGAGCCGCATGTCATACAGGAACCTGTCCACCTGGAACACATGCTGGGTTGGCCAGGGTTGGCCGCTGCAGGTGCTTGCCCTCCCAGCTGAGGCTGTGAACTCCCAGGTCTACCAAGGAGCTACACTCCTGACTCTGGGGACGGCTTTGTCATGAGCACTCCTGGGGACAAGGCAGGGGAAGGGGGAGAACAGAATGGGAGACTAGAGAGGGGAGACTGGCAGAAGTGGTACCCTACTTCAGTCGGGGGTGATGGTGCTTGAGTATCTGCTCCCCAATTCAGGGCCTCACCACTGTCTCTCTGATGGGAGGATTAGCTCTGCCTTGAAGCTCAGGTTTGTGCACTTTTCTCTCTCTCTCTCTCTCTCTTTTTTTTTTTTTTTTTGAGAGAGGGTCTCATCATGCAGCCATGTAGACCAGAGTAGCCTAGAAACTTGCTAAGTTGCCCATATGGACCTGAAACCAGTTATCCTCCTGCCTCTGCCTCCTGAGCAGGATTGCACGTATGTGTCACCATGCCTGACTTACCATGGAAGCTTTCTTCCAGCCAACTGATAGATCTAAATACATTTCTTTGCTTATTGGATGCTAGGAAACTTAGAAACAAATTTGATTTCCAATTGTAATCTTTCTCTAAATTTCTGTTTTAGTTTAAGTGAGGTAGTGACGTTATCCTAATTCAGATGAAGTTTTGTTTTATTTTTGAGACAGAGGCTCACTAACTAGAACTCTAAGTTTTAAAGCCATGGTGGCACATATCTGTGATTCTAGCACATAGGAGATAGAGTAGGAGGATCAGGAGCTCAGGATCATCCTTGGCTGTAGAGGGAGTTCAAGGTCAGCCTGGACTACAGGAGCCTCAGAACACAAAACAAATCATTTCAAATTGTCATTGGAAATGAGATGTCATTTAAGTAACCAGGACTGAGGCAGAGGAGCATTGCTCCAAAATATGTGAAGTTATAAAAATCACTGTGATGATTCAGTCTCCTTGATGGTAACATGTCACATTAAGAATGGCAATAAAATGTCTCGGTCAATTGCTGATTCTCAGGCTCCCGAGGATGGATTATAGATCAGCAGGAAGAAACAGCCTGTTACATTTGCTGGGCATCATCTCTTCCCATTCAGATCCCAGGCTGGCCTGATTCCAGGCACACTCCCAGAAGGAGAACACTATTCAAGTCAGAAAACATGTGTTGCATTCTTCAAAGTATTTTTGCACATGTCACTCTATGAAACATCCACGACCCTTTAAGGTGGCCAGATAAGGCCAAATTTCAGTTCATAGGTGAATGAGGCAGGTGACAATCAGAGCCCTGATAGCATAATGGAACTAGACTATGAACTCCACAGGCATATCCACAAGCCCCATAGACGAACTGTACCAACAAGCACCTTACACCACCTTTGTTCTGGACGCAAGTGACAGTCTTCTTCAGCTAGGCCTCAGAGGACAGAACGACCCAATCAAAAGGCCCAAGATAATGAAATGGCCCCTTGATTCTGGGGCCTGGAAGGGGTCAGCCAGCAGAGAGTGCAGAAAAGTATCAGAGGCCCACCAACAAAAAGAGGACAATTGAGCTTTTAGCATGTGTGAGAAGTTAGGAAGTAACCAGGTCATGCTTCATTAGGGCTTCCTGCTCGGCTGCTGATGACTAATCATTTGGTACAAACTTGCACAAATGGAAAGATCTGGGTAGAAAGGACATGACCCAAGTAATTGGGGCAGAGGGAGGATGGAATGCCCTATGTGGGAACTCAACTGGATCCTTTACTGTCCCGCCAAAGCCCCCAGACAGAGCCCTGAACCTACTGCTCAGCCTGAGCATAAAGAGTTTCTCCAGACATCAACAGACAGCCTTCTCAGATATGTCATGGGGGAGGGGTGACAGGTAAGCAGCCATCTAAGGACCACTTAGCATCTTGAGTCACTGGTGCTCTTTCAGTGAGCATGAGTCATGGAAGAATGTCAAATTAGGGGTTTTTGTTTGTTTATTCTTTGTACCTTCTTAAAACAGTAGCTAGGAGAGATGGTAAGACATACGTTGGGACCAAAAAGAAAAAGCACCATTTTCAACCCAGATAGACACATGTACCACACACAAAAACATGAGTGGCAGGATCCGAAGCCCATTTCTTCAGAGACCCCCAGCCAAAAGGATAGGAGAGACAACAAGCTTTGGAGCCTCAAATCTCTAGCCTTCTCAGTTATAGAAGGAAGGAGCCTGGAGGGGCCAGAAAGATCACTCAGTCCAAAGGTCTCATCCTACAAATTGAACCATTATCAGGTTCCACACTTTGATTTACTGACTTCAATTCTGAAATTTACTCTCAGAAAATTAGCCAAAAAGGGAGGATAATAAATATATGCCACTGTTCACTGTAGTGGTTATTTTGTTGTTGTTGTTGTTGAAGGAATTTGGTTTGTAGGCTGAGCTAAATCAGGAAGCAGTTTCAGGGGAGAACCTGAACATGGCTGTTTTGATATAGTAATATTTTAACTGTTGGAAAGAATAAACATTCTTTGAAAGTTTCCAAACAACCAGCAAGAAGGAAAGTGAAATGCCATTGGGTTCATGTGCTTAATGGACTGCAAGGAAGACACTGAAAAGTGATCTTGAAGATGATGGGGAAGTGTGTACAGGAGGCAATCAGAGTTGAAGCACCGTGCACGCCACTAATGGTAAACGCGACACCAAGAGCAGAGCGAAGCTGCTGACAGCGCACATGGGAGGGCTTGAGGGAAATTAAAGAGGAGATTCAGTATCTCCACATTTCGGCAATGTTGACTTACTAAAATCTAAATACACACATACACACAATCACACACACACATACTGAAAGCCCAGTCTGCCCCATTCTTATGAATGAACCATCTGTGGGTCAATGACCAGGTCCAACCCAGCATTATCAGTAGGTCAAATACATCAATATATTGAACTGGAAATGAATGCCAGGCCTTCTTTTTCTTAATGTCATTTTGAAATTTTTCAAACATGGTGTAAGGCTCTGAGGAGTAATCTTTGCAAGGGAGCGTGTCCCAGGACCTTGACAACTCCAGAGGCAGGAAGTGTGCAAATGGTCGGGCAGGAGCCACTACACGTGGTAATTCCATTCTGACAATGCTCTTTGCCTTTGGACAAGCTGATTTGACCTGCGGAGGAATGTCCTCCAAGCTGTGACTCATACCTGCTACAAACCAGTCTACCCACAAGCCCAAGGGACCTGCTAGACTCTTGCTTAGGGAGGCTTCTGGCGGTTGCTGACTTTCTAGCTTTCCGTGGTGAGGGGGGAACTCAACCCAAGTATTGAACAAAGCTGGCCCTTCTTCCAGAGAATCCGGACTATATCAGTGGAGCCTGTCCCCGCGGTGGCAGACATACAGGCCCCAGCTAGAGCAAAAGGCGCCACTGCATGGAGTCAAGGAAATGACAGACTTTGCAACCTAAAGGTTCCAGGCTCAAAGATTCGCTTGGGGTAGCATCTCTGCCCAGCAGGTAGAAACAGAAAGTGAGTTCTGAAGCAGGGCTGCAAGGACTTTAGAGCCAGAGCAGCCAGCACATGACAGGCTGAAACAGTTGTTAAAGTGATGGGTTTCTGCTCCTCAGCCTCCTGCTGGCTCTCACCTGGCTCTCATGGGAATGCAGTCAGTGGGAGTTTACCCACCAGCGCAGGAGGACTACAAGGGACAAACTTCTCTCTCATATTTCAAAAAGCACTTTGAGGTCTAGCAGAGATATCTGCCATTTTCAGCTTCATCTTCACTTTGCTTCTAATGCCCGGATGACCTTGGCAGAGTCTGGCTGCCCAGAGAACTCCTGTTATCCATTAAGAAGCTGCATGCCTCCTCCTTGCAGTTGCCAGCAACCAGTGAAGCAGGCTGGGCTCATTTTAGCTGCCAGGAGAGAATCCTGATTTCATCAGCCAATCACAGCCCGGTACAAATTAGCCAGAAGTCCACACCATTATTAATAGGATGTCATGGGCAAATGGCACATGCTTACCAAAAATATGTGTATTAAAATTTACATCTCAGCCATACCTAATGGCTTGTGATCCCAGATACCTGGGAGAATGAGGCAGCAGTAGCCTGAGACCTGTGTGAACCATATAATGAGACCCTGTATCAAAATAACAAAATAAACATGTATTTCTTTTGGTGTCCCTATTTTATGTGATTTCAAATACATGAATAATCAGACATGCTTTTAAAAGTCTTGCTTCTTTACAAATGACTCACCTTCATTGTGGCCTCACCCCTAAATGGCCCTGAATTGGGCACAAAGTTCTTTGAGTTTTCTAAAGACTTTCATATTCCATATTTGCCAAGAGGCTCTGACCGAAAGCCAGGACTCGGGACAGTAAGGAACGTGGGAGACTCGCTACCTTTCTGCTCTGAGACTGTCACTGGTATTGGCTCCCAGTATCTTTTCTAATAAAGTCGCTTAAATACTCTTTCCTTTCCATGCTGGGGCTTGAATCCAGAACCTCACACAAGCTAGGCAAGCACTCTGCCCCTAGAGACATACCCCCCTCCCGCCCCAGCGCCTTAATCCCTTTTGATGTTGAGAGGCAGTCATTTGGGTCTGTCAATGTAGACTGGGCCAGACACCTCAGCTTCAAGTCCTCACCTTCTTGATCTGATCCTCCTTCAGCTTGGTGAAGTAAAACGCCATCAAGTGTACCGCAAACATGTTCCCCGAGTTTGGTTGTTCCTGGAACAGGCAGAGATTTCCGTCCAGTCGCTGTGAGTGCTGCACACCTCTAGTTCAGGCTGGGAGCTCGGTGCTAGAACTAAATACTTACTGCTCGGATCAATGATTAAACTTCCCTTGTCGCTGGTCCCTCCCTCTGCCACACACTCAGAGGCTCTGGTGGGAGCTGCAGGCCAGCAGAGGGGGAGGTTGGGGACTGATGGGCTACTTGACTATTTGAGAACCGGGCACCACAAAATCTTGTTGCTAAGCAACACACTCAGGCCTCTGTTGCAAGCCCACTCAGCCAGGAAAAATCTTGTGACAAGTTAGGACACAAAACAAAGCTAACTTTAAGCAGTAACTCCTAGTTCCACGGTTCCTCTCTCTTCTCCAGCAAGCAACAGAACTGCAGATGCCCAGGCCCTCTAGGCACCATTATTTTGTTCTGATTTTTCTTTGTTTCTCGAGACAGGGTTTTTCTGTGGAGCCCTGTCTGTCCTCGAACTCACTCTATATGCCAGGCTGGCCCTGAACTCAAAGATCTACCTGCCTCTGTCTCCCAAGCGCTGGGACTAAAGGCGTGTGCCACCACTGCCCAGATTCTGAGGCACCATCTTAATTGAGACTGAGCAGTGTACTGGTCTCAGATCCCAAAAATGCTGAGATGATCCCTCTACTGTGGTTAATGAAAAGCAATCAATGCTCAACAGTGGTAAGCCAAGACAGCCTTTATTTCACAGGGAGTAACTTGGGGCTGGTGTGTGTGTGTGTGTGTGTGTGTGTGTGTGTGTGTGTGTGTGTGTGTGGTTGTTTGTTTGTGGTGGAGGTATTAAGAAAGAATAGAGGCAGCTGGGTGTACACCTTTAATCCCAGCACTCGGTTGGAAGAGACAGGTGGATCTTTGTGAGTTCAAGACCAGCCTGGTCTGCAGAGCCAGTTCCAGGACAACCAGAGCTCCACAGAGAAACCCTGTTTCAAAAAGCCAAAAAAAAAAAAAAAGGAAAGAAAGAAAGATTCCACCAGGCCTTGCTGGAAGTGCCAGGTGGGAAGGGTATGCAGCCATGAAGACACCTGGTTTTCTTGCCAACCTTTGCACTCCTCCCAGTCACTGGCTGGTTAGTGAATTCAGGAAGACTAGCATTAACAGCTACTACCGTGGATGAAGGACTTAATTACCGTGTCTTAGAGATGAGAAAGCTGGCCCTGAAAGGCTAAATGGCTCACTTGAAATCACAGTTGTAAATCCTTCAGCCAGGAAGCAAACAGAAACTTGATTCCAGGGCCCAGGTCGTAACCAGTGCAAACTCGTCTTCATCCACCCAGGGCTCACTTGGTAACTACTGAGACCCTGCTGGGTTGAAGTTTCAGCTAATTGGAAAACAAAACACAGGACAACACTTCAACAGACCCTTCCCATAGGAAATGGGGTTTCTTGAAAAACAAATTCCTGACTCTATTTTCCCAAAAACGAAGAAAATGTGCTGTAAAATTAACAGCTAACCAGATGGCTATGGGGACCCCTGTGTCTACGGTCTCCACTGTACAGGGGTCCTCTGAATAGGCTGTGTCATCCTGGTCGGCTTCAGCTTTGCCTGCTTTTCTGCTGAACAACCTTATTAATCAAAGCAGTGACTGACCATTGCCTGGGCAGGGGCAGCTGTCTCTTTGGAAAGCACCGGAAGTCTGGCTAGGCTAGTCACGATTAGATGATTATATACTTTCCACAGACTGACATAACAACCTCCCCAGGTGGAGAAACCTCGACCCTTGCTGTCTGTTTACTCCCAAACTACGACTTTTATCTCCTTTGCTTATCACACAAGCAAACAAAAGGTTAATCTTCAGTTTCAACTCAGTCCCCCAAAACGCAGAACTCTTGGTACTCAGAAATGGTCTCAGACAAATCATGGGCAGCCTGCCCAGGAATGGTCCAGTTCCTTAATTCCATCTCAAGTGCCTGTGTGCCAGCTGAGGTCATCTGCTCCAGGCTGGCATATGAGATTACAATGGACAGTGGGCAGAAAGAAACCAATCATAACCACAGGTCCCTGCAGTCTCCAGCTGCCCAAGACAGGCCGGCAGCCTTTGGAATTTCACTGAGGCAAAGGACACCAAAGGCTGTTTGTGTTATATGGCATGCCAGTCTGACCTAAGCACACCAGCATTGTCCAGGTGTGAGCTAGCTGAGTAATCAGAGGTTTGAGGATTACTAAAGAGCATGTGATCATAGATCACCAGCGTCATCTAGACAGACTCTTCATTTTATAGTACTGAGATACAATAACTGGGTTGGCTTGCCATTTTCTCACGGACTATTCCTTGTTATGGACTTTGCTTAAGGTCACACGTGAGTGTCGTCACTGTTGTAATAGATAATATGTATTGTCCTCTTGACCCAGCACCTCAGTATAGGAAGAGAAGCTCTCTATACACTCACGCCCATTTCCAACTCTACCTAAATATGCTAGGAATAACTTTAAAAAAAAAATATTTATAAAACATTCTGCTTGCATGTGTGTCTGCATGCGAGAAAAGGGAACCAGATCTCCTTAGAGATGGTTGTGAGCTACCATGTGGTTGCTGGGAATCGAACTCAGCACCTTTGGAAGAACAGCCAGTATTCTTAGCTTCTGATCCATCTCTCCAGCCCCCTAGGAATAACCTCTTGAATTTGGTCTTTAGGCTGAAGAGACAGCTCAGTGGTTAGAGTACTTACAACTCTTCCAGATGACCTGAGTTCAGATCTCAGCACCCACATGGTGGTCCACACATACCTGTAACTCCAGCCCCAAGGGATCTCATGCTCTCTTCTGGCTTCCACAGGCATGTACACAAGTAGCGAACATTCACACAGACAACATACACATTTTTTAAAATTTGGTCTTTATCAAAGAATTAAAATAAGGGTCTTCCAAGGTCTATCCTATATGGACAGGCATTTAGGGAGCAGTGGTAGTTCCATGTCTATAAAACCTCTAGCCAGTGGTGGTGGTGCATGCCAGCACTGGGGAGACAGATGCAGGTGGGTCTCTGAGTTTGAGGCCAACCTAGTTTACGGAGTGAGTTTCAGGACAGCCAGGGCGACAAAGAGAAACAAAACTCCCCAGATTTCTAAAGCTTTCCAATAGGAAAATCTTAGCATAACACTGTGATGGTCTCTCAGCAAGCTGTGCCTTTCCACTATATCCTACAAATGCTTGCTTCTGGAGATATAGTCTCATTATGGAGCCCTGGTACTCTGGAATTGGTATTTAGACCAGCCTGGCCTCAACTCAGAGATCTACCTACCTCTTCCTCCTGGGTGCTGGGATTAAAGGTGTGTGCCACCATGCTGAGCTCTAAAAGTATTTATTTGATGTAAACACAGAATGACTGCACTTTGACAATGGGTTTGGGGCAAGAGTCTGATGATGTGTGGATACATAGTAATCTTTCAAAAGGCCAGCTGACATGCTGCAGATGTGGAGTTGTCCACAGATATAATATGCAAAGTACTAAGTCACTGGTTATCAATGGCAGCCAGATATGTACTAACCACATTTCTTTTAAGTCTCCCAAATCTTTAGTGACAGAGCTGAGGTCAATATCCTCAGTCCACACCTCATGCTGAGGTTCAGAGGAATCCACAATAATCCACAAAGGGCTCTAAGGCAGGTATTTCAAAGCCCATTAAAAAACTACAGGGCTATGTTTCAGAAAGGACACAATCATAATTAGGATGAAATGCACACGGGGAAATTACCACAAGCCCACACAAAAAGGTGACACGTCACACCTTAACAAGTCCAAGCTGCTCTCATGGTGACATATTAAGCACAGATCCACCCAGGTTCCTTGGTAGCAAGTATCTCCAGGGTCATCTGCTAAACCACAGAGCCCTCCTGTCCTTCACTGCCCATGAGAAGCTTGGAGAACTTGCCATTTGTTAAAGCCCCACTGTCGGCTTCAGTTCATGGGAATTTTGTGAGACCACATGGACAAGAGAGACTGCACATGTTAAGTCAGAGAGGAAAGCACATTCTAGAAGCTAGACTTCCCAGGCAGGATATCTGAAGAATCACATTTCCTAGGCACTTCAGTCCTTCACTCAGGGGCAAGGGAGGAAGAGGACAAAGGCCCGAGATGAAGGCCGTCATCTCAGGAAAATGAAATGCCACCCTGGAGCAGGAGCACCTAGGAAAAGCTGAGTGACTACCATAGTGTCTGGCTGTGGCACCCTGGGGTCAGGTTCAATCCAGCACGTGCCAAGGAAACTGGCTTAGTTCTCAGAATGACCTGAGTCCCATTCTCAGCCAGAATGGCCCAAACCTTCAGGCTCACTTAGGAAATGCTTGCGGTGGGCAGGCTGGCACTCATCAGTCCAGTCACTTAGGCTTCCAGCAACTCTGAGCATGACTGTCCACTCTGTCCCAGTGAAGAGTTGAAGAAGGCCGAACCATGTCTGTTCAACTAACTCCTAAGCTGACGCTTACATTTCTGTTAAATACATTTTCACCCAGGGCAAATGGAGACCTTGGTGCAACAGACTGGCCACTGAACATGGGTCATCTAACAGCGCCCCTTCCCAGAGACGACTCTCCCATCACTTAGTCCTACCTGTATGTGTGTTCACTTCAGAGTCAGGTTAGCCCAGTGTGGCTACAGCAGGGCACTAGAGAGACAAGTGTCCTTGCCCTGTTGAGCTGTACTCCGTCTTGTTCAGGGTGTATTTCCAGCTTCTAGAACAATCTCTGGTAGTGGGTGTAACACAGAGCAGTGTGTGCCAAAGATTCCATCAGTGACAATCCTCAACAGGCCTAACGATTCCCCAAACTGATGCGATGCCATGCCGAGTTTAAACAGCAGTGTCCTGGCTAGCCCAGAAAAGGCCATTATGAAAACTCAGTAAAACCTTAAACATACTCTATTTTAACAGTTGGAGTAAGTAGTTTAAATAGCTTTAGGAATTTACTTTTTTGTGAAAAAAACAAAACAAAAAACAAACAAACAAAAAAAAGTGCGACATAGCCACAATCCTACCACAGGCAGCGAATGCCGTGTACATAAGGATTTAAAATTGATTTTTATTTGCAAAATTAAAAAAACCTAATCAGAGTTGTGGTCAGTCTTCTTTCTCCGTGTCCCTGCCTTTTCTTTGCCATGGTCTGTTCGCTGAGTCAGCCATTCCTTCTGGAGCTGCTTAAGCATGTCTGCAGTGAGGAGTCCTTGCTGCACCAGCCTAGATGCAAGGGGCAGCTCCTTGGCACTGGGGCTGACAGGCTCTTCAGCTTTACTCCCTGAGCTTTTGGTGCCACGTGTCCTTCTTGCTGGGCTCTTTGCAGTTCCTGAAAAACGTGACTGGTCCTCTCCTAATACGCCCTCCAGATTCAAAAGCTTGTGTGACTCGGAAATTTTAATCAGTTTGGTGATGTTGTGCACACCATCTTGGATAATGGTATCCAGCTCTTTCTGGAGACCTCGAACAAGGCTGGAGTCTGGAAACATATCCAGAAATCGGTAGCTGGGAAAAGAACAACGAGCATTAGAGCAGCAGCTCTGAGCCAAGTGTAACAATGCACGCACATCCTGACAACAGGATTGTTTACATTCCTTTTCTATTAATACAGTGCCTTCGTGCAGCCTTTGTTTCTGCCCAGGCCTGAGGCTGTGTCTGAAGCCCACCTCAGGGGACTTTTTTTTTCCTCCATGAAGCCTGGTTGTCCTGGAACGAATTCTGTAGATCAGGCTGGCCTCCCAGAGATCCTCCTGACTCTTTCGTTAATCCTGAGTGCTCTGCTCTAGAGCAAAGGTTCTTGAAAATGTCAATACACAAGTTAGCATTGTTGAAATGCAGGACCTGGGCTGTTGAGATGGCTCAGAAGATAGAGGTGATTACTTCACAAAGCTGTGGGCTGAGTTAGAGCCACAGGGCCCACATAACATACGGAAGTAAAGAACCAACCCCACACAGTTGGCCTGATTGGAAGAAAATGCACCCTGCATGTGCAATCCCACCCACATCATACAAACCTGTACACACATGTACACACACAGAGCAGTATTTTGTTTACTGCAGAGTTTAAGTCTAAATGGAGCTCAAGTCCTTTACTTCAGAACAGTACTCAAGGGATAGCAAAGCTCTCGATCAAGGACCACTCTTTCATTAGTGAGGCTATCTTAGGGACTCCTTTTCAGGAATGAGTATAAACTCAAGCACCTTTATGGAAAATACATAATACATCGTGTATCTCCCTAACACGAAAGAGGAGAAGCCCACTTACAAAACTTTTACTTTGCCCCATGAGTTAGAAAATTGAGAGCATAGAAAAGAAAAGGTTTGTTACCTTAGCCATAGGTAAAGATCAAAGACATCATGGACAGCCTCAAGGTCCATGAGGTCTTTAATATTCTTAGGCGGAAGCAAAGGCCACTTGATGTACCGGCGTAACCATGCAAAGGTCAGGGGCTCATTCCTGCTGTACTGTCTGGCAAACTGAGAGGAAAGAAGAAAGCTTGGTAAAATAACCAGAATCCTCTTAGGTCTGTAATCACAGAGAAAAAGAAGTGGAGCCTGTAGACTGTGGCTGTTTCAAAAGATAGGCTAGCTTCCCTCCTAACTGACACTTTCCTATGTTCTAAAAAATGTATGCTTTGCAATCATTTATTTGACAAGGTCTTACATAGGCCAGGCTGGCCACAAAATTTCTATCTAACCAAGAAAAGCCTTGAATTCTGATTCTCTTGCTTCTACCTTCTGAGCACTGGCGTTATGGGAGTGTGCCACCAGGTTCAGCTTCAACAGTTTGTTTAAAATTAAAATGAGGCCATCAAGACTGACCCCTCAGGGAAGGGCCCTTGCTGATAAGTGTGATGAACTGAGTTTGGTCCCCAGAATCCAACTGACTTCTCAAAACCACGGTTCCAAGTGGCACCAGAGGCCATCAGCAAGACTGAGCTCCTTATAGTTCAGGACAGAGGAGGTACCAGAACAAGAACATTCTCTAGATTTCACACTCAACACAAGACCTAAACCGCTGATGACTTGCACTCTTCCAGGATCCTCCATCCTGGCAGAGGATCCTGTGTCACTGAAATTGTTGTTTGAGGAATGGTGTGAACAGGACCAAGGCCACAGGAACAAGCTCTAGTCATGTGAGCATTCAGTACCTGAAGACTGCCCCACAACCTCCCCCTTATCCTGGCTTTCCCACCAATGACATACTTGCAGGAAAAGACCTAAACCTAGACCTCTAAGACACACTGTTGAGGGAAAGGGAAACGGCAAATTGCAGAATTATTATTATTATAACAGTTATAGAAAAACACCATCAAAACAGAACTGAAATTTCTTCAGGTAGGTACGCAGGTAGGAATCATGTGGAACAACTCTAAGAGTAGGTCTGAGGCTGAGGATGGCAATTTTAACCTATCTGTAATGTGTTAATTTGGCATAACAAGTATTTGTGTACCATTTATATAATTTTACAATGACTGAAAAGGTAAATCCAGAAATACATTTAAATGAACTAGAGCTGATACACAGAATGAAGGCCTGTGGTAGAAATGGCAATAAGTCCAGACAGGAACCCTGAGTTTAGTGGCATGAGTGGCACCCCAGGATGGAGCACCAGGCATGTTAGGGCCCCTGTGGTTCAGCTCTGCTGCCCTTTCTCCTAGAATTCCGTGCTCTTCACAAGTCACACCACAGCCCAGTACAAATAGCTAAGAAGAAAAGACGCACAGTGCCACTGTCACCACTGAACCCTAATCCCTCCAAGCGCTTACTCAACTACGTGTTTCAGCTTACAGTGGCTACCATCCAGGCCCAAATACAAGGCAAAGTTATCTTTCAAAAATGACCAAGTCACTTTATGCTTAAGTTTTCACAAAGTCTCCTATTTCCAAGCATTTTCTTTTAATGGACAGAGTACTGTCTGGAGAAAAAATGGATCAATTTGGAACAACTCAAAAGAGCATAGAGCTAAAGACATACCTGTAACAATGACGAGCAGACAAAAGGCTGTTTCTTATTGATGGGGGCTGTGCAGAACACATACCTCACCCGGAGACTTAGTGGAATATGCTGGATCAACTCTGCAGAGAACTTAAAATCATCCATATTGCAGACAAAATACTGTCCATCAACTTGTGCAAAGTCTACAAAAATATCCTGGGGAAAAATACACGTGAAATTATTCACTGCCTGGATGTGATATCCTCCTACTGGGTTTCAGTAAAGGACTAAAGTCCACAAAGGACGACCCCATTAGTCCCTAGCAGATCTCAGGAGAGCTGTGCTTCTCTGACTGCTCTCTAAAGCTGAGGCATTTCTCCCACTGCCTTCCCTAACCTCAATTTCTTTAGAGACAGAGGCTCACTACGGCCCCTGGGCTAGCCTCCAACTCCAGGTCTCCAGCTTCAGGGTCCTGAGAGCTGGGCCTACAGGTGCGCACCAACACACCCAGATTTTGGAAGTTTCACCAGCAATAAAAATGCCATGTGTGGCAGCTGCACACAGCAGCCTGTCCTCCACTCTTGCCTACGCAGTGAGCCGGTTCTGACACGCCACGTCAACAATTTTAAAAGGAAAAATGAAAAGAGCTTCCACTTACAATGAGATTGGACAGCGTTGTCTCAGGGAGATGGCAGGCGAACATTTCGATCTGCTCAGCAGTTGGGTGAAGACCGGCGGCCTGCAGAGGAAAAGACAAGATCATCATGAGCTTCGTTTTCCTTCAGTTTTTGAAGGGCATTTTCATTTGAAACAATGTCCCACATTAGGCCAAGTTCTTACCATGCCAGGATTTCAGTAATATAGAGAAAAAGACATGATCATTTTAATCATTTACTGCAATTAGAAAAGCTGCTAGGATTATGAAGATGGCAGACTACATAGCCCTTTGTTATGTTTTAGCCAGATTTTCAGAATATATTAATGATCCAACAGAATACCAAAAATGTCTTTAAGGATGAAACAATTTTCTAAATTGTAATTCTCTCCATTGAATAAAAATAGACAAGGCAACTCCATATATTTCAATGTGTGGGACAGAACACAAGAAAACATCTACCCTAGACATGAGCTCCTCATGGGTGTAGCTCAATGGTAGAACATGAATAAGGCCCTTGGTTCAATTCCCAGCACCACAAATAAGTGAACACATGTGGCTCTATACTCCAAAGATTTTTATAAAAATGAAACTAGAAAGCTGAGTGTGGTAGTTCAGGCCTAGAATCCCAGCACTCGGGAAGCTGAGGAAGGAGATTGCCACGAATTTTGAGGCTGACCTGGGGTACACAGTGAGACCATATCTCAAAAACAAAAACCAAAACCAATGAAACAGCCTTAACCATCCCTCCAAACAAACAAACAAACAAACAAACAAACCAGGAATTCTGTGAAATAAAGATTTCCCATGCTTAGAAGACATAAGCGTCATGGCTTATCCATCAGAACTTCACATTATGAAAATCTACCATATATATGAGCCACTCAGCTAAAATAAGGATTTCCTTTTTGCCGAACTGTTTTAATTTTTCTAAAAAGGAAAAATTATGGGGCTGGAGAGGTGGCTCAGTGGTTAAGAGCAATGGCAGCTCTTCCAGAGGACCCTCAATTCCCAGCACCCACATGGCAGCTCACAGCTGTCTGTAACTCCTGTTCCAGAGGATCTGACTGTCTCACACATGTAGGCAAAACACAAAAATGTACACAAAACAAAAACAAATGACTAATAAAAATGCTTTTTCGGACACATGCAAACAAGGGGTCTGCTTGTGCCAACTTCACACATGGTTCACTGCGCGCTCGCTCTGCAACTGAGTGCTGATCTGCAGCCCAGTGCTGACACTGGAGCTCAGCTCTGCAGCGAGCCCGTGAGAACGGAGCCCATGGACCTTACCTCTACCTCCTCCCCAGTTGTGTACAGAAGCTCAGAGACCAGGTCAATAGCAGCAGACTCTCCGCACAAATGGACTTCCTCGGCACAGAGCCCTGTAAATGCACACAGGGGTTTACACTGCTCTCTTCTCTTCTAACGGCATTCAGACACCATATGCACAGAAAGCTGACGTGAAACAGATCAAGACGTTACCAGTGACTGTGAATATGGCAAGACAAACTTTCCTTTTTCCTTTTGAGGTAGCATCTTTTCTTGTTTTGTTTTGCTTTTTGAGATAGGGTTTCTCTGTGTAGCCATGGCGGACTCGCTTTGTAGACCAGGCTAGCCTTGAACTCACAGTGATCTGCCTGCCTCTGCCTCCCTGAGTGTTGGGATTGAAGGCGTGTGCCACCATGACCAGACTGAGGCAGAATCTCAAGGTAGCCTGGGCTGGCCCTGAATTTGCTTTGTAGTCCATGATAATCCTCTCAATTCCTCATGGTCCTGCTTCCTCCTCCCATGTGCTGGGACACTGGGATGTTCCACCATACCTGGTTTATTATATGTGGTTCTGGGAATCACCAACGGCTTCATGCATGGCCTGCTGGAAGTACTCTACAAATGTCCCCAGTTGTAACCTAAGTTACAAACCTAAGTTGTAAACCCAGGTCCCTCCCATGCTGGAAGAGTGCTCTACCACTGGGTTATAGCCTCAGAGATTCAAACTTTTCTACTTTAGATATTTGGTAGTGTTAACTTTATAATTTTGATTTTTAACTTAACTTTTCCCAAGAAGAGAGGCAGCAGCAGCTGACTGAAACAGTGAGAGCACTCACCTAGCAGCGCTCTGGTCCAGGCCCATCCTCTGGCTGGGTCTCAAATCACCTGAATTTCATCTATCACAGCTACTTCATCTTAGAACAAGAGTCTCCATGAGCAAGAAAGCCACTTAAGCTCCAACACCAATTTCCCCCTCATCAGCGTCATGACCATTGCTTACTGGGCGCATCTTTTCTAGCAGCCTTGGTCTAAGTGGTTTGTTCCTCATAACAAACCTATGCAGTTATCTCCATTTGACAGGAAATTAAACTGAGGTCCACAGAAGTTAGACAGCATGTGTAGGGATGAGATTCAAATCCAAGCCACACAGCACACAGAGCACTTTCCTATCTCCATCTATCCCGTTGGTTACAACCTCAGATACACTGCTGACTCCACCAAATAGCAATGACCATATCGGACTGGAGACAGTTTGATGGGTAACAGAAGGCGATTCTAGAGGACATGGATCTAATGCCCACTTCTGAACTCTAAGAGCACATGTGTGCGCACAAATATACCAATATACAAACACACACACAATTTAAAATAAATCTAAGCCCAGCATGGTAGCACACATCTTTAATCCCAGTAGTGGCGAGGGAGAAGCAGGCAGATCTCTATAAGGTTGAGACCAGCCTGGTCGATATAGAAAGTTCTAGGCTAGCCAAGGCTACAGTCTTAGAAAACAAAGAAAGCAACCACCACATCTACACTGTAGCAAGCAAGGAGGAAGAAACTATGTTTCTGGAGTGAGGAGTGGAGAGCCCTTCAGGATGCCAAAAGCGTCAGGAGGGGGCTCTGGGAGCAGCAGGTGCAGTGATGCAGGGCTGGCTCTGCTCCTGCTTACAGGTGTTAACCCCTTCACCATGGGAAGTCAAGCCGCAGCGCGGCTTCCCTCTAATCCCAAATACTTCTAACCACGGTACACGATTTCATTCTCCTCCAAATATCAAGGAATTGAGAGTCAAAGAAAGGTAATTTATACTGAAAACCAAATTAAAAATTACTCATCACATCATGATGAACAGACTAAAAAGCAAGAAGCAGAGACCACTTTGATTCTGTGTGCTATCTGCATGGTTATACTATATGACTTTTACAATACACTGAAAAATGTAAAACTATTTATTTGAAAAGCTGATTTTAAAAAGAAAAGCAAGCTATTAGTAAAATCCCATATGATTTTTACTATATTTAACATATTCACCTGAGTGCATACCCTACTATAACACATAACAAAATCTGAACACTGGCAAAGAAAGTCAAGAAAATATACACCACAGGGTTAATTAAAACTCACCGGGAGACAAGTGGGACTGAAAAATATATATATATGTGTTCTTTGTTTACTTGCACTTCAGTATTTTCAAAATTAAAGCCAGAAGTTCATTAATGCACTGTATAGAATACAGACTTTTGATTTCAGCACTAAGGATTGAACCCAGAATCTTGCATTTATTAGGCAAGTGCTCTACAACTGAGTTACATTCCCAACCCATGGCCAAATTTAAACAACCTAAATATTTCTTAACAGGGAATGAAGAAATCTTGCCATAAAAAAAGAATATTATGTAACAGTGTAAATGGATCTCAAATACACACACACACACACACACACACACACACACGTATATATGTGTGTATGTAACACAACCAGACTATGTCTGACTTACAATGTTTCACTATGTAGCCCTGGCTGTCCTGGAACTCAGACACCCACCTGCCTCTGCTCAAGTGCAGGGATTACTGCGCTGGGATTCAATTTCATCCACAACAAAGGACCACAAGGATTCAGAAGCAAGCACGGTAAAGTTAGCTTAACGCTAAATACTTAGTGTACTGTTTTCTTCTAGATTTTTAACTATTCACCACAAAGCCCTATATCCTAAATTTAGTTATACTGAAAACCCCCAAGTCCTAGTTTTCTGAACAGCATATACATACAAGGAGTTGTAACATTGCACATCTCCACAGTACAAGAGACATGGGTGGCTTCTTTCCCCTCAGGCGCAACTGTCAGCCGCTCTTCACCTGTCACCAACTCACATGGCACATCCTGGAATGACAAAAAACAACCAAAAAACAAAACAAAACAAACCAGACTCATCTCTGACTTGAAAATGGTAACAAAAAGTAGCCTAGGGTTGAAAAGAACTTATTCCATTACTATCAAAATTATTTAAATAGCTGAATAAAATATTACCAAAGCTTAAGTTACATACTTCACACACACACACACACACACACACACACACACACGCAGAGCTACTTTGTTGTACAACTTAGACAAATCAGAAGAATCCTCAGTAGAAAAATTGTAGCAGTTCCTGTTTCTTGAGACAGAGTCTAATGTAGCCCAGGCTGGCCTCAAATTAACTATGTAACTATGATTTAAGCTTCTGATCCTCCAATTCACAAGTACTGGGATTATAGGCATGCATCAAGGAACCCAGCCAATAGTTCTGGTTCTGGCTTTGTTCTGCAGTAATACATGGTGAAACCAGGGTTTTGCCCAAGCCAGGCAAGTCGTCTACCACTAAGCTTTCTTTCTGCTCTTAAGCTTTTTTTGTTTGTTTGTTTTCTTTTTGAGACACGGTTTTTCTGTGTAGCCTTGGCTGTCCTAGACTATAGAACAGGCAGGCCTCAAATTCAAGAGATCTGTCTGCCTCTGCCTCCCAAGTGCTGGAAAAACAGGCATGTGCCACAATGTCCTGCCTGTAGCTTGATTTTTGCTATTATGTGGGTTCTTCTTTCCCCCATGCTTTATCCCCCACACTCTGCCCTGATTTCACCCCATATCACTACATAGAGAGGGAGAAAGAGGGATAGCTATTTGTGAATCTAATTTCTATTTCTTCTTTGCTTGTAGCTGACCTTTGCTACTTTAGGGTTCGTTTTTTCCCACTCTCTATCCCCCTGGTTCCACCCCTATCACTACAAAGGAGAAAGAAGGATAGAGGAGAGAGGAGAGAGAGACAGAGATCTGAGATCTCATTTCTTTCTTCTTTGAGCACAACTACTATCAAACTGCAACCACTCCCCCTGAATGAACACCAACCACCCACCCTGGGGCTCCAGCATTTATACACCCTCTGACAAATTCCTAGAATTCCAAATGTCACACAATCACAGAAACTATCCACAGCTCGTAAACCATGCCTCTGCTAGAGCACAGGGCAAATCATAGTCATCTGCCTGTCAGTCAGACAGTGTAAAGCAACCCCATATCCTCATACCTGGGATTAAAACAAAAACATATATTTATAACATTCCTATGTTTTGTAAAGAAACCAAAATTCCAGAATTCTCACTATACTGCTCTATCATCTTTCATTTTCTCTCTGTACATTTCAGCATTAATGGAGTTAATTCAATGAATGTGAATTGTTTCTATACTTAAGAACACTGTGAGGGAAGCCTGAGAATAAAAAGACATCTCAGTTTAACTCCCCCAGAAGAAGCAACATAAGGGGTGTGATACACTCATCGATTTTAGCCAGGAATGCAAGGCTCATCAGAATGAAGGATATTATGTGTTCAATCTAAGAAAGTCCAGGCAACAACTAACCTCCAGTATTTAAAAAATAAAGAACTCACAGGAGACAAAGATAGAATGAGGAACTCTGAGATCAGAATGGCCATGCCATGTGAGAACTGAAGATGGGATCTTAGGAGGGACCAGGGACATTGTTACTTGACAACTGACACACACACAAAAATGTACAATTTTATTTTTTACTTATGTGCATGTGTGTGGTACCGGCAGAGGCTGGAAGAGGGTGCTAGATCCCTGGAGCAGGAGTGAGTGGCCCTGTGAGCTACCCTACATGGATCCTCTGCAAAAGCAACAAGTACTCTTAACCAGTGATGTAATTTCTTCAGCCCAATAGAACCTGAATTTGATTATGGATTAAGTATTAAATAATAGTAGACTATAAATTAAATATCCTTTCAGATAAATACACTAGTTATGTTAACAAAGAAAAAAACAAAACAAAAAAACTAACCAGGTCTTTGGTCTGAAATATCCCAAATGTATGGAAAAAGCATTATGTATTAAAAAAAAAAAGTAATCTTTTAAATGCAGAATACAAATTATCTAAGCCAAATTGGATAACATCGCAGTATGCTATACTAAACAATATAAAATGGTCCATTTAGTGAAAGGATGCCTCAAACAAAATGGCCTCAAATCCAGTTTTGAAAGTGTGGCTCTAGTCCTGAGCATCAGTGTCTGACCCAAGACACTGGCAGCTAAACATCCCGGCAGAGCACTACATAAGCCAAGGAGGAGTTCAGAGCAACTTCCAACTAATTCATGCTCTCTTCCTGAAAAAGCAAGCAAATGCTATAAAAGGGGGCGGGGCAAAGCACATGAAGAGCTTGACAGAAGGCTCCACGTCATTTTCTGCAATTCTCGCTACATAAAACATTCAGTAATATTTCACTTCACTTTCTATACTAGGTGTTGCTGTTTTCACTTTTCTTTGATAGTTTTTGTTTGTTTTTTTGAGACAGGGGCTCCCTATGTAGCCCAGGCCTGCCTCTGGCCTCAAACTCAAGATCCTCCTGCGTCCACATTCCAAGTGCCGGGATCACGGGCCCCTTTCTCACATTTTCTCTGATCTAAGGATGCAGCATATGGATGGCATGTCAGAGTTTAGCCTCTCTTCCTCCCACTCGTAGTGACACCATCACCTCATACAACTGACAGCTTCAAGGTACACTCAAACAGGCATTTCTGTCCACAGTGAATTACTACGTATTTCTTTCCCCACATCCATCCTCACCCCAAGAAATGAAAAACTATCAAGGAAATGAGGAAACACTCGGCAGGGTACTGACAGCAGCATTGCTCTTCTCAAAGATCTTGTGCGCCAGCAGCTTCAGAGGGCCGCAGTACACTCCAGATTTCGCTGACAAGTATCTCTGGATTGCATGATAAGTCTTCCCACTGTTGGTGGGGCCCGAGTGAAATATTATCTTCCGTTGTATGGCTCTGGCTTCTGGGTACCTAAAACATGAGTAGGTAAAGAGCTTAAGTCTATTAACCTCATAATCCATTCTAGCAGTCTTTGCAAAATGAAGGGATGTATCAATGAAGGGATGTATAACCACATTAAAATACCAAGATTTCTCAGAATAGCACTTACTGGAGGACAGAAACCTCAGTGAATATTTTGAATATCTCAACTGTTATTGAAAACGGATTTAAACTGCCATCAGTCCCACAGATATGTTTACATCACTCCCACTGCTCCGAACCCAAAAACCCCTGTTATACTGTTCTTCTGAAATGTATACACCTTACCCTTGTTCATTCAAATGCTGACTTCTCTCTCCCACTCTCTGGTTTGAATCCAGTCAGTGCATTGTGATACTTACATTGTGATACAAAGTTGAGGCATCCTGTCTAAACTTTGTGTAAACATGCCAAAATAAAGCAACTAGCCACAATGTTGAGCAATAGAGAGGAAGCAGGAAGAGAGGGAAGAGCCAAAGGACAGGAAGGTGGGAGGCAGAGAAGGAGAGGAGGGCAGAGGAGAGGTTGGGAGAACATATGCAGGAGGAGAGATCTTGGAACGACATGGAGAGATGGACTGGCCCTAATATATCAATAAGAGCAAGTATAATGTGGAAAATCTAAATGTTAGGAAACTATGAGGGCTTGGAGGCTTAGGATGGGGTAAATATTGCCCAGCATTGAGTTCTAGGTTAATTAAATAAATTATAGTCTCTGTGTGGTGATTTGGTTATACAGCTGTTTAGGATTAACAGCAAGCTTTACCATAAGATATATCAATAGTAAATATTAATCACCGCCTGTTGCCTCTGTCCCAATGAGCTACTGTGATTTTTTTGCCCAGTTCTGTAGTAGGGCCCCTCTCCTCACCAGGAGCAGAGGCTCAGTCGCTATATTTATAAACACTGAAATTACAAAGCCTTCAGTATTTGCTTTGGGGTCTGTTGTAGGCGGTGAGGACTAATCTCCTGAAGGAAGCACAGCAAATGGTCCTTATTGCATCCCAGTAGGACACAGGGAGGTCTAACCCAAGAGGAAAGCAATAATTGTCCTGAACAAGCAGGAGAGCAGACTTAGAGCTGCTAAAGTAGATGGAAGTTTAAAAAAATTTTAAAGACCGTGTTTCATGTAGCCTAGGTTAACTTGTAGATAGCCAAGAATGACCCTATCTCTCTCTCTCATATTCATTCCCCCCCCCCCATGGAAACAGAGTCTCTCTATGTAGCCCTGGCTGACATGGAACTCACTATATAGAGCAGGCTGGCCTCAAGCAGGGATTCTCCTTCCTATCTCCTGAGTGCTAGGACTAAAGTTGTAAACCATTACAACCAACAATTTTGAATTCGTAACTCTGTCTCTGCCTCCCAAATGCTGAGATTACAGGCATGCACCACCATGCCTGGTCTGATGCAGCGCTGGGGATCAAGTCCAAAGTTTGTCTCTGCTCGACAATGCTCTATCAACTAAGCAGGATCTCAAGTTTGAGTGGAATTTGAAAAGCAGAATGTCAAAGGGCAGAAAAGATGAAGAGAGTGGGAGTCCTCATGTGTGGGGGTTCTGTGGGATTCTGGCCAAAAGCTGGGCCAGAACTATGTAAGGTGAGAACTCGCAGGGCCCAGAGAGCAGCCCACCAGTTTGGAGCAGAGTGTCCCAAAAGTGTCATAGCTAAGAGTTAAGAGATAGTGCAGTTCCAGCCATGGGGAAAGAACTACTAATATTCAGGTAGTCAGCTAACCTATCAGGACAACCTTACAAAAGAAACCTCATCAGAAATCAGTCTTAAGGGGCTAGAGAGATGGCTCAGAGGTTAAGAGGACTTAACTGGGTCTTCCAGAAGACCCAGGTTCAATTCCCATCACCTACATGGCAGCTTACAACTGTCTATAACTCCTGTTCTACAGGATCTGACAACTTTACATAGACATACATGCAGTCAAACACCAATGTACATAAAATAAAAATTTAAAAAAAAAGAAAAAAGAAATGAGACTTAAGAAAACCTCAACCCAAGCTCCATCAAATGAAAGGAACACACCAGTAAAGTGTCTGACTGAATAATTCCTTGGTTATTTTATTCTGTTTTGTTTTCAGGGAAAATAAAATTTAGACTCTGTAGTTTTTTTTGTTTTGTTTTTTAATCTAGTATAAAATAAAAGCACCAACATTAGTTTCCCCAAATTCAGAAATTCCCTATCAGTAAATAGAAGAACTGACCAGTTGGGTGGTATCCTCAAGTCACTGATTTTACGTAGATCATCCTTGCATTCCAATACAGGAAATATCTGTTTGGCATGTCTCAAGAAAAATGGAAATAAGTCGTCCACATGAGCTGTAAAATAGCACAGTGCATTAGCATGCTTGCTCTGAATGATACTCCGAATTTAGACCCCCAGTGCTCTGGAAACCACTTCTTTTGAGTGAGGTGTGCTGGACACTGCAGAGCTACAGACAAGTCCTGAGCAAGAGGCCCCGTCTTTCCCTGGGACCCTACTCTCTATTCCTTCCTTCTCTAAACTTCACTCACATTTCTGGCAAAACAAGAAACTAGCTGACAACTACCAACTACCCCAGTGTGAACATGCAAAGGTTAACACAGTGAGGAATTACACTAAGGAGCCTGGGTATACATTATAGATATGAACTTCTTTTTGTGAAATGTTTTGGGTAGGGAGGCTGTCAGGGCTTGAACCTAGAAATCTGTACACACGTAGCCCATGATCAAACCCTAAGCTACCCCTCTATCCCAGTTCAATGACATTTTTTGTTTGTTTGTTTTTTGTTTAATTTCAGAGACCACAGAGAACCAAGTAAATTTTGTCCACACCATAGTGTCTCTGAGAGAAAAGTGGAGTAGGTCCCATTTGGCTACGTATGAGGTTCTTCTCCCACAGTGTCAGGCACAAGCTAAAGGTCTAAGGATCAAACAGATTTAATGCTATAATTAAGACAAAGATACCCATGAAATCAAACAATAATTTGATTTCCTACTTTGTTTTGCTTTGAGACAGGGCCACACTATAGGCCAGACTGACCTGGAACTCAAATCCTGCCTCAGCCTCAGGAGGGATAGGACTAAGTGACCCACGATAACTAGTGTTTTGTTTTTCTTTTAGGATAAGAACTTTGTGAAGGAGAAGGAAGCCAATGGCAGTAGAAACAGATGAAAGGTGCCATGCACTAATTCTATTTGGCACAACAATTCCATCCATGGTGCTCACCTATGTTAACAGAACACAGATAACAATGGAGCAAAGACAGTCTACGCATGACTTACTAAGTAATGGAGGAGTGTGATGTAAAAGCACAGTGATTTATTTGGAGAGTACTTATTTATTGCCAGAACCTATTCTAAAACAACAGCCCAGATAGAGAAATAAACACTAAGTCTGGGAAAGCACACCCATTAATATTCTTAAGAGTCTCAGGGCTTGAGAGAAGGCTCAGGGCACATGAGCGTTCATTGTGCAAGCATAAGGACCTGAGTTCAGATCCCAGTTAAAAAGTGGGGTGAGGCTACCAGCACATCGTTAACCCCAGCTTTGGAGGGGGAAGAGGCAGGGAGACAGGAGAATCACTGGGGCTTGGGGCTTACTGAACTTGCAGCCCAGCTCTAGGGTCAATGAGATCCAGTGATAACGCAGGACCCTGCTGTCTTCCTCTAGCCTCTGCATGCACACCCAAAGGAACACACAGGAGCACATACAAAATACGCACACACACATCACACAAAATCAATCCTTTAAAAAATCCTCACAGCAGGCTGGAACAATGTCTCAATGGTTAAGAGCACTGGCTGGTCTTCCAGAAGACCCAGGTTTGATTCAAAGCACCAACATGGCAACTCACAGCCATCCACGAAGCAGGCACCACATCCATGTAGTGCACAGATGCATAGAGTAAACATAATTTTTAAAAAATCCTCCAGCAGGCCAATGATATGCTTCAACAAGGAAATGCATCAGCATACAATCCCTGGAACCTACAGCTGGAAGCAGAGAACAGACTCCCAAAAGTTGTCCTCTGACCTCCAAATGAGTGTCATGCACACAGACTTTTCTTCTCTTCTACACCTCCTCCCCTGCAACTCTATCTCTTACACACACACACACACACACACACACACACACACACACACAATTAAAGACTTCTCTAAACACTTGCCTGCACTGAAGCAAGTAATGGAGGAGTGTGATGTAAAGGCACAGTGACTTATTTGGAGAGTATTTATTTATCGCCAGAACCTATTCTAAAACAACAAAGCCCAGATAGAGAAATAAACACTATGTCTGGGAAAGCACACCCATTAATATTCTTGAGATTCTCAGGGCTTGAGAGAAGGCTCAGGGCACATGAGTGTTCATTGTGCAAGAGCTATGACCTGAGTTCAGATCCCTGTTAAAAAGTGGGGTGAGGCTACCAGCACATCGTTAACCCCAGCTTTGGAAGGGGAAGAGGCAGGGAGACAGAAGGATCACTAGGGCTTGGGGCTTACTGAACTTGCAGCCCAGCTCTAGGGTCAATGAGATCCAGTGATAAAGCAGGACCCTGCTGTTTCCTCTAGCCTCTGCATGCTAGAGGAAAAGAAAAGGAGTATTACTTTGTTGATTAGTTGATTATACAGTACTGGGAAAGGACCATAGGGCAGCACATGTTTGGCAAGTACTCTATCCTGGGGCTATATCCTCAAGCTTTAAACAAACAAACAAAAACCAAACCAAACCAAAAGTCTTTTTACGTTGAGACAAGATCTCTTCAAGTTGACCTGCCTGGTTTTGAACTCACTTGGGAGTCCAGGCTGGCATTGAACTTGCCACCCCTCTGCCTCAGACTCCAAATATGAAGTCTATACTTTAAGGCCACACAAGGAAGCACCAGTTTTGCATATTGAAGTCAGCTGCCTAAAGGTTGTTCCTGAACAGCTTGTGCCAAGAAGACCTATGGCGTTCCTTCAATCGCCCAAGAATTCATTTGGTTGGAAGAAACCTTTCACTCTCCTAATCATATACAGAGGTAAAAATCAACCATATAATCTGAAGACCCCTCTCACTGAAAACATTTACATGCTTGTCAAACTCACCCAAATCTAGTTTGCTACCCACTGACTGATGTTAAGGTGTTTTTCTTCATCTCTGGAACCTGGGACGATAATACTTTTGGCAAGGACGCTTTTATCAACTTCAATCTTGTATTTACATTCATGTCTGCCTTGTGGAGAGTAAACTTATTGCGAAATCACTAGATGGAATCTTAACATTGTTAGACATCCTAGTCCAGTCAATGCAAAGAATCCTGAAAAGTCCTCACTGTCTAATCTCACCACTTAAGGACAAAATTCTCCCGAAACCATCTCGATCCAACACTTAGGGTTTAATCACTCAGAAAAGGGATGGGAAGGGTCAATGTCTCTATGGAGGGAGTTAAGAATGAATTAGTCCCGGGTGCCGAAGGCTCCAGAAAGTAACAGACATTGCACTTGGCAGGCTCCGGCCGCAGGTCCTGCTGCTTCGCCAGGAGACTCCAGCACTCAGTCTTGTCCAGAGGACTAGTGAGCTCGCGCCCACGTCGCCGTCGGCGCTGGGACCCAGGGGCTTCACTGTCAGCGGCACGAACAAGGACGTGTTCGGGGCTTTGGAGCCACCAGAGGCAGAAGAGGAGGCGGCCAGGCAGGGAGCGCGTCCTAGAGCCCCGGGGAACGGCCCCACGAGGGCGCGAAGGGCGGAGGAGGCGGCCGTCTGGGGCCCAGCCCCGCGCCCCGCCGGGAGCCGAGCCCACAGCAGGGCACACCGAGGCAAGGACATCGAGACAGCGGCTCCGCAGGAGCCGGGGAAAACCCCGCCGACTGGGCGCCGAACAGTGACGTAACGCCGGCGCCCGCGGACCGAAAGGACCCAGCGTGCCCGCAGGGCTGTTCCCGCACGCGCCTGACGGAAAAGGAGATGGTAGGGTCGGAAGCTCGCTCTAATTCAGGGGACAATGAGCTCTGTAGGATACACTGTCGGAAACGAGCTCCCATCGTCTCATTCCTTCTGCGGCAGTTGGAATCATCGTTCTTCAAAGAAGGGAAAATAATCAGGCATCTTTACGGAGGCTACAGATGAGCCGAAAGTAACCTAGCTAGCTTCATCACGTGAGCAAACTGGCCACCCTGGTGAGCCTAGTATCCTGCAGCATGTGGCTTTAAACGCTAAAGTCCATATTCTTTTCTATAAATTAATTTATTTATTATGTACGCAGTGTTATGTCTGCATGTACGCCAGAAGGCACCAGATCTCACTAGAGATCGTTGTGAGCCACCGTGTGGATGCTGGGAATTGAACTCAGGACCTCTGGAAGAGCAGCCAGTGCTCTTTACCTCTGAGCTCTCTCCAGCCCGCTAAAGTGCCTTTTCGAGATTGGTGATTTATTGTCCTTTAGTTTCCTAATAGGGTAACGTTGGAGGACATAGCTTGACCTATTAACAGATCAAGACCGGTTGCAGGGTAATTTTTACGGCAGTAAATAAAGGCCTTGTATGACACGTGTGCAAGTACACGTGCTTCTCTCCTCCGTGTTGGGGCTCGATGCAGGGACCAGGAGCATGCTAGGTATGTGCTCCACCACTGAGCTACAGGACTTAGCGTTCAGAAAGAGGGAGGGAAGCGCACAAGGCAGGGTCTGGATGGACCGCATCTCCAGGTAGGGTAGGGGGATAGACAATACTTAACCCAAGAAGGGTTCTTAAAGAGGTCCACCCAAGTAACAATAAAAGGGAGTTGGTCTAAGTGATGATTGCCGCGGACCCTGCCGATAGAACAAGCGCAGTTAACATTAAGGAACCCTCAGGGGACCAATTCATCAGAAGGAAGCGAGTTCAGCCACTGTCACCTACCTCGCGTAATAGATACATGACGATAAGTTTTCACTTGGGGCCAAATGAATCTAAGCCCTCCTGAATATCTCCAACTTTTCTGTATTCTCTTTAAATTGTCTGTGCGTCCTGATAGGTGGGCTACTTTTCTCCTATTCCTACGGAGGATAAGTTGGCCCTGCTGCCATAATATCTTTGCAACATTGCTGTTTCCCAGAGTACCTTGCTGTAAAATTGGAGACTGTAACAGTTGGATACTGTTTTCTCCTGAGACTGAAACATTAAATTCAAAACTTGTGGTCAGATGGTTCTTTATGCTCCTACATGCCTATATTTTTTTGGTAGCTTTTAAGTTACATGTTATATAATAAATAACATTTTGTGTCAATTAAAATTCTAAAAACTGTTTGCTAAGTGCTTTTGATTTTCAAAGTGATGTTAGGGATTTAAGGTGAGGTCCTTTACACTACGAATCTGTTTTGGTGATAATGGTACCCAGTGAATAATGCCTGTATTTATTACCCTAATGGGCTACAGCAAGTAAAGGTAGTAATTTCAAAACTATGATGAGATTTCTGCAGACTTAAAAGCAAACAAGAGGCACAGAGAAGTGGGAAGTCCAAAGACAAGTGTATGTGAAATGGTCAAGAAGTCAGGATGCCCTTGTTAGATCAGGATTGATCAAGGGGACTTGCAAATAAGAGGGCAGCCCAACAGAGTGTCTTTTATTAGAACACTGGAGGGCAGCAACCTCTCATTTGGAGGCTGCTCCAAGGTGTGGGGAGGGGGGCTTTCAGGATTTTGAAGGGCAGAAAAGGGAACTATTGAGGTGGAAATTCCATCTTCAGATGGGGTCATAAATTCTAATGGGGTTATCATTATGTTGATTTCCTTGTAAGGAGTGTCTCGGCTCCAAACTGCCTGCCAGTGTCATCAATGTGTCAACTTTCCTGTCTGGAGTTTCTTACCTTGCCTGAAACTTTTAGGTCATTAATGATTCATTCATGACTCCCCCACCCCCACCTGACCTCTGCATCTCGTCCACTTCAAAACCACCTCTTGCTTGACAGAACAAAGGGTTCCTCCTTCCTTACAGGCAAATGATGCTTTGGTTCTGTAACTCTTTTCTTAGCTAAGGGCTGAGAGTTCTTTGTGCAAGAAGCCTGCCCTCAGTTGCCACCTTACATAAAAGACTCTTATTTGGCCTTATATTCATGGTGGTGCATTAATTACACATGTGGGCATCTCACATGGGTGCCCCAGTGAGCTATCCCATAATATACGGGACTCAGTCTCACTCCAGACAAGAGGTTGAAGGGGAGGCATGACCTGAAGACATTCCAGGCCCCCTCCTCTCACTGAGTGTGGAGAGATGGCGTATGACTGCTGGGTTCTGAGATACCAAAATGTATCTGGCTCTCCTGGGAGGTAAATCTGAATTCTAAATTCAGTTCTGGTTCAAGAAGAGTTCTGATGAGTTTTTCCCTGTACTTTTGCTTTACATTGGAATGCCACTTACGAAAGACAGTTTTCTGGCTTAGTCTGAGCAAGTGGCAAGCCCAACTAGAATGATTTGGTGGTGGACCAGTTTGCGTGCCTCTGGACCACAGGCTCCATGGCCAGAGCTGGGAATCTGGCAGAGGCTACAGAGTCTGAGTGGGTCCTAACGGGCTGTGACTTCATGTGGTGGTTCACTGACGGTTCAGAGTCCACCTGTTGTCAAGAACCACCTAAGTCTCCCAAGAGGGAAAGACAACTGGTGACCAAAGCAAGTTCCTCTCTGGACAGTGCTTGTCCATGCCAGGTGTGGGGGTGCGGGTGGGGGTGTTGATCTTTCTGGTTAGCTGTCCTGTCTTGTCCCTTCTGTCTGTCTCAAGGATAGAAGCGCCAGTCTGTCATCCAGGCCCTTTGACTTAGTGACAACCAGAAGCCAACCTGGGGTATGTGCCTCACCGTTCAGGGAACACTTCACTCGTATCACAGGAGCAGTGTTAACCCCTTTCCTGGGAAAATGTCGACAATTCTGCCCTCGTTCTTTAGTCTGCAAACCTACCCTCCTTTCTTCCTAGGACAAGGGTTCTCCAGCTATATAAGCTTCCCAGAGTTACATAAACTTATCTCCACAATGGGGACCAACTATTCCAAGTCTTCCCTACAATGCATATTAAATTTCCCCACAGTTTTGGGGATAATTACGGTGTTACCTCTACTAAGAGAAAACTGCATGCTTTTTGTGAGGTCAGTTGGCCCTCATATGAAGTGGGCTGGCCAGCCACAGGCTCCCTGGATCCCACCGTTGTCCAAGCCATGTGGCTAAGGTCACAGGGACCCCAGAACACCTCTACCAGATCCCTTATATTGACCATTGGCTAATTGTACCAAATCCTCATGCCTGGCTCAAAATCTGAGCCCTCTGAAACTATCCTGCTCTCCTAGCCCAGTGTGCTCCCTTTGGAAAGTCTTGTTAGTTCACCCTGACCAGCTTAGCCTCTCTAGAATCTCTAGAAGATTCTCTTCTGCTGTAAAATTCTTACCCCACTCCCAGGCCCTCCCACTTCTCCACAGCTAATTCCACTTCCCTCCTGCTCCTCCTGTCTTTCTTTCTCCTCATCCACCTCCAACACTGAACTGAAGAATTTGCAGGAAAAAAAAAAGGCTGAGCAGTGGTGGTACACACCTTTAACCCCAGCACTCAGGAAGCAGAGGCAGGCTCTAACTACTCAGTGAGTTAGAAGCTATAAAGAGTTCCAGGAAAGCTAGGGCTGTTATTCAGAGAAACCCTATGTCAAAAAAAAAAAAAAAAAAAAAGGGGGGGGGGGGGGGGGGGGGAGAATTCATGGGTTAGCCAGGCATAATAGCATACAAAATTAATCCCAGCACTCAGGAGACAGAGGTAGAAGTATCTCTTGATCTACACAGAGTTCCAAGCCAGCCACAACTACACACTGAGAGCCTGTCTCAGAAGAACTAGGCTCCCCAGGACAGCCTTACTAGAACTTAATTCAAGGGGAACAAGAGTGTTTGGAGGTGGACACACCTAGAGCTAAAGCTGTGTGGAGTCTGACCATGTTGCAAGAAGCCAACTACTAAGAATTTCAGAATATCCAAGTTTTTGTTTTTGTTTTTTTTAAGGACCGTATATAAGGGTTATATTTTCCTCGCTAGAATTTTGCATATGGCTGCAGTTTTAAATCTGTAAAGTTCTGGCAGAAGTATAAGGCATTACAGGATGCTTTCATCCATATAAATGGGATAGCAAAGAACTTCGCTCATTATACTGAAACTAAGTATCACAACTACCATATTTATACTGAGGAGGTTCAAATATGCCACTGATCTCCTACCTAGGACTGACCCTCCCGGAAGCAACCAGGGAAGACTGTTTTCTTTCCCAGCAGTACGCAGGCACCACACCTCAGCCTCACAAAAACCAATACATCTCAAGTCAGGTGCATGGCGCACACCTGTAATTCCAGCACTCACGGAGGCAGAAACAGGCAGATCTCTAAATTCAAGGCAAGAAGGCCCACATAATCACATACCTATGGGATCCCAAAAATGCAACTCAAAAGGAGTGGGTGGAATTTAGTGCTCCTGTACTTTCTTAAAAAGTAGCAGGAGAGGGGAGAGATTTTTGTTACTGTTGTTTTGTTTGTCTTTAAGACAGGGTTTCTCTGTGTAGCCTTGGTGTTCTGGACTTGCTTTATAGGCCGGGCTTGCCTTCATTAATTAGTGTAAAAGTGCAGAGAATCAAGCATTCAAGAGACTGAGACAGGGTGGTGAATTCACAACCACCCTAGATGCAGAGATCTTGTCTCAAACAATAGAGGGAAAACCTTTTTCCTCAACTATGTCAAAATAAGAAAATTTTAGTAATGAGAAAAACAAAGCTTTAAAGAGGGCTAGAACTATAGTTCAGTTGGGAGTGTGCTTGCCTGGCATACAAGAAGCCTTCGGTTCAGTCTCCAGCATTTTATAAACCAGGAGATGGAGGGTCGGGTTAGAGCTAGGTTGATAGAGTTAAAACAGTGCTTGCTTAGCATGCTCAAAGCCCCGGGTCATGAAGTCCAAGCACCACATAAACCAGGTGTGGGGCATGACCATAATCCCAACACTAGGGAGGGAGAGACAGGATCAGAAGTTAAAGATCTCCTTGGAGGCATAAGAAGTTCACACCTAGGCTGGGCTACAAGACCCTATTTTAATTTTTTTAAGGTATTTCAAGGTCATCCTTGAAATTAAGATCAGCCCTGGCTGTAAGATTCTCTTAAGCAAGAAACAGGATCTATGTCCCTTTTACCATGGGTAGTTTCATTTTTATGTTAATGCCCCAATACGTGAAAAAAAAAATTTAATAGCTCTAGTTTGAAACTCACTATGTAGAACAGGCTGCCCTTGAACTTGTGGCAGTCCTCCTGCCTCTGCATCTCAAGTGCTGGGACCACAAGTATTCACCAATACTCATGGTGAGATCCTGATTTTACTGTCTAGGTGAGATGTAGGTGTGACCTCTTTTTTTTGCAAAGCTTCTGAAGTGATCCTGCCATGTGACTAAGATTGAGAACCTCTGTGACACCATCTTCTTCAGTGGACAATTTTAGCCTGCAGTTTGCTCTTTTTTATTTACCAAGTTTTGACTGAAATCCACAAAAAATAGAATTCAGAAAAAAATTAAAGTTGGTTATGTACCAGAAACGTCTTAGGGGGAGTAAACAAGCATTTTATATGAGCTTTTAAGCAAGCTAATTAAAAGCGTTTTATAACTATTTAAAACTGAAGGTGGTGAGGCTGGAGAGATGGTTCAGTGGTCAACAGCACTGGCTATTCTTCCAGTGGACTGGAGTTCTGTTCCCAACACCCACATGGCTGCTCACAGCCATCTGTAACTTCAGCTCCAGGAAATCTAATGCTCTATTCTGCCCTTCTTAGGAACTGCCCACATGTTTGCAGACATACTTGCAGCAAAATGGCAATACACATAAAAAATAAAATCCAAAAAAAAAAAAAAAAAGGACTAAACAAACAAACCTGAAGCTAGTACTATTTATAAAAAGTGAATGTCGGGAAACAGCCAAACGCCGCCGATTCCAGAGCGCTCCTGGGGCTCCTGGGCTAGCAGGGTCGGAAGCGTGTTCCCTCCGAAGCTGGATTTGGCAGGACTCAAGGGGGTTCTGAGAAACCTGAGCCATTCCGGAAACGGCCGAACGTGCTACAGCGAGTTTGTTTTTCACGAAGTTGTGACCCTGCACGGCCGCGTAGCGTGTCTGCAAAGAACCGCTCTCAAATATGGTGTTGGGCGTTGACACTCGGACACTCCGGCAGCTTCTGCACGTTGCCGGAGCACGTCCAGCTCCACCGAACGAACTAGGCGGCCACAAACTCAACAGAGAAGCCGCTTGTGAAAGGACTAGAGGACGGAGGCGTTCCCATGGTAACCCTGGGCGTCCGGAAACAGCCGAAGCGTCTCCGGGAGTGCCGAAGCCCGGAACCTCGATTGTTTCCGGAAATAGCGACAGACTCTGGCAGTTGGGGTCGTGGCTAAGGCGATTATGATGCGAGTGCGGGGGGCTTCTTCTGGTGTCTCTGGGACTTGCAGGCAAGTGGTGCACATACACATTAAATATCCTTTAAGGGAAAATATAGAAACACAGACTAATCGATGCATTAAATTTTACCTTTTCTTGAGACAGGGTCTCTCTGTATGATGGCATTAAAGGCAAGTGTTACCATGAAAAAAAAAAAAAAAGTGAATGTCATGACTGTCCTCCTAACCCATTGGGCAATCTTGTGTTCAACCTGCTAACAATGATTAGATTTTAACTACAAGCTTAGTTTCTGTTTCAAATTATTTATTATATATCATAGTTTGCACAACTTGAGGCTGGTTAAATACAATTGGTTTTCAAAATCTCTTTGAAATATTTCCTAGATTACTCCACTCAAGTGACCATGAAAATATTTGGCATTTTGAAATTCTGAAACTTTGAACAGGCACTTACATGAAGGGAAACATGGCCATTCTTAGAAATCCACATTGAAAATAGCTCCAGGATATGGCTCATGGAACTTTTGGCCAGGGATGGTTGCTGGCCATTTTATCAAAGTGCCATCATAGTAAAACATAACTTGGGCCGTTCAGCTTCCTCAGAAAGTAAGGTTAACTGCCAAAACTTACACTGAGGTGTATCAAGGAATACTGGTACAAAACCCAATGACCCACGAGTGAACATAGCTCCTACACAGCAGGCTTCATCCTGCCCTTATATTCCACAGTCGTGTGTCTGTGCTCAGATGACAGTTGCCTGCTTCAGAGACACTGTATAATTGATTAGAATTGAGTGGGCTTGTTTGTTTGTTTTTCAATAGACCAGGTGAAGTTTACATGTGAGTCTGAACTAGCCAGTAGTCCACTCATCGAGAAACTGTCCAGACCTGGGCACTTGCATGATGATGCTTCACAGTCCTCCCGAGCCCTCTCCTTCCCAGTGAATACAAGCACACACAAGGAAAGAGTCCTTAAATTAAACTCTATACGTGTTTCAGAGTATTTACGGAGAAGTGATATGGGTTTAACAAGCTCTAAAATGCCAACATGTCAGCTCGACACTGCAGAACCTACATGGTGATACAGAAAGTAGTTGAAAGAAGGTTAACGGGGGAAGAGGGCCACAGTGACATGCCATGTAATTCCTTGGGTGAAAATTTTACCATACCTCAGAGACACCAAAGATTACAATTCAAGAGGCCATGAAATGATCCAGAAGCACCCACCATGCAACATCAGGTTGGTTCTGATACACATGTAAAAACAAACACAATTCTCAAAGATACTGAGGAGCCGCGACTTAAAACTTTGCAGGACATAAGGGCTGCTCAGGTTTTCTCATTTTATTTGAACAAAATATTTATTTTTTGCACATAGTGAATAAGAGGTAATCATTAGCATGAAAAAGAGAAAGATTTTCAACATTATGCATAAGGAAAGCAAAATTACAAATACCAGCCTACACACATAGAGATCTTTAATGTTTATGCTGACGCATCTGAGTGCTTATCAGTGTGCAGTAAAAAAGAAAACAAAAAAGGCAGCTTAAGAATTCTCCAGTGTTTCCAAGAAAGCACTTTTTAAAATGTATGTACACAGAGAACCTTTATCATCCTGTAAAATAAACGCAGCACTTCAGAATAAGGAAGACTGGCAGACATGGAGTCGGACCATCTTTAACCTGCTGAGCTTCACCTCTTGGCTACAGTTCCTGTTCCTGCTCTCTGTCCTATTTGGCTTACATCTCAGGCTGTTCTGCAGACGCCTGTGATTCCGGAGATTCAAATCGCTGGTGAAAATTTGTCCTCTGTTTCCTCAGTTTTTCGGGTGCTTTTCTCCACAGGATGATCTCCTAGGGGAAATTGCAGGATACAAACAGAGTTCTCTATTGTGTCTTAGGTTTCACCATGAAAATACCGGCTGCAGCTTCAATTTGGAGCTGTAAAACAATCTCTGTTCCTCTGTACTGCCCCTTTCCTGACTGACTCCTTTCCTTCCCCCTCATTCCTGTTCAAAGCCACCAAAATCTAACCCAGCACAAAGTCCTAGCTGTCAAATCTGTGGATCCCCTTCCTCCAACCAAGGTCAAGCCCTTGTCATGGCCTTAGAGCACTGAACCTACTTCCTGGGAATCAGCTTTTGTTGTGAAATCCACTTCCAATTCATCCTCATGTCACTGCCATGTTACTTGTATTTATCTGTACACTTATCGTGTCTCTGTGTGTCTCATGTCCCACAGCATACATGTGAAGCTGAAGGAGAACTTCTGGGAGTTGGGTCTCTCCTTCTACCCTGGGGTTCTGGGGCATGAACTCAGGTCTTCTGGCTTGGCAGCAAGCTCCTTTATTCCATGTGACATCTTACTAGACCCCACATTATTTGTTTTATAAATATTGCTTGTATGATAATTTGATAGTTCCTAGCACCTCCAGGATAAATCTTCAAACATCCAAGGCCCGCCAAACCTTAAGCTAGTTAAGAAATTATTTCCCTTCCCTCTCTAAATGCCTCCCCCAAACTGATGCATGCCAAATAAACTGGCCCTACCTCTTACCAACACCAACTTCCAATCCCTCTGTTGTTGTCTCTCTAAATCCTACCTTAACCAGTCAATCCCAAATCTTTCCTCCTCTAAATTCCTGCTTCAAGACATGACTAGCTGGGCTTTTTATTTGTTTAGATTTACTTATTGTTTTCTGTATGAGTGTTTGGCCTGCGCGTAGGTACATGCATTGTGTGTATCTGGTGCCTAGGGAGGCCATATGAGCCACAATCTGGGTGCTAGAAACTAAACCTTGGTTCTCTGCAAGTGCAGCAAGTATTCTTAACCGATGAGTCGCTTCTCCATCCTGTTATTTAGTTCTTTTTTTTTTTTTTTTATGTTTAATGCAGCTTTATTCGTAATAGCCAGAAACCGGAAACAACCTATAACATCATCCTTTATTTAGTTCTTATGAGATGAGATCTTGCTATGTAGGTCAGCCTGGTCTCAAACTTTGTGATCCTCCTGCCTCATGGTGGTTTATGCCTAGCCAGCACAAAATAATTACTAACTTGGCTATGAAACACTTGATTGGTCCTGTTATTAATCCACTTCACACTGTAGAAGATCATTCTAATTATAGTCTTATTCAAGATGCCCCAAAGGCTATTTAATTCTCAAATGATAAAGTTTTATATTACAGTTAACAAATGGTATCGGAACTGGGTATTAAAAAAGCTTTAACTATTTTTTTATATAACCATTTATTTTTTTTTTCTTTTTTTTTTTTTATTTTATTTTATTTTTCTTTTTAGTTACATTTTGTTAACTCTGTGTCCCAGCTGTATCCCGCTCCCTCATTCCCTCCCCAACCCCACACTCCCTCCCTGGTCTCCTCCCTGCCCCTTTCCAAGTCCACTGATAGGGGAGGACCTCCTCCCCTTTCATCTGACCCTGTTTTATCAGGTATCTTCAGGGCTGGCTGCAAAGTCCTCCTCTGTGGCCTAACAGACTGCTCCTCCCCTGGGGTGGGGGTCAAACAGCCTGCCCTTGAGATCCTATTAGAAATAGTCCGTGTTCCCCTTACTTTGGAAAACTACTTGGTTACTGAGCTACCACAGGCCACATCCGAGCAGAAGTTCTAGGTTATATCCATAGATGGTCCTTGGTTGAGTGTCAGTCTCAGAAAAGACCCTGTGCCCAGATATATTTGGTCCTTGTGGAGCTCCTATCCTTTCTATATCATACTAACTTCCCTTCTTTCATATGATTCCCTGCACTCTGCCGAGGGTTTGGTTATGAGTCTTAGTGTCTGCTTTGAAACACTGCTAGGTAGAGTCTTTCAGATGCCTTTTGTGATAGACTCCTGTCATAAGTTCAATGCACATCCCATTTGTCTTTCTAAATGAGGATTAATCACCTTCGCCTGTGTCCACTTTCTTGATTATCTTCTTTAGGTGTGTAGATTTCATTATGTTTATCATGTCTTGTAGGTCTATATAAGCGAGTATATACCAAGTTTGTCTTTCTCCTTCTGGGATACTTCACTCAGAATGATCTTTTCTAGATCCCACCACTTGCCTGCAAATTTCATGATTTCTTCCTTTTTGATTGCTGAGTAGTATTCCATTGTGTAAAAATACCACAGTTTCTGTATCCATTCCTCCGTTGATTATATAACCATTTATTAGGATAAAATGACAACCTCAAAAATCTACCAGCTACAGACATTAGAATAATTGATAGCTGGGCATGGGGACATACGTACTTCATGCCTACAATCTCAGCAAGAGGTGCAGGCAAGAGGATTGAGAATTTGAGGTAAGCTAGGGCTATACTGCAAGACCTTGTCTCAAAAAACTAGAAAAATTAAAACAACCAAGGGTTAAGGATGTAGTTCAGCCTTTGAGTACCAGCCTAGCCTGAAGGAGCCCTGGATTGGTCGGGGACACAATAATGGAGGTGGTTTTAGGAAGGGGTCTCCATTTGATAATAGAAACACACTGGCCTAGGCGGTGGTGGCCCATGCCTCTAATCCCAGCACTCAAGAAGCAGAGGCAGGCAGAGCTCCGTGGGTTCAAGGATAGCCTGGTCTACAGAGGGAGCTCCAGGACAGCCAGGAAAAAACAGAGGAAGGGAGGAAGGAAGGAAGGGAGAAAGGAAAGGAAGGAAAAAAGGAAGGTAGGAAGGTGGAAAGGATGGAAAGAAAAATACTCAAGATACTCTTAAATGCTGGGGCTGGTGATGCACGCTGTGGTAGAAGAACTAAATATTCAAGGTTTTCCTGGGATAAATGTAAGGCCAGCCTGGGCAACTTAGTAGGACCTCTCTCAAACCAGAAGGAAAAAAGGAAGGAGTGTGGGGGGCATGGTGGAGGGTTTACCTTGTATGCCCAAGGCCCTAGGTTCCATCCCAGAACCACCAAAAACAAACAAACAAAAAAGGTATGATAAAAAAAAAAAGTACCTAAATGTATCTGAAAAACTAATCACAGTGGTGATAAAATTGTTGCTGGTTTTTAGCCATTCTCTGTTTTTTTATTGCCTGATCCCATAAATAGCAGGTTTTAATTTGGGGGTAAAAAAAAAAAAAAAAAAAAAAAAAAAGCTTGTTTAGGAGAAAAATAAAAGGGCTGACAAAGTCTAACTCATCTCTAGTGTGGAATGGCTGGAAAGATCTCTTACAATGCTTTCTGTAATAACCAGGTTCCCATTCACACTCGAACCCCACTTGCTCAGCTCAACAAGCTCTCCAGGTGTTGTCACATCTTCCCCAGAGCAGAAGCCCTACCTGCTGCTTGAAGTACCGTCGGTCTTCCTCATCAACAAGCACGAGGTTCAAAAAGTACCTTACTGAAAACTTCTTGTTCACGTCTCTCATTGTGGGAGTTGGGTCATACCCTGCTAGGAATAGTCTTATCGGAATAGATTCTCCTGAAAGAAAAGCAATTTCTATTTAACTCTCAAGTAATTAACATAATCATGTAAAACTTAGGACTAAGCAGTCGTAGGCACCAGTGTTTTGGTTCCACCCAAGATGCAGCACCTGAAACGAGCAGTATCTAGTCTGTCACGGCCAACATCTGGGGACCGACAACTCCTTCTTGGGGGACAGTTCTACACATTTGCAACACCACCAGATGCCAGCAGCAGACAGCACAACATCAAATGTCTCTCAGGGAGTTGACCCTAGTTGAGAACCACTGCCCTAGAGCAACCTGGGTCAGGCCAAGAATCCTTAGATTGTGGGACTTATCCACTGTTTCAAGTTCTCATCTGTGAAATGGGCATTAACAATGACATACACTTTCTAGGGAAATTGTAAGGACTATGTTGGGAGTTAAACTAAATAAAGAAATTAGTTCCAGCCGGTAAGTGTTGTACAGAAGCATTTGCATTTCTGCTTTAGAATCTTACCATAATTTCATCAATGTATATAATGTCTACAAAGTATATTACTAATTCACCCAAAGGGGGGAAAAAGTACAGAATGATGCCCAGGGGCTGGTAAACAGCTCAGTTGGTGAAGTGCTTTAATGCAGATTTGAGCTCAATTCCCTGGAAAGAGCCAGGCCTGATGGCACGCACTTTTAATTCCAGCACTGGGAAACCAGAGATAGGTGGATCCTAAGGCTCCCTAACTAACTTGCAGCAGGCCCCAGGGTCCCAATGAGAGACCCTGTCTCAAAAACCAAGCATTATTTACATTAAGCATGGACATCTTACCAGGGACAACACCACTGAAGAAAATGTCTCTCCCTCCCCAGCAGCCATTACCTGCCTATAGATCCTGATGAAAAAGAGCAAGGCCTCGTGAACCCCTCCCCAAAGGCACCTTAATACTGATGAGACATCTGTCTGTCCCCAATTATTCAACTTTTGTCTGTAGGGATTCCTGAGACAGTTTCACACCATTGTCCAAACTGACTTTGAATTCACAGCAATCATCCTGCTTTGGCAACCTAAGGGCTGTAGAGATGCCTCAATGTTTTAAGAGCACTGGCTGCTTTTTCAGAGGATCCAGGTTTGATTCCCAGCACCCACAGCAGCTCACAACAGTCTGTAACTCCAGCTCCAAGGGATCTGATGCCCTCCTCCTCTGACCTCCACACATACATGCAAGCAAACATGCATACACATAAAAAATAAATTTAAAAAATGTATTTTGGTAAATGAAGCCAGGTGCAGTGGTATACATTTGTAATCTCAGCACTTGAGAGGCAGAGGCAGGAGGATCACTACCAGTTATCTCAAGGCCAGCTGGGTCGACAGAGAAAGTTACAGGCCAAGCAAGGAGGTACAGTAAGACTTATATCAAATAGAAAATAAAAGATGAATGAAATTGATTTACCTTTTACTGGTGCACCATCCATTATTTCATACTTAGCGATTGTTTCTGTTTCTGTTGTGGTGCTGGGTCCTAGTATAACAGAAATGACATTGATTTGAATACTCCCAGAGGTAAAATCTGTCCTGTTTTTAGCTAGATTACTTCAGTGCTGCTTTATGTTCTGTTGGTCATTCTTTTCTAATTTTTTTCCACTCTTAAACTTATCACTCAACTGTGTGCTTCAGTCTCCCCACAAGTACACGCAGTTCAGAGTCAGCCTCACATAGCTCCTGCCATCATTTCCACTATATGCTAAAAGAGAAAGTAGCAACACACAGCACAACTAACCACTACATGAAGGTTTTCTCTGAAATTTCCAAAGTGTCTTCCCAGAGAGTTAATTTTATTTTATTTATTTTTTTTTTTTTGAGAGTTAATTTTAACATAAAGAAAACATCAAGCTGAACTAGTACAAAACTTTGGTATTAACTCCCTGTACATCTTAACTCAGAAATCTAAAAAATGAAGTAACTGCAAGTTAAAATATATATATATATATATATGGCTAAGGATGCAGCTGAGCAGTAGAGCATTTGCCATGCGTGTGGTTGTTTGTTTTGTTGAGAATGGGTCTGGCTAGGATCCTCTTTTTCAGCCTCCTTATAGTCTCAGCACTTGGAAACTGAAGCAAGAGAAGATAGAGCTAGCACCTTGTCTTATCTTTTTTGTTTGTTTGTTTGTTTTTGTTTTGAGATAAGGTTTCTCTGTATGGCTTTGGCTGTCCTAGACTCACTTTGTAGACCAGGCTGGCCTCGTAACTCATAGACAAGGGCCTGCCTCTGCTTCCCTAGTGTTGGGATTAAAGGCATGTGCCACCATGCCCGGCTGTCACACCTTGTCTTTAAAAGAAAAAAAAAAAAAAAATCAGGTGTTTATTACAAACTTACTTTAAGAATCAAGTTGGTCTCAATGCCTGGGTCCAAGAGAGTCCCTGGCTTCAGCCTATAGGAGCTTGCTATTATATTCAGCTCAAGAACTGTTATTTAAAGGAACTGAATTACAGAAAAATATTAGATAGCAAAGCTAATATCCAGTGTGATTCCACATTTATGTTAACTTTCTAAGATTTCAACAAGGGATTTTAATTTTACTTAGAGCTTTTTCTTCAACTTACCAATTCCTGTGATCTCCTTCTTGATCAGTTGTAACTCCATGTGTTGTATTTTTATTCTTACTAATAAGAAGTAAATTTTTCCAACAATCACATCCTTTAAATGATACCTATTTGAAAAGAATGTGTCACATACTAATCATCAGTTTCAAATAAAGAAAAAAATGGAAACAAGTCAAAAAGGTTAACAGATTACAATAACTATCTCAAAATACCATTCAGACTGTTTACATTCTTCAATGTCCTTTCTTAAACTGTATTAATCAGTTCATTATGAAAATACAAAATCAAACTTTTACTTGACCATCAAATATACCTGAGGAACTAATTAGCCCAATTGTCTCACTTTAAAAGTTGGTTTTCAGAGTATTCAAACACTTAATAGAAAATTAAAGTCCTATGCTTGATGTTTATTTAACAGAATATTAATATGTTTTTCAATACTAATGCCCCTACCTTAGAGCTTAGCATTATTAGTGTTGAACAGAGCAGGTAACCCATCATTAGCTAAAAAGGAGGAGATCCAGGGGATACACTTAGGGGTTAAGTTTGCTGCACTGGATTTACTAACTAAACCATGAAGTAATAAACTTGAGAATCCCTACAATACTCAGGAGTATTTTTTGCTTCCTCCCAGAACTAGATATCAACATAAGAACTATATTTCAACACAAGAGACCATGCACTGATTAAGACAGAAACTTGAAGGGAGGCTTCAGTGATAGCCTTTTAGTTTCCACACTGCCTGGTAATTTTATGGACAGTGTCAAAGGCATGTTTGGCAGTTTCAGTGATGTAAACTTGGAAGTGACATAATAAGACAAAATCTACTCAACTTTATGCTCTATTTGTTATTCTCAAGTAAGCTTATTTTTAATACATTGGTAAATTTTAGTATACTGATAGAAAGTCAAGGTTACTTCCAATACTTTAAAACTGCTATTACAAACTGTTTTGTGTATTAGGTAATGCAAGTTAATTGCTAGTTCATCAACTCATAGTCATGTCAGACACTAGTCTAATTTATCACAGGAGTATACACACTAGGGTTAACAGGCAGATATGATTATATATAGATAGGTAAAGTCTTCAGAAACCTCAAAGACCTACAGAATATGACATTTCAAAATATCTTTATTATTTTAAAGATTCTTTGACAATGAGACAGGTCATCTCCTGGCAGCACCCAGCCTACCTCAATAAGATGAAGAGTATCAAAGAACCTTCAGATAGAGATGGCTTCAAATATGGCAAACAAGCCACCCAGGCAAAAAGAAAATGCCCTCGTTTCACGACAGACAGAATTCTGCCGAAAATAGGCAAGCTTAAATGCAGGACAACTCAACTGCCAAACTCTGACAAGACAGAGTAAGCAAGTCCTAAATAGTTCCTGCTTCACATATATGTCTGTCAAATATACTGAGCCAGAAGGCTGAAGATGATGCTCCAACATTATAGAGAGTTATGGGTGACTGTTCAGGAAGCAAGCTGTCAATTTTCTAATTTTCGGAAGCTGCTAACATGCACTTCCTGTTTACTCTAATTTTATTCCTTCACAAGTCTCTGGTGGTGTTAAAGACCAAATAGTTAGAGGTCCACAATTAAGTTTAAGTTGTTTAGAATTTAAGAAAATGTTTTCATATAGGTAATACCAATAAGGATAAAAGTTAATTTAGGTATAAAACTCTAAACTTGTCAAGATAGGATAATCAAATACTTTCTCCTAAGTTGCTAAATACACATAGACTAGATATTGCACATATAAATCTTACCTAATAGTTTTCATAACTTTTATAATTATTATTGTATTGAAAGAAAAGGAGCCTTTTATTGGACTTAAAAGGGGGAAATGTTGGCGACTGTTCTTATGGAATATATACAATTTACATTGTAAATTGTTCGTTCACATGCTGATTTCTCTACCCCCACTATCCGGTTTCAATCCAGGCACTGCATTGTGATGTTTATTCTAAGCATCACCTGTTTCAAGTTTGTGTAAACATGCCACCATTTTTTTCTCAGTATTTTCAATAAAACCAGCCAATGCTGAGCAATGAGAGAATAGGATGGGACATCCTGGTCCAGAGGGGAGGAGAAAAAAGTGAGTGGGAGGAGTAGGAGCAGAGATTGGCAGGAGAGGACTTGGAACCATGAGGAGAGATGAACCGGACCTATGATATGACTAAAAGCAAGTATAATGTGGGAAATTTGAATGGGAGGAAACTATGCAGGAGGTTTAGGACGGAGTAACTATTGCCCAGTTGTACTCTAGGTTAATAAAATAAACCCTAGTCTCTGTGTGGTGATTTGGATGTACAGCCACTGTTTAACGAAAAAGATTCTATTGCTCACTATATTATTCATATACCTTGGCATCTTCACATCTTCCATAATACAATTTTAAAAGGCATTAAAGAAGAGAAGAAGTAGTAGGATATACCCTTAACCCCAGCACTCTAAAAAAGAGGCAGGTGGATTTCTATGAGTTCGAGGTCAGCCTTGTCTCCACAGTGAGTTCCAGGATAGCCAGGGCTACATAGTAAGACCTGGTCTCAAAAAACTCAGCACCACCACCACCAATAACAACAAAGGCATTATACAATAAATAAGATGAGAGCATTTTCTAAAAGTACAATATATAAAAGCATGTATACCACACCTTTGGTACACTTCTGGGAAGACGCACAAGAAGACATTCATTAATAGTGGTGTGGTGGTCATCGTTTTCCCCTTTCACTTTTAGATACTCTAAATTTCCAGCAGTGTGCATGTATTCCCTAAGTGGTCAGAACACAAGCCTGCAATCTCTCCTGCTCTATGCTGCCTGTCAGGTACTCTGGTCACAGGGATGCAAAAGTGACCACTCGGGTACTCACTTTGACTTATTATATTCAAACTCTATGTGCAGACAGTCTTCAATGCCCACTTCCATCTTAATGGAGTTGTTGACATCAGGATAGGTAGCAAGCTGGTGAACAATAAGATCGTACTCTTTCACTAAGTCTGTCAGTCTTCTCACAACTGTCACCTTAAGAAAATACCTACAAAGTTAATGAGGAGAGATGAATCATTTATGTTAAACTCAGGTGCTTTAATAAGCAAATGTCAACCAACAACTCAGTCTTCTCCTTGCTGAGACTCCTACCTGTCAAATTACTCCATCTGTTTATGCACAAAGAACTCTAATTTGGGGGTGCTTTAATTCTAGGAAGTGACCCCAAGGCCCTCACAGGCTAAGCATGTACTCTACCTATGCTACACTGCTGGCTTCCCAATATTTTCTTTTGCTTTTGTTTTTTTTCTTTTAATGCCTCCAACGTGAAAAAAATACAAAATTTAACTTTACAAATAAATATTTGTAAATGACCTTGGGGGACTACCGTCAGCCTGCTTAGGGAGTCTCCATATCACTGTTCTGATGGTTTTGTTTTTTCAGACCTTCCATTACTTAGCTTTTGTGCTGCCAAGCACAATCCGAAATGAGTAACCCCACATTAAACAGAAAAATTTTTAAGGCTCTAAAAATAAAGCCTCTTGGACCTGCTGCCCTGAAATCCAAATATTTAACTACCCTGGTCTTGGAGGCATCCAAGGCCTCCTACATAAAGATTTAAAGGAAAAAAACAGTAGATTGAAAATTTAGAAAATGGGTAGCCAGGCCAACCAGACAGCTCAGCAGGCCCAAGCATTTGCTGCCACACCTGACAACCTTCGCTCAACTCCTGGAACCTTATGGTGGAAAGGCAGAAGCAAATGAAGTTGTCCTCTGACTTCGCTGTGTGCACAGGGGCATGCAGGTGCCCACACACAAAATAAGTGGAGAAACAAAGGCTAAAGAAAACTGGAATCCTCCTTCAGTTCTGCCCTCTGTTTGTGTAACCCTGACCACTCAGCCTCTGGGCTATTATCTCTTAACCATATGCTGAATGAGGTTCATCATGAAACTAAACATTTGAAGCAACTAATAATGATAAGTCATACAAGGGAATTGTAAAACTGAGACATCTTTGAATCCATAATGTTAACTGCCATGATTATTTCAAATCATTTCCAGTCAGGTGAAACAAAGTATGTAACAAAATATTTTAATTGAACTCTTCCGTTCCAGAACTGTAATTACAAGTTTATATAAGATGTCGGCAGTACACAGGTTTCTGGTTCTGATTCTGTTACGGTTTCTAATGTACATCCATACCTCAGGCGGACATTGGCACCGGTGTATGACTCATATGGCTTTTCAACTTGCATAAATTCAAAATCATAACTTCTGCTCTGGGTCAGTTCTCCGGGTAAGGCTAGTTCTTTCACTAGGTTCACAAATTCATGAGTATTACTCTTGTCATTGAAAAGTTCTAAGAAATTTAAAACAGCAAAAAGACCAATTATATTTAATATCCAGTTCAATAAAACCCAAGCTTCTATTGCTTAAACAAATAATTTTTTACCAAAAATATTAGCCAACTATGCTTCTACTTTAATATTCTATGATCTCAATTTTATTCCCTCATTACACCCACTTGGACATAAATAACCTCCAGTCTGGCACAGGGACAACTTCTGATAGACATGTCCTCATTCCTTTCATGTAGCTGACACATTCAGCAGTTGCTCAAACATTTTCCCTTTAAGAATAATTCTATTTTGTGTTATTAGTTACTTTCATAAAACTACAATGCATAAAAAAATAAAACCAACTACCAATTAATTAGATATGTAAATATCCACCATTCCAGCTTTGGTTCTTTAAAAACATACAGTAAATATTAGCTGGATTTTAAACCTAGCTACGGAGAGAGTCTTAGTAAGACATACTTTCTTTCCTGACTCTTCAGCATCAAAAGATGTGTATGTAGATTTGCTTTCTGCCAACTCAAAACTGTCTCCAAAATTCTCACATGGACATGTATACAATCTGATTTAGGTCAAGAAGAAAGTACTCCTTTCCTTTTATGTGCGATTTTCTGGTTAGGGGGGAATCTGGCTACAGGTGGAGACTAGCTCAGGAGACAAATGACATGGGAAATTAGAAAATAAAAGGTAAGAGGTGGAGGTGGTGATTGTGAGTAAGGCTGATGAGAAATGAAGGCAGATGGGAGACAGTATGATCATTTTCAAGGCTGGTGGTTTACATAACTTCTTCAGTTTTCAATAGTAGAGCCTAAAAACAAAGGCAGATGAGTCGCACATCGCTAAATGCAACTGAGATGCGCGGCTACTACAGCAGGTCCTCTTTCATTATGTTTCTTCAGCTTCTTCTTTCCACAAAGCTCAGCTCCAATTCAATTATCTAACTGCCAATCCAACCCTCTTCAGTCAAAGGAGAAAAGTAATACTATTTTAAAACTCACCAATTTGACCTACAAATTCAATTCTAATTCCTTGATGCTCTAGCCTCTTTCCAGGCTGCTTAAAGGCTAGGTTTACCTGCCAAAACATGAAATTGTAAGAGATGTTAACAGTCCTTCGAGTGCGCCTATCAGATTCCTTCCAGATGAATGTTATATGTAAGTACTTCAGGCACTCATTCATGAGGTGTGAAAGGCAGTGAGTGACCTTGCAGCATCAGGGAGGGGAACTCACAGGCAGTCACTAAGGAACCCATTACTTGCACAAAGAAAGAAAGCATTTACTTTATTAAGAAGGAATCTCTTGTATATAGAGAAATATAAAAAGGCGCAAAGATAAAGGAAGTCTTCAACTACCCATATGTGATTACTGGCCACATAATGAAACAATTCTAAGACTAATATCATTTTAATACGAAACAATCACTAATTTCAAGAATTAACCTAAAAGACAATTTTCAGTTTTGTTTTTTTTATAACCAAGAACAATATGCTTGCTATAACCTCTCGCCTTAAAAACAATGCTCATTAAACCAGACATAGTGGCTCATCTCTATAATCCAGCAGTTGGAAGGCTGAGACAGGATGATGGGTTTGAAGCCAACCAGGGCTACCTACTGAGTTTGAGGCCAGTATAAGACCAGCCTCTAAAAAGAAACAAACAAGCAAAAAAGTTAAGGCGACACTGATTACCCTAAGTTTATAATTCATGCTACAATGCATAATGTCTTAAGATTTAAATTACTTTTAGGTGTTACCTTGCATGACCCCATTTATCCATATGTTAGTGCTAAGAATTGAGCCCAGGGCCATGTTCATGCTAACCAAGTGTTCTTCCACTGAGCTAACTCCCCAGTCCTGGCTTTTGATTTGCACCATCTCAAAACCTTAGATCAATGTACCTGCCAAGTGGAAACACTTAACTTAAATGTTTAAGACAGGGTCCCTAACCCAGGCTGGCCTCAAGCTTTCTATAGAGCCAAGGATGACTGTGAGCTTATGATTCTCCTGTCTCTGTTGCCAATTGCTGGGATTCCAGCATGTGCCACCATGTCCCACTTATGTGGTGCTGTGGACAAAGCATGTTTTGTGCATGCGAGCACTCTACCGACTGAGCTACAAATAGCCTCAGCCCCAAACTTAGAAATTTAGTCTGAAAAAAAAAAAAAAAAAAAGAATATGCAACCTATCAACTGTAGAACTTTCAATCTTTTCTATATTGAGAAAATATGCCAGCTGGGCAGTGGTGGCACATGCATTTAAACCTAGTACTCAGGAGGCAGAGACAGAAGGAGCTCTGAGTTCAAGATCAGCCTGTTCTACAGAGGGACTTCCAGGAAAGCCAGGGCTACACAGAGAAATCATGTTTCCAAAAGACAAAAAGCAAACGAGAGAGAGAGAGAGGGGGAGAGAGAGACAGAGAGAGACTATGCCATGGGATTAATAGATTAACACAGAGCTGTTTCCTCCTTCCTACACTGAACAGGATTTAGAAGATGGGAAAACAGACACTTCTTGGCCTCAGTCTAACAGGAGAGAGATGCAGAAGACAGGAGTCTGGCTGTTGACTGTAGGACACTGTTACCTATGCTGGTGGTAGCATTAATTGGATTTGGGACAGCAGGGTATTGTGGGAAAAGTCACTTGACAGTGGCACAACAACCTTGTGGCTTGAATAAGTCTGTGGAGGCCCTTATTCTCGCTGGCCACCACCACAACCCCCATCTGCTCTGTCCATGTAGTGACCTCATGGAGTGTGTGGAGGTTAGATGCTCCAACAAGCGCACACCCATCTCCAAGTCTGACTCTCCTGCCTCAGCCTCTGGAATGCAAGTATAAACCATACCTAGACCCTCCTTTGTATTTTCCAATCTCTGTTTTGGTTTTTATAGTAAGCAAATAATCCTGCCAAAAGTCAGAAAACATAATTTCTCATTTTTCTGTAATAATCTATATTCACTCTGGAAAAAAAAAAAAAGAAAACTATTTTTAAAAGACAAAGATTTAAATAAGCCACACATACAACAAAAATTTTAGGTTCATGCCAGGTATGTTAGCACCCAAATTCAATTTCAGAACTTGAGAGGCTGAGACAAAAGAATCAAGAATTCACGCCTATCCTGGATTGTATAACAAGTTGTAGGCCACTCCACGCTACAAATATACACTGTCTCAAAAGTAAATAAACTTTAGAAAAAAACTATGTTTGTGGACTGGGGTTGGTTTAAACTAATTATAACTAAAGTTTTTAAGAATAACAGTCAAATATTAAAAAAATTTAAAAAAGGAATACTGGTCAATAATGTCCCTTAATTTTGTTTTGTCTAATATTCCTACAATTTCACTCTAAGTATATATATTTTAGCAAGAACACTACAAAAATGAAGTTGTGTCTTTCTCAGTGTCTCCGTATTAGGAAGCATATAATGTCTGCTTTTGTTTGTTTGAGAAAAGTGTCATGTAGCCCAAGTTAGTCTTGAGTACCCTATAAATCCAAGGGTGACAGAGTTTTAATTTTTAAAGGTATCTGCACAAGGGCACCAAGAAATGCAACAGAGAAACAATTGTCTTTTCAGTGCGTGATGCGGGGACAAATGGGTATTAACATCCAAAAGAACAAGACTGTTTCAGAGACTGACACTCCACCAGGGACCATGCATGGATGTAACCTAGAACCTCTGCTCGGATGTGGCCCGTGGTAGCTCAGTGACCAATTGGTTTCCCTAGTAAGGGGAACAGGGACTGTTTCTAACAGGAACTCAATGGCAGGCTCTTTGGCCTCCCCCCCACCCCTCAAGGGAGGAGCAATCCTGTTAGGCCACTGGCACTGCTGCCAGTCCTGAAGATACCTGATAAAACAGGGTGAGATGAAAGGGGAGGAGGTCCTCCCCTATCAGTGGACTTGGAAAGGGGCAGGGAGGAGGAGATGAGGGGGGGAAGGGGGTTTGTGAGGGAATGAGGGAGGGGGATACAGCTGGGATACAGAGTTAATAAAATGTAACTAATAATAAAAATAAAAAATAAAAAAAGAACAAGACTGAAAGACTACCTCACACCTAACAGAGATTTACTCAAAATGAAAAATAACCTCAGTAAGTACAATACCAAAATCCTTAGTACAAACACAAATATAGCTTCATGACCTTCACTTAGGCTGTGGTTTCTCAAAAGCACAAGTAAAAAAATAAAATTAAAAAAAATAAACAAACTGGATTTTATCAAAATTTAAAATTTTAAGCTGGGTGTGGTGGGGCATGGCTGTAATCCCAGCACTCAGGTAGAGGCAGGCATATATCTGAGTATAAGGTTAGCCCAGTGTACAAAGCGAGTCCAGGACAGCCAAGGATACATAGGGAAACCCTATCTCAAAAAACAAAATAGTAATAAAAATTAATTAGTTAATTGTGAAGCTGGCATAGTAGTGTACACCTATAAACACAACACTTAGGAGGTGGAGCCAGGATCAGCAAGTTTAAGGTCAGCCTCAGCTATAGAGTCCCTGTCTTGTAAAATAAAAAAAGGAAATTCAAAACCATAACATTTCACACTAAGACGTGCTATTACAACATGCTATTGACAACATGCTCAATAATGCAGTCATCAAAGGACAAATATTATGCAACTACTTATACAAAATAGCTAAAGCAGATAAAGCAACAAGAGGCAGATTAGAGGTCAGTAGAGAGAGAGAGCAGTAACCACTAATAGAATATAAAGCTTCTGTTCAGGGTGAGATAAAATCTTTGAAAATACATTGTGATTAAGATTAAAATACAAAAGTAATACCACTAGGCTGTTTAATTAAAATGATAAATTAACGATGGCAAGACAATTTATTAAGTTAAGGGCGCTTGTCACCAAAATCGCTGACTTGAGTTTCATCCCTAGAACCTAACATGATGGTAGGAAAGAACCAACTTTCACGGGCTGTCCTATGACCTGTATTCACATGCTCTGGCATGCACTCTCCCCCAACCCCACAGAAATGTTTTTAAAAATTTTAACATGGAAAATGCCTTTAAATCTTTGTTACCTATATTTTCAACAATACATCAATTACAAAAACTTAAATAGGCACATTTTTTCTGTTAGAAGTCAGAATAACAAACATAATAATCATTATTAATAACCTTACAATGAGTTACTACTAATCTGAAGACCATGGAGGACTTCAGAATACCCAGGAATAATATATCTGGAAAGCAAAACAAATGCGTTTTATAAACAAGGACAAGAAGAGATCTTTCTTGAATGGAGCTAAAATATCTTTAAATTTAAAATACAGTTGAAGAGAATGAGGTCGTGTACTTGCTATCAGAGCCTCGAAAAGACAATTCAGTGAAAGGAACCACATTCAAAGGCCACAGTGTGATTCCACTTATATGCAATGTCCAGAACAGCAAAAAAAAAAAAAAAAAAAAAAAAAAAAGTAGATCTGTAGATGAGGGCTTTGCAGGTAGTGGATCCTGTTTCTGTGCAAAGGAATAAATGTTCTCAAGTGAATGGTGAGGGTTGCAGGACTCTGCAAACATAGTAAGCAACAATGAACTAGATTAGGGCCAATTTTATGGTGTATGTACAACTTAATTAGAATATTCAAAAGGAATGAAGAGGTGCATGCCACAGATAAGCCACAAGAACGGAAGAAGCCAGAATAGACTATATGACCTTTGCTTTAAGACAAAGGTGACATTGTAGCCAATGAGAGAAAGGATGATGTGTTCAATATATGTCCAGGGTTAATTATAGATCCAAGTGTGGGGCACATTTGACTTCTACAACACCATAAGCAAAATCAGCTCTAAATGAACTAAGGACCAGGACAGGACATGTAATGTAAAAAGTAGGTGAAAGAAAACGGAGTAACTTTGTATCCTGGCTGTAGCTAGAAAATGTCCAAACTAGATCTGACTGAACAAAAAGAAAACATCAAACAATTGCCAATGAGAAGACAGAAATAAAAAACTGAGTGGAGGGGCTGGAGAAATGGCTCAAAGGTTAAGAGCACTGGCTGTTCTTACAGAGGCCTTGAGTTCAATTCTTAGTAACTACACGGTGGCTCATAACTATCTATGAGATCTGGTACCCTCTTCTGGCTTGCAGACAAACATGCAGGCAGAATACTGCATACATAATAAATCTTTAAAAAAAAAAAAAAAGACTAAACAGAAAGTCAAGTCAAAAGAAAATATAGGGAATTAAAAAAAAATCAAAAACAACTTAAGCATGTTGTCAAATATCTTTAATCCAAACACTCTGGAGGTAGAGGCAGACGTAGGCATATTTCTATGAGTAGGATGATAGCCTGGTCTACACACTACTGAGTTCCATCCAGTTTTTTTTTTTTCTTTAAAGAAAAGAAAAGAAAAAATAAAGAACAACTCTAAACCAAATAAATCAGACCGTTTTTCCTCTTTAGATAGGCTCTCATGTAGCTCAGACTAGCTCAAACTCAAAATCCCAAAGGCTAGGATTATAGCATACCATACCAAGCCATAAAAGATTCTCATCAAAAACATGGGAAAAAAAGAGGCCAGGAGATGGCTCAGCAGGTAAAAGTGCTTGCCATACAAGCTCCATAACCCATGTAGGAAAGGAACCCACATAAAAAAGCCAGATGTGGCTCATATCTGTGAACCCAGCCCCAGCACTCTAACAGCAGGATGGAAGGTGGAAACTGGAAAATCAGGTAAACCTTCACATATGTTGACAGTGGCAAAAATAATCTGAATCCCTGAATCTAAATGAAGAAGGAGCGAACGAAATCCAGAAAAGCTGTCCTTTGACCTCCACAAGTTTTCTGCATACCCACATTCTCACATTCACACACAAATCAAGGAAAAAGAAATCTTAAATATATAAAAAGTCCTACACACCAATAAGAAAGTCAATTAAGCCAGGCAGTAGAGGTGCACACTTTTAATCCTAGCACTTGGGAAGCAGAGGCAGGTGAATTTCTGTAAATTCTGCTCTACAGAAAAGGACAGTCAAGGCTGCACAATGTCAATTTTGCAAACTGAGCAAAACTTGAAACCAGTCAAGACAGTCTTTAGTAGGTGAATAGAAGAAATAAATATGCTGGTATCCATACAAAAGACACACACACATGTTTTGAGACAGCCTCCTTCTGTAGCTCAGGCTAGCCTGGAAATCACTATGTATGTAGCCTAGGGTAGCCTCAAGCTTGAAGCAACCACCAGCCTTGTAGGCATTCCAAATGCTGAGAAGTATAGACATGAGCCATGGCCAGCACAAAAGAGTATTTAATATTAAAAACAAATGTGCTACCAAGTCACAAAAAGATACTGAGGAACATCAAATAGACATAGAAACTAATCTACATCATGCATGATTCCAACTGCAAGGCATTCTGAAAAGGTAAATCATAAAGAGTAAAAAGCTCAGCAGTGGCCTCCAGTGAGGCAGGAACAGGGGAAGCAGAGGGGCCACTGAGGAGGACTAAGCCGTTCGGCAGGGGATTCAAACAACCGAGTCAGAACACTGTGTCTGTCAAAGCCCATGCAACATATAACATCAAGAGTGAACCCTAACTAAAGCTGTGAACCAATCTGGTTCATCAGTTCTTTTCTTTATTTAAGATAGGATCTTATGTAGCCCAGGTTAGCCTTGAGCTCCCTCTGTAGCTGAAGATAACCCTAACCTCCCCATCTACTGCCCAAGCACTGGGATTACAGACACATACCACGAAATCTAGCTTTGGTCCATTAATTTTTAAAAAAATCTACTAAACTAAATTGGGCATAGTGGTTCATGCATTCAATTGCAGAGCTCAGGAGGCTGAGGCGGAAGACTAAATCACTGTAGTCTAAGGTCAGCCTGGGTTACAGGACTCTACCTCAACATATAGTAAAAACAGGCAAAGTTATATATGAGGCCTGGTGAAGAGGCAATATAAAGAATTTGGATTTTACCCACTTTTTTCTAAAACTCTAAAACTGCTCTAAAACAATTAAGGGTTAGCCAGGTCCGACAGTGCGCCCCTGCAATCCCAGTATGTCACAGGTGGAAGCAGGAGAAGGACAAGTTTAATACAGGGAGTTTGAGGCCAGCTGGGCTAATGAGACAAGAAGAAAGGACGAGAAGTTTACACATTATTGAGTGAAGAAAAGACAACAGAAACAGATGTCTTAAATGTATCTAGCCATATAGACACATTCCAAAAGAGCTGAGGCCTCCCCCAGCATGAGGAGAAAGCAAATGAGACACAATGACAGCACAGAAGAGCAAGCTACAAAGAGTCAGAAAGAAGCCTTCGTATGCCACACCAGAAAACTGCTCCACACTCTCCAAAGCTCTAGACTAAAGAGGAATCTCTCCAAAGCTTACAACATAGCCACCAGCAAAAAATACTCATGAAATTCAGACTCTGCCACTAAAATCCTTCCATGGAAGGAATCTTCTGTTGCGTTTCTAATCATCAAGGATTTTAGTTGACCTTCAGAAAAAAATTCTATTTCTAATATAACCATTCAAATTTAGTTACAGTACAGACTATTTTGGTAACTAATTCAAGTATCCTAAAATTAGGTAACTCTGCCAAACAAAAGTTTACCTTTCCTGAAACAGATTCTCCATCGTAAAAGAGATAGTGTTTTTCTACTTTGCCATCTTCAGTTTTCATTTCTGCCATTTTCCTGGTTTCCCCATCGTTAAGGGCAACATCAATCTCACAAATGGGACCAAAAAAGCCTCCAAGGAAACTCTGAAATAAGATAGAAATGCTTATGATTATCATGTTTAATAGTCACTACATTTCGAAATTCAAACTTAATTACTTTTAACATAAAGACAAGCAGTTACTAATCTATAAGTTAACCAGAAATAAAAAAGTATCAAGTTCTAAATCAAGATACATCAAAACTCAACGGAGGGGCTTGCCTCCCACACATGCACCCAATCCCCAGCACGCCACAAAGCAAAGCGCCAACCCCACTGAGCACAGTTAACCCTGAGGTTAACTTACAATTTGGAGAATAGATCATGTTACAATTTTTACCACCAAAGTGAGAAAAAACTTGAATATGCTATAACTTCAACCATTCCCACAGGTAACTTACATAACAATCAAATACTAACTTATCCAAAATGTCGGAACCCAATTCCTGACAACCAAGTTTGAAAAGCCTCGTCTTATTATAATGAGATGAGGCTCTTCATCAGAGAAAAACTTGCAGTCAGAACTACCCCCTTCAGGCCCCAGTGGCTAATTACTACCATCAAGTCTCTGCTTCATCAGGGCTGGACAGAATGTGTCACACCACTTAAGACTTTTGAGTAAACCTGAAATTAACATCAGGCGCTAGTCAAATCCTATAAATATTCCCAAAGAAAACATACAAGCTCTGTTCCTTGAGATGCCTGCTTCCCACTGGCAAAGCACACGAGCTGGCAATGAAGAGTGAGGAGACACCCATAATGCTCTGACACCCAGATACAGCCATGGAGTGCTGCGGTCACCACCAGCCAATGTCCTAGTCTCTAAGATGTGAGATACAGCTGCCCATCAAGCTGGCCTACGCCCTTTCTTGTGTGTGTGCTCTCACATGGGGTCCTTCTGTGTTGCTCAATTTGGTCTCTACCTAGAAAGCTCGAGCAGTCCTGACTGAGGACTGCCTTCCAAGCCTCTTCCACGGGCACACCTCTTCACACCAGCATCTATATCCCCGTTCCTGCTCTGTTCTGCACAAAAACCAAAGTGATCTTTAAAAAACACTCATCTGATAATCATGTTAAGTAAAGCACTCTCAAAATGACAAACCTCACAAAACTCTCCTATATAGAATCTATATTTAACTACAGTGTACATATGCAAACATACACACACACACACACACACACACACACCAAAAGCAGACGGGAAGTACTTAGGAGGCGGATGTGACTGGCAAGGAAGGGAGGGGAATGATGACAAGGGAGAGTTCACAAATTAAATATAAGCAAAGTACAATGACGTAAGTATAAAAATGTCCTTATGGAGCTGGCACATGCCTGAAATGTGCACTCTAGGAGGTAGAGGCAGACAGATCTCTGTGAGTTCAAGGCCAGCCTAGTCTACAAGTGGGTTCCAAGACAGCCAGGACTACATAGAGAAACCCTGTCTCGCAAAAACAAACAAACAAAAATGCCATAATGGGAGCTGGAGTGAAGACCCGAGTTCAGATCCCCAACACCCATTTGAGGGAAAAAAAAAAAAAAAAACCCTGACTGTGAGTGTGACTGCTTGTGTCCGTAACCCTAACAATGGAGACACACACACCTGAGCAAACCGCTGGAGAACCTAAAGACTGGAACTACTTCAGAAAGCAGTCTGGGTCAGAGAAAAGCTTATTGACCGAATGTGCCTGGAACCAAGACTGAGGAGCTGAGCACAATCCCAAGGATCCCTATGACAGAAGGAAAAAACCAATGCCCAAAACTTGTCCTTTGACCTCCACATGCAGTGTGGCATGCGCGAGCACTCATACACAATAAATGATGGCAAATATTTCTTTAATTTAAAAAAAAATATAGTCTGGCAACTGGCCATGTTGGTGAATGAATATAATCTCAGCACCCAGAAGCAGAAGCAGGAGGCTTCCCATAAGTTCAAGTGAGTTCCAGGACAGCCTAGGCTACAGAATAAGACCTTGTCAAGAAACAGAAACAAGCAAACAACAAAGGCCCTAAGAAGCTACAGAGAGCTCAGGTCCTAATATATGTATTATCTATAAGGAATAGACAGATTGGTGTTGTTGTTGAGACAGGGTCTCACCATATAGCCCAGACTGGCCTCAGAAATCACAGGGACCCACCTGTTCCACCTCTTGAGTGCTGGTAATAACAACAATCACTACCATGCCCAACCCAGATGCTTATAATAATATATTATCTGAGGGCTTCATGTTCACTCTGTGGAGCTCTATTCATACAACTTTTTCTTTTCATGTGCTTTATTGTGTATAAATAAGTGTTTAGCCTCCATAGAAGTCTGTGTACCACGTGCATGCCTAGTGCCCACAGAGTGACAAGAAGGCCTCAGATCCCGTGGGACCACAGTTACATAAACACTTGTTAGCATCATGTGAGTGCTGGGAGTTGAACTTGGTTCTCTGGAAGAGCTCTTAACCACTGAGCCACTGCTTCTGCCCCAATACGTAAAATCTTTATAGGTAATGTTGACTTCAAATATGTTATTTTAAACACACTCACCATATAGTCTCTGGCCAGGTGTGGTGGCTCAGACCTTTAATCCCAGCACTCAGGGAAGCAGAGACAGGTGGATCACTGTGAGTTAGAGGCCAGCCTGGTCTACAAAGTGAATCTAGGACATCCAGGGCTACACAAAGAAACCCTATCTCGAAAACAAATGTATATATTCTCTGATGTGGCTTACAGATAGACCTACCAGCTCTCCAGATATAACCTTAAATGCTGGAAGCGATTCGTGCAGAAGTTCATTAGATTTGCCCGTCTTCCCCTTGTTCTAGAGCCAGGCAAAATACTCTAACTTGACTCACCTTTGACGACTGACTCATCTCTGAAAGGGCTGTACCTGACACCCTAGAGTAAACTGGATTCCCCGAGCCTTGGTCTCACGTTAAGGAAGTATATGACTCTCTCTGAGCTGAGAACAGACAGTTTATCCTTTGCTCATCACTGAAAACAAGAGTCTAAAAGCAGCTTACGGCATTTTACGAAAGGCTCTCAAATACCTGTGGAGTGCTAATTTTCAATACACACATACAGTTCTGATAATAGAAAATAAGTGACTACACACAAGAAAATGAACTGAAATCTGTAACTGCTAGTGAAACAGCCCTTCCTCAGAAAATCAGATCAGTGAGGTAGCAAAGTTTAAGTCTGGAACTCATTAAGCGTCAGCTCTGTCCTAGGGTGGAGAGATAATGACAATAAACAATATAAGGAAGCTCCTAAGGTTATGTAGGTCAAGGGTGACACCATGACCTAATTGTTTTCACTACTCCTATATTAACAGAGACCATTTCTTTTTCTGTTTTCAAAATTCTTCTTTTACTTCTATCTTTATTTTTATTGTATGAATGTTGTGGCTGCATGTATGTTGGTCTGCCATGTGTGTCTGGTCCCTGGATTAGATCCTCTGAAACAGGAGCCACAGGTGGCTGTAAGCCACTGGATGAGAGCTGGGAATCGAACCCAGGTCTTCTGAAAGGCAGCAGCCTTGCTCTTACTCCAGCCCCAACAAAAGGGACACTTTTCAAATAACTAGAAACCAGTACTTTGATATGCTCCACAAACACATAAAGCAATTTTCTTTCTGCAATGATATATTTTAATCATTTTAGCAACATTACAAACACTACATTTAGCCATAAAATTAATTTCCATAAGAAAGCTTGTAATTAGTTACATATTCAGAAAGGAGCTAACGCTGGGCACGTGAGCACTCCCAGCTGTGAGGAGTTGCTATAGGGCCTGTGCTTCTTTTCCAGCACTGTGCTGGAACACCCTCTCTGCCCACTTTCCCCCAGGTTGAGACTGGGTCTAAGTTGCCCAGGCTGACCTTAAATTTGAGATCTCTCTTGTCTAAGCTCTCAAGCAATACTCAATACTGTACCCTGGTTACCTTATATGCCAAGTCTTTTTTTTTTAAAGATTTATTTACTATTTATACAGTATTCTGCCTGCATGTATGCCTACCAGATCTCAATATAGATGGTTGTGAGCCATCATGCGGTTGCTGGGAATAGAACTCAGGACCTTTGGAAGAACACCCAGTGCTCTTAACCTCTAAGCTATCTCTCCAACCCCATATGCCAAGTCTGAAAAGTCAAAACTTTTAAAAGCAGTACAATCTGAGACAGTATATCTCCTCCAAAAAATTATATGTGCAGCTCAAAAATGATTACCTGATATTTAGTAATTATCCACTCTATACAACTCACTGAGGCAGCAAAAGAGGAAGGTGACAGCAGAAAGAAAAACTGACAAGAGTGGGGAAAGACAATACATTCAATAGCTGCCTTTTTAAAAGGGAAACTAAGTCAGACACTTTAAACAAGGGCATCTGGCAGTGACAACAATAAGTGACTCCCCTTCCGCCTTATTAATGTCAACAGTATTAGCTCATGTTAACAAAAGGGACGGAGAGAAACTAAAATTAATTTTCTCCTCTAATTGGATACTCCCCAAAGCAACTTAAAGGAGAATTAAGACTTGGAAACTATGAAAGTTGTTTTACATATAAAATGAAATATGGCGACCTTTTTATCTACACATATTTTCTATGTAACATGCAGAATGGTCATTCCAATTTGAAATTTGACATCTAAAGATGTAAGTTAAATACTATTTTAACAAAATTAAATTGCCACTAAAGCTGCCAAAACACACAAGTAGACACTGTTCTGCAATATAGTGCAATAATAGGGCAAAAGGATGGCTCGGTGGGTAAGAGCACTGGCTGTTAGAGGACCCGGGTTCAATTCCAAACATCCACATGGCAGCTCCTAACAGTCCACAACCACAGTTCCAGAAGATCTGAGGCCTTCCAGGGGCCCTTTCAGGCACCCAAAAGCACATGGTGCCAAAACATATATTATTGACCATTACTATCTAGCAAAATTACACGTGGATACATAAAAATGTAACAAACTTTTTGGCCACCACTTAAGAAAATTAAGTCTCAACGGAAAGGAAAAAAACAGTCAAAATATACATGAAAAAAAATTTCAGTTAGAAAAAAAGAAACGAAGTTCGGGGGAAACCAAAGCTTCCACAATGTATTCAGTGAGCCCACACACAATGAAACAGCAAATTCTCACACATAATGTGTGTCCATATCAAGGTTTTAAAGCTTTACAATTTCATTTGATTGAACCAATACCATGAAAATAAAAATAAATTACTCTTGAACATAACTAGAAAGACTAATTTAACCAAAAAGTTTAAAAAGCTGTTTAAGTTTTCTTCTCAAATTATAAGCAACGAAAAATGGGTTCCCTAACACCCAAATAATTCCTTCTTAGTTATTTACTGCGATTGTAATGTCCACCTTAAACTAATGTATCTAAACAAATGGTTAACTCTCCTTGGTCTGTAAGCTGCAAGGGAGCAGGCAGTTTGCCTGTTTATCTGTTCCCGGACTCACCCAAAATACGCGTTTAAGAAAAACGCTCCCAGAATGAACTCCCCCTCCCCTAACCCCTAATCGTGAAAATAGACCTGGCTGGCTTGGCTAAGCTAAAAGTCCCAAGCAGTGTCTTGACTGGTGCGTTTAGCAGGTAGTTTAAGGGCAGCGCACAGTACAAGCTAACTAGCAGGACCTCCTATCTGAAGAAGACCGCGGGTTCGTAGTTAAACACTACCGTCCCCAACAGGGCTTTCCATTAACTGTGGTTAAGTGCTCTGATTTCCATCCCTCCCTGGGCTCCCAAGACACTACAACATCCCAAAGCGCTAAGTTGTAGAAACCGCTTCGGGAAGGAAGTGAAACCAAGCGCTTAAATCGGTATCTGGAGATAAATGAGGGTCTGGATTCCGACCACCCTCTTTTCTTCTCCCCTCTCTTATTCTACAAGTGCCAAAAGCCTCCTCCCGGGTCATGAAATCGCAGAAGGTCCCCACATCCAGCTTAGAGAAAATAAGCGGACTTTATCGAGCTCGGGACGAGGAAGGCGAGCAGGTCTGGCCGGAGTCCGGAATTTAGGGTTCGGGCACCAGCTGCCCCCCACTACCTTGGAGGGCGAGGTCGCCGGGCTCCGGCTGGGCGGGCTGCGGGTGCCCAGCCACGGGCCCCACAGCCGGTCGAGGAAGGCGGGCAGAGGCTCCGACATGGTCAGGGCAGTGCCGCCGGCCGCAGGTGCTCAGGCCTGGCCGGGAGCGGGCAGCCGTCAGGCCTCACCGCCCCGCGCCCCTTCCCTGCAGGCTCGGCGCCGCGCCCGCCGTTGGGCTCCCGCCGCGCGCACCGGGGCCCCGCGGGAGGCACGGGCCTCGCAGGCCGCCGCGCACTCACCATTGTCACCGCCGCCGGGTCCCCCCGCTTCCCTCGGCTTTCCCTCAGGAGCACTCCCAGCCCGGGTGCCTGCGCCCCGCCGCCCGTCACGTGACCGCAGGCCACCAGCCGCACGTGACCACTCCTTTTCCTCTTCTCCCTCCCCCGCCCTGGCCCCGCCCCCTGTAGGCCCCGCCCCCAGGGAGGCCGTTTAAAGGCGAGGCTCCTCTGCCCCGCCCTTCGGCTGAGGGCGTGGCCACCGTGGTCTGGTGGGAGGGGTCGAAAAAACCAGTCTCCCAGTCCTTCAACCCTATTGCTGTCACGGGAAGAGCACTGCGCTGTGGAACTCCGCCCCGGGCACACCCATTTCCTCTTGCCCAGGGAAGTTTGAGGGGTTCGGGAAGAGCCAAGGGATTGTGCAGGACTTGCGTCTTCGCAGGCTTGCTGCCTTTCCGACCTGATCTCACCTGAAGCGGTTTCCCGCCTCAACCCTGAGAATTGTTGGTTTTATCACCTCAGAAGAGACCAATAGGGAGAAAAACTAATTGTAGAGTACATCCTTTGCAGTCCAGGGATAGCTCGTGACCCAGATCTCCAAACTCCAGAGGCAGGACTCACAAATAGGTTCCGCCCTCCTCCCGGGTAACAGCCCTTTCCTAAAAGTTTCGCAAGAGTGCAAAACTCGCCTCTTCAACAACACTGTAGTGGAGGCCTGGAAGACCTGAGGATGGATGAAACACTACAAAGACTTCCTAGCTGAACCTTTCATTCAAATTTGAGGGGACCGGGAAAATCATCGCCCCATCATAACAAAACAACTTGGGAAGCAGTGTCAAGTCTGCGAGTCTAAAACGTTTAAAGGTTAAAATGAGACTATGATCTCTAATCGCGTCAGAATTCAAATACTGGAAATGAGTCTTTTGTTTTGTATTGTTTTTGAGACTGGATCTCATGTAGACTAGGCTGGCCTCAAGTGGATGGTGAACTTAAATTTCTGGTCCAGCCTCTTCCTCCAAAATGCCTTCCCAATGCAGGGATTGCAGGAGTCACATCCGGTTTTATGCATTGCTGCAGGTGGAACATGCATAGAGGGGAAGGAACTCTCTAGCCTAAAATGATATTATTTGAAAGCACAGCTTAAAGATGTCTGTTCCAGGAAGCTTTGGAACAGATGGATGTTTGTGTCTCTGTTTATTGTCGAGACAAGGCCTCACTAAGTGTCTCAGGCTTGTCTGGAGTATGCTATGGAGCCCGGGCTGTCAAGAAACACATCTGTCCGACGTTAGTCTTCCCAGTACTGGGGGATTACCTGTCTGTGTTGCCACTGGCCAGGAGATTTACAAAAAAAAAAAAAAAAAAAAAAAAAAAAAAAAAAAAAAAAAAAAAAA